CTCCTCCTCCTCCTCCTCCTCCTCCTCCTCCTCCTCCTCCTTGTCCTTGTCCTTGTCCTTAGGCTTCTCTTCTCCTTATCCTTCTCTTTTAAATTTAGGTAAGGTAGCCTATAGGGATAGATAGGTAGGTAGGTAGGTAGGTAGGTATATACAGGAAGTATCCAAGGCCAGCCGGAGCGGAGGTTAAGTCGCGCCGAGCTTCCTTGACTCTTGCTACCGATAAGATAGCAAAGTGACAGGGATTCTCGAAGCTTAATGTGGAAGAATAATGGAGAAAAGTTCCAGCAGACTCTCGTCCTCTCCCTCCGCCCGCTCACCTTCTGTCGTCCTTCACCTGACGCACATGTCGCGCCAACACCCTTGACCAGCAACAACTTGAACAATGCTCCGCGCAGCCTCCCCAGCGCTGTCGGAGACCGAGTTTGACATTTCAAAGTCGCTCTTCGGCGGCGACCCCGATCTCCTCTCCGACGACGACGGCGACGGCGACAACTGGAACAACAGCAACAACAATAACAACAATAACAACGACACCGATCTTCCACCTGTACGACCTCCCGCCATCGAAGACGCCTCCGACAGCGACGACGCCTTCATCGCCGCCACACAGTCGCAGGCCAACCGCAAAAATGACAGCAAAACTGCCAAAAAGGCGGGCGCATTCCAGGGCATGGGCCTCAACACCCATCTCCTCAAGGCTATTACGCGCAAGGGCTTCAATGTCCCCACTCCTATTCAGAGAAAGACAATTCCCCTCATACTAGACGGACAGGATGTCGTCGGAATGGCGCGGACTGGGTCCGGAAAGACGGCGGCGTTTGTGATCCCCATGATCGAGAAGTTGAAGGCTCATTCCGCCAAATTCGGCGCAAGAGCCATGATCCTCAGTCCCTCACGTGAATTGGCACTACAGACACTCAAGGTGGTCAAGGAGATGGGTAAAGGCACCGACTTGAGGACGGTGTTGATTGTGGGAGGAGATGGCATCGAGGACAACTTCGGGTCCATGGCTGCTAATCCGGATATCATTATTGCTACGCCGGGAAGATTCGAACATGTCAAGGTGGAGATGGGGCTGGACTTGAGCTCTGTCAAATACATGGTGTTTGACGAGGCCGATCGTTTGTTTGAGATGGGCTTTGCCGCGCAGTTGATGGAGATTATGCATTCTCTGCCCGCGACAAGGCAGACACTCTTGTTTTCTGCTACACTGCCGAAGAGCCTGGTCGAGTTTGCGAGGGCGGGCCTGCAGGACCCAAAGCTGGTGCGATTGGATGCGGAGAGCAAGATTGCGCCGGGGCTGCAGAGTGCTTTCTTTACTGTAAAGAGAGCGGAGAAGGAGGGCGCGCTGTTACATATTCTACAAGACGTCATTAAGATGCCGACAGGCGCCAACGACCGAGAGAAGCTGGCCAACGAGGCAAGGAAGGGTAGCGGTGGCGATAGGAAGAAGAGGAAACGAGGTGCTGATGGTCCCGCTGCGAACGAGGCCACTTCGCCGCATTCGACCGTGGTCTTCACCTCGACCAAGCATCACGTGGAGTATCTTGCTAACTTCCTCAAAGCTTGGGGGTATGCCACGTCTTACGTCTACGGCTCACTCGATCAGACGGCTCGCAAGATGCAGGTCCACGACTTCCGCTCCGGCATAAGCAACATCTTAGTCGTCACAGATGTCGCCGCTCGTGGCCTGGATGTGCCTCTTCTTGCCAATGTCATCAATTACGACTTCCCGTCACAGCCCAAGATCTTCGTGCATCGCGTTGGTCGCACCGCCCGAGCAGGCAAGGAGGGATGGAGTTACAGCTTAATCACACAACCCGACATGCCATATCTGCTGGACCTGCAGCTGTTCCTCAGTCGCAAGCTGATCATGGGGAGAACTTCAAAAGAGCCGGGCATGTTTCAGCATGCTATTGTTACAGGCAACTTCCGTAGAGATGCACTTGAACGATATACAGAGGAGGCTGCAAAGGTCATTGACGAAGACATCGATTTACAGTCGATGCGTGATGTGGCGGCAAAGGGCGAGAAGCAGTATCTACGAACACGGAACTCTGCGTCTGCGGAAAGTGTGAAGCGAGCGAAACAAGTTGCACAGAGTGAGGATTCCAGCGCGACGAATATGCTGTTTGAGGCCGATGAGAGCGCCGATGTCGAGCAACAGCGGCTAGACATGCTTGCAAGAGTATCTAGCTTCCGACCTGTGGAGACAGTCTTCGAGGTCGGCAAGCGTGGCGATGCAAAAGACGCAGCAGCGGAGGTAATGAAGAAGCGAAGAATGACCATCGAGGCCCAGAAGCAAAGAAAAGCGCAAGCTCAAGAAAACGCTATGGAAGACGATCTTGTCATCTCCAAAGGAGCGGCAGCCGCAGACGACTCCGACTCCGACGAACTCATCCTGACTCAACCTAACGGCGTCGACATGGAACTTGCCTCTGACTCCGAACTTGAAATGACATTTGCGACTCCTTCTGACCCGTCTTCTTCCAAACGCCAAGCAAAGAAAGCCAAAAGAACGGCAGATGCATCCGCGCAAGATGACGAATTTTTCATGTCATACACGCCCTCCACGATTAACATGGTCGAGGACAAAGGCTACGGTGTTCACTCCGGCGGCACCAACGCCTCAAACCATTTCCTCGATCAAGCCCGCAGCGCGACTATGGATCTCAATGGCGATGAAGACAGTAGTATGAAACTTGCGACCAAAGCTGGATCGGGATTGAGATGGGATAAGAAAAGTAAGAAATATGTGCAGCGGGCTAATGATGAAGATGGGAGTAAAGGAGCGAAGATGATACGGGGCGAATCTGGGCTGAAGATTGCTGCAAGTTTCAAGAGCGGAAGATTTGATCGATGGAGGAAGGACAACCGTGTGGAGAGATTGCCGAGAGTCGGGGAGATGGAAAAGGCAAATTCTCATCATCATTTGTCGAACAGCGATAGTCAGAGGGGAGGAGGAAGATTCAAGCATAAACAGGAACGTGCGCCCAAGGAGGCGGACAAGTACAGAGATGATTACCATGTGAGGAAGAAGAGGGTTGCTGAGGCCAAAGAGAAGAGGATCGGAAAATATGCAGATGGCAAGGGCAAGAGTGAATTGAGGGGCGTGGAGGATGTGAGGAAGCTGAGAAGTCTTCAGGACAAGAGGAAGGAGAAGAATGCTCGGCCCAGTAAAAGGGGTGGAAGTGGGAGAGGGGGAAGAGGGGGGAGATAACGATGAGGGAGAGGTAGCTCAAAAAGAGGGCATGGAACTAATCTTGCCAGCGGATACAAGATCAACGTCGAGACCAGGCTATAACATTACTCTTGTACCTGCTGCTTTGCTCCTTTTTATTTGATCTACGTACCCAATCTCGTCAACAAATCTGATCATTGCCAACGAGCGTCCGCACACATGTGATATGAGACTGCATGGCCTTCGACTTTTTCGCAAACCAGCGCGTCGCGATGCAAGTACGTAAGTACTAATAAGTGATAAAACAACACTCCTTTTTCTCCCCCGTACTCTCGGTGACAGTCAACGTGGGACAAGTAATCGGTCCACAATCAGTCGTACACTTCCCGCCAAAGCTCGTCACCGTCGGCACATTGCTACCAACACATCCAGTGATCATCAACTCGGCATAGTTCTTGGGAACGGTAACGGTGGCTTTGGGCCGGGCGGTTTCGGCACATGCAATCATGGGACAAATGCCGTCGAAAGGGGTGCAGCTCAGAGTCGGGTGGGGAACTGTGGAGGTGCTAATGTAGCAGGCAGAGTCTGAGGCAGTTCTACGAGGGATGTCAGTGTGTGATCAATGGGAGGACCGGGGAACGATACGCCAGGGATGTCATGAACAAGGCGAGGGAAGTAAGAGTGACTGAATAGGAGGACATCTTGTCTTCTTGTCTTCTCTTGTAGCTTGAGTCGTGGGGTGGCGAGTCTTTGTACAGTTGGAGGCGTTGATGTTCCCAAGTCAAGAGCAGCTGGTATCGAAATATATGCACATTGGACGCCCATGAGGAATGCGTTCATGCTACGTCGACTGTAGTTTTTTTCTCCCATGCTATTACATGTTCGTGATGCTCATGTGTACACGTGCCTATGTGGTACCTACATCCAGTGCAGAATACGAAGATGGACTAATGCCTCGTAGTCTGGTATGCAACGTAGGAGGTAAGAGGGAGCTTCCTCTCCGTGTCCGGGAAAAGATCGACCAGGATGTCTCACAATCCATCTTGGCGGATTCCAGACGAGCTCCAGCTTTGGCTTGGCCTGACGAAAAGTGCCAATGGAGATGAGCGCTCCGCACTTGGCTGAGCACATGTCTCTGCAGCCACAGTGTTTCTGTGGGAGCGCTGATGTTGTGCACATCTCTCTCGCATTGCAACTCATTTTTGGCTCGTTGATGGTACTCGAGTCATTGCTCGCTGACCACCGGTGACGTTTCCGATGCAGCCGCATGTTGTCGATGGCGCTGGTTCATCTGAACCGAGGCGAACGCCAGACATGCAGCATAAAAGTCGCACAGATGGTCGTGCAACAGTACGATGTGGAAATCTCATTATTGCTTTATGTTGCAGTCTTGGGTTTTTTCGTGCCATACTTGGATCTACTCGTGACCCTGTTACCCACACCACCCTGTATAGGCATTAGTTGGCAGTCGAATGGAGTCGCTGAAACTCAGCAAGACCTACCAAATCCATAGCACCTCTGACTAGATGATACTTGACACCAGGACAATCCTGCGATCGTCCACCTCGCACTAATACAACCGAGTGCTGCTGGACGTTGTGACCTGCGGGCATATCAGAAGAGCTTGGCGCCGTTGGGCAGACGAGGCAGAGGGAGAGGGGGGGCAGGGAGGGGGATGGGGCACGCGTACCCTCTCCAGGAATGTAAGCAGTAATGGTATTGCCACTGCTCAAGCGCACCCTCGCGACTTTCCTCTCGCCTGAATTGGGCTTCTTGGGTTTTGTCACTCCCACCCGGATACACACTCCCTTCATCGCGGGACAATGGGATCTGGCCAGTTGTGGCGATGTGGGTTTCCGCGCTCGCTGTCCGACTCTGCAGCCTCGAATGACCTGGTTGTATGTGGCGGATCGGGTAATGCTGGTCGAGAAGAAGCGTGTCGCTGAGAGGGCGGCAGCGGCGGCGGTGGTGGTGGTGATGGCGGAGGTGGTCGAGGTCGCGCTGATGGCGGCGATGGGGCGGAAGCAAGCACGCGTGGTGGACGGGAGGCGCAAAAGCGCGGTGAAGAGAGAAGCCATGTCGTTGTCTGCGAGACTCTCAGTGCGGATGAAGGGCAATGGGAGCTTCTGGTACGGTGTGGTATGTTGTGGCTCGATGGTAGAACGCGATGAGGTCGAAGGTCGATCAGGAAGTCCGCCGCGGGAGTGCTCAACCCTAACCCTAACCCTAAGTTTTGACGTCGACCCCTCCCCTCGCGCCAAGCTATCAAAATCTTGACCGCCCCTGGGAGTTGGCATCCACAACACCCCTTTAGGTCCGTGAAAAGGAGAAGGCATGATGGCGCACACCATTTGTCTCTAGAGATGCCGTTCTAGGTACTGTATGGCTGTCAGTCATCACACACCTTCGCACAGCATCTCATCTCAGCTCAGCTGCATCCTCCTCAATGTAGCGTATGGGTACCAACCAAGCAGCGCCAGTCGGTTATTACCACCCATATGCTTTCCTAGCACCAGTATACGCATTGTCAGCTCGTGGAATCCCTCTCGTTGGACTCATCCAACTCTTGGGGAATGCTGACTGATCCGGTACGCTGCTGACTGACCCGGTGCGCTGCTGTACGAGCTGAGTACTGGTCGACTAGAGATCCTCTTCACTGATGTAGACGCATTATCGCGAATGGGTGGCTCACCACCTCAACCAAAGCTGAGACCATCTGTCAGCCGAGCTGACAGAATGTAAGTATATGAGCTCATGATAGCCCACTGGGTATCGCCTGGATCGCCCGTGAGCATTCTCCTCTCTTTTCTCAACATGGCTACTATTGCAGGAATAACCGGCAAGCAGTTTGTCAAGGGAACGCAGGCATGGGACAACAACAAGTGAGTACGCTCCTCCATGGAGGCTATTCTGCAATGTCACTATCCTGACTGTATTCCTCTGCTACCCAGATATCAATACGCTTCAAGCACTCACGGAATCGACCATGACATGAATCCAGCTCTCGTCATCCAGCCCAAGAACAAGGAAGACATCAAGCTTACTCTCCAATACGCGAAAGCACAAGGCATTGCCGTCGCCATCAGGACCGGTGGACATCAGTACAGCGGTGCCTCGTCGACGGGAGGGCAAAACATCCAATTGGACCTGGGCCAAACATTCCGAAGCCCGGATGATATGGTCCTGCTGCCTCCTAAGGAACCAGATGATGGAAAGCGCTTTGTCTTCGCGAGCGTATCCCATGCCCTCCTAGAGTTCAACACGTTTCTCGGTCGCCACAAATTGTTCGTGCCTACCGGACAATGTGCACACGTACACCTCGGGGGACACGTCCAAACAGGTGGCTACGGTAAGAGCCCCTTGTGGTCATTGTCAAGACTTATCATAGGTACTCATCTAATTCTGACTGTCAGGCCAGCTGGGTCGGAGCTTTGGCCTCTTCGGTGACCATATCCGCACAATCTATATGATCAACGCAGATGGCATCGAGCTGGAGGTCACCAAGGAATCTGACCCCGATCTCTTCTTTGGTGTTCTTGGCGGCAGCCCGGGCAACATGGGCGTCATCACACACGTTCTAATTGAACCCCACCGCGACGAGGACTATACTGGCTCTCTGGGACTCAAAGCAATTCACCTTTACGACCGCCACACTGTCAAACGTCTGCTCGGTCACCTTGCCGAGATGTCCGACAACGTTGACTTCCCGAGAAACTACGACTTGTGCATCTCAGTGCTGAGCTCGAGTTTCCCATTGAGAGGACTCTGGCCAGGACTCGATGAAAATATCAAAACTGAACACCCGGACATCTTTGGCACCAACCAGATGCCGGGTTGGCCGCGAAGTATCATCGTCTATGCGCAGTGGGTTCCCTTTTCCAAGGACGACAAACCCGATATGGCTTGGTTCGACCTGTTCCGAAAAGGGGCTCTACACATCTTCGGCGACGACGATGTCGAGAGGAAACCCATGAGTCGCCTCACCCCGATGTGGCTTTTCACCAATGTGCGCGAGTACGCATTGCCATATGTCAAACGGACTTACCTGACGAACAGCACCACCCTGGTCCAAGACGGTTGGCCAGAGTGGGTCACAGGGAGAATCAATGAGTTGGTGGAGCCGATTGATAACAAATGCTGGCTGTCGTGTCAAATTCAAGCCTTTGGAGGGCGAAACAGCATGTTTGCGAGAAATGCTGACAATGGAACCTCGTACTCTTGGAGAGATTCGACCGTGTGTGCGACCATTGATGCCTTCCATTGGAGTGAAGCCAAAGAAACCGCAGAGGAGTGGCAGAAAGTCAACGACCAGGTGGTAAGTCGTGTTGTTGATGCTCACTCGATGGCGTGCGCCTAGCTCATCTGACCTCGACAGGGCGTGGGACCCGGTGGTATTTTCTCTAAGCAGGACCGTAGAGTGCTCTGGGGAAGTTATGGTGAATACGACTTAGACTCTGTCTGGCAGACGTACTATGACAATCGCGAGAAATATGAGAAGTTGATGGCCATTCGGAAGAAAGCTGACCCATATGGCACATTTACCGCCAATCCTTTTGCTGTCAAAAGAGCTGAGGAGGTATCCAAGATGGAGAAGAAGGACGAAGAAACGCATGAGACCAATGGAAAGGTTGCCATCTTGGTCGAAGAGCATGGAACAAATGGCACGAATGGAAAAGATGCTACAGACTTAGCGTAGAGATCAGTCAGAGATCCCGCCGGATGCGAGCACATGTCCTGTTTGGCATCCTCTTTCATCGGAACATTAGGATCCATAGCCGGTTCTCTTCTACCACATATGCCATTGGCAGCTCAAGTTCTAGTGGATAGGGCCTGACCACACGCTTCAGTACAGCAACACGCCCACTGAAAGCCAGATTCAGGCGTATCAATAGGCTATGTTCCAGCTGTTGACCCTATTGTATGACTAGGTGTGAGTATACCACAGAGAAGTGCGAGTGCGGAGCAGGCAATGCCCATATCTGCAATCGATCATCAGCATCAGAGGGCGGAGGCTCAGGCATAGCGCTCTTCTGACTTACAGTTCACAGCATGGAAAGCTTGAATGTAGCCATTGATCAAAACACGTTGCAAACGTCCCTCAGTCATCCATAGGTACTCGAGGTCTGCGGTAGCGTGTTGAATGATCTGCAGTCGAAATTAGCGACTGATCTGGACATCAGAAATATAGTCAATTCTCACCGAATGCTTGTTGGGGAAATTATCGAGGGTTCGCTCGAGCGTACTGCGGAGTTCTGCTTGGAAGCATGCACTTCCAATACTAACGCCTGCAATGGCACCCAGATTGAGAAACAAATACGATCCGGACGCAGCCACTGCAACATGCTCTTTGGGAACGCCATCCACAAGACCGATGAATGCTGAGGTCGAGACTACACCGGCCGCAAACCCTCCAGGAATGACGAGCAACGACGAGACCATCGTCGTGTTACCGTTCCACGCCAACAGTAATGAGATCATGCCGCATAGCGAGATGACGGGCGCAAGCACAGTGTAAGGCTTATAGCGGCCGGTCTTCTTGATGAGATATCCAGTCAGGAGACCCCCGACCGTGTTTCCAGCGAATGCCGGGATCAGAAGGGCTCCTGCGGCCGCAACGGAGGCGTGTGTGGTGGTTTGAAAGTAGATTGGCACAAATGTCATGAGACTCAGCTGACCCATGATGCCCAGGAAAGCACACATGTAGTTGGTGATGACGACTCGATGTCTCAGGAGCTCCAGGGGATAAATCGGATGCAGCACAACCTTTGCTGACACCATGTAGGCGATTGCAGATAGTATACCACCAGCAATGATTGCCATCATCCAGCTTGAATCCCACGGTATTCGCTGTCCCCCCAGATCCAAAACGAGGCAGAGTGACAGTATAGTCAGTCCCAAGAACAACGATCCGATGAAATCGACCTGTCCGAGTTTCTCCCAACTGGACATTCCTTCGGTGGCTTGCTCGTCGGTCCCTCTTCTCGACAGGTCCAGTTTCCAGGCCACAAGGTAAATCGCCAACACGGTCGGAGGCACCTGTATGAGGAATGCCCATCGCCAGCCGATCGCTTGAGTCACGACTCCACCGACAATGGCCCCACAACTTCTCCCCATGGTCTGCAACACATTCACATAACTCCGGACTAACGCAATATCCTTTTTAGGCACAATATCGGTAATGATGATTGCCACCAAGCTGACCATGCCGGCGCCTCCAGCACCTTGCACCGCCCGGGAGGCAATCACTTGTCCCATACTTTGGGATGATCCAGATCCCGCCGTACCAATGGCAAACAAGGTGTACGCTGTCAGCAAGCACATCTTACGACCGTAGACATCACTCAGCTTGCCATATAGGGGTTGAACAGCACATTGTGCGAGTATATAGGCTGACATGAGCCAGGAGCCGGAGTCCAGCTCTTCAAATTCGGAGGCAACTTGTCCATATGTGGCGAGTACGAGGGATTGATCGATTTGGGCAACAAAGACACCAAGCAAAAGGAGGGAGAGGGTGGACCATGGGCTCTTTGTGCTCTCTGTCTCACTATCTTGTGATTCGTAGTAGCAGCCACCACTGGCGAGATCATTTTGCCTGGAAGTTGGACCGAGCTAACGATAAGTTTAAGAGTGTAGTCTTCTGTTGGTTTGGTGAGGAACGTACGCTAGGGATACTCTGGTATTGAGACGCTGGTATATGTTCCGATAGAAGACGCGAACTCTCAGACGTTCGCTCAGCATCAGCTGCATGACAAGCGCCGTCCGCTTCTTCCTTCATGGCCACGCTATGTCGAGAGACAGACATATGCAACAGATGCTATAACTCGGCTACCATGAACTGGCACGAATCACGCACTCACAGCTTTCACCCGTGCAATTGTGTACTCAGGGCACAGAGATTTTCGATCTGAACAATATCAGTAGCAGAGAAGGAATTCCAGTTCACCGAGATAGAGATTAGAGATGGAGTATGAAAAGAAGAGTGAGGATGCTGACGCGATTTTAGGAGGCTTGAATGATGTATTTATCAATTGAGTGGAGTGAAATATTCGGATTAGAATTAGAATTACGAGCCGGCCCGAGTGCTTGAGCTCAAGTAGGCTCACATAGCAGCCATAGCTGTTGATTTTTACTTCCTATACGGCTCTAGGTTGGAGTTTCGTGGACAATCTTGCCAATAGAATGAAGTGTAGTATTGTCAAGGGAGAGGGTATATCCCCGTTTCAGACTTGTCATCCGTGCAACCCCCCGAGTCCGTCTCTGTGGTCCATGACCAAGAGAGCCCCGAAAGACAGTGAAAGTGAAAATCCAACAACAGAAGCCATAATTGACGATATTTCATAATACTGTCGCAGGACATCTCTGCCACTCGATGAAGAATTCACATGAACGCACGTACACCGCTCATATGAGACAGCGGAAGCGGCGGAGGAAAATGACAAGGCGGTGAACTTGGCGCACAGGGAACATGCTTCATGGTATTACAGCATCATGTATCTATCGACCAGTCAGGCCTGCCAGTGTGACCTCGATATCAGTAACTATACTCGCCGTATTTCCGTATGGAAGTGAAGTCGACTGCTGCGAAAGTCATCCTCTCCCTCCCCTTTCGCCATAACCCCCCCTTTTCGAACATGGCTCCATGGAAAGCATCGATCTGGGCGAGTCTGGCGATACTACACGTCTCTGCTTCATTTCTACCGGACTTCCAAGGAGACGATGGCCATGTTCGTCGACAAGCTTGCTCAAGTGTCCACTACGACAAGCAATGTGGTGTGAATTACGACTATACAGGCTTTACACAAGATCAGAACGAACGCGCAGATGCCGTCGTGGAGATGTTCCGACATGCATGGACTGGCTACTTCGACTATGCTTTCCCGAATGATGACCTGCTGCCCAAGAACAATTCGTACAGGAACAGCCGGAATGGCTGGGGCTTGACGGCGATTGACGGACTCGACACCGCCATCATTATGGAACAGCAGGATATCGTCGACGTGGTTCTCGACTTCATTCCCACAGTTGACTTTACTAAAAACAATGCCAAAGGACCTCAAGATGCTCAGACCACGAGCTTATTCGAGACCAATATTCGCTACCTCGGAGGTCTGTTGTCCTCTTACGACCTCCTGAAAGGCCCCTTTAAGCACTTGGCCCCAGACGGTGACAAGAGAGTCGATGCCTTACTTTCACAGGCCGTCTCGCTTGCCGACACACTCAAGTTCTGCTTCGACACTCCCAGCGGGATCCCCGTGAACCTCGTATGGATCGATAACCAGACTTTTACCAATTCTTCAGTGATGCTGAATGGTGATTACACTGCCGGCCTTGCCGAAATTGGCACTCTCGTGCTCGAATGGCAGCATCTCAGCGATCTCAGCGGAGATCCCTCATACGGCGAGCTTGCACAGCGTGCCGAGTCTTACTGGTTCCAAGCACCGGAAGTCTGGCCTGGTCTCACGGGGGGAAACTTTAGCGTCGGCACAGGTGAATTACTCGACGATTATGGTGGCTGGACATCGGGAAACGACAGTGCGTATGAATATCTCATCAAGATGTATGTCTACGACCCGGAGAGATATTCCAACTATAGTCAACGCTGGATTGCAGCCGCAGACTCCACGATTGAACATCTCCTCAGCAGTCCGAATACGCGTCCCGATCTGACTATGGCTGGCGCATTCAGCGGAAAAGTTGTACAGAACTATTCCGAAGGACTGGCGTGCTTCATTGGCGGGAGTTTTATTCTTGGCAGTACTGTGCTCAAGGATGACCGTTACTTGGAGCGAGGTCTCCAGTTTGCAGAATGGTGTGCGAACGGCTATCGGTATGCTGCAAGTGGTATTGGACCAGTACTGTACAGTTGGAACGAGACAATCCTCGCGAATCCGAATTACACCAACCAAACGACCCTATATGAAAGAGCAGGATGGTTCATTCCTGAAAATCTTGCAGTAAGTGAAGCGTTTGTGCAAACTCACCCCTTTCGATCGATGTTTTGCACCAACATCGCGACCTCGAAGAATAACTGCTGACATTTTGGCATTAGTTTGTAGGCGGACAGGCCCCTGAAGCAGTAGAGTCGTGGTATTATGCGCACCAAGCCACTGGGGACCCATACTGGCGCGATGTCGCCTGGGCATACACTCTGGCACAAAACAAGACCCTTCGTGTGGGCTCTGGCTTCGCTAGCACTAGTAACGTTCTGGTAAAAGATGGCGGAGAGAAGAGAAACTTCATGGCGAGTTATCTGCTGGCAGAAGTGCTCAAGTATCAGTATTTGATTCAAGCACCGAAGCAGGGCATTTGGGATGTCATTTATGGAGAAGACAAGGTGAACCATTTTGTGTACAATACAGAAGCACATCCGATGAAGGTGGCGGCGAAAAAGCCTGTATAGTGCGAGGAAGATATAGTTAGCAAAAAGGTGGAAGAAAGAGGGTAAGAAGAAGCCCCCGGAACAGCGTTGAATCAACAGAATCTGAGTTGCAATATCGACTACTGTTTTATGTGTATAATCCCAATCCTCCTAGCCGTCAACCCACTGCCCGTGTACCATCATCCCCCTCGAACCCAAACGCCTTCCTATGCCGCAGAACGATAGCCATGTTGATCGATCAAATCGATCGATCAACCACCAGCTAGATAGGGAGAAAGAATCCCCCATATCTACTCGGCGCAAGGAACACCAGGGTAGACATTGACGTTCTTCCAGGAGTTGTTCCTCTGCTTCCTCATCTCCCAAACCTTGGTAGTGCCGCAGCACTTGGACCAACAGTCGTTGTAAACTATTTTATCAGTCAGTTTCAAATCAAAAAGAAAAGAATCGGAAAAGCCAAAACTGCTTAGACTTACCATCGGATGGGCAACCGCCGTTGGCAGCGTAGCAGCAGTCATTCTGCTTGCAGGCATCCTGGAGAAAGAAAGTAATGTTAGTGATATGAGTCGAAATCATTGGGATTGCGAGGAGGCTGGAAGAGGATGATATCGTACAGCGATGCTGGCGACGCCGAGAAGGGCAGTAGCGATGGTGATGAAGTTGACCATTTTTGCGGTGTTGGTTGTTGTTGGTTGGTTGGTTGGTTGGTGTTGTTGTTGTTGTTGTTGTTGCTGTTGTTGGTGGTGATGCTGTGTGATGAGGTTGTGACTTGTGGACGTCGAAGGAGTGTTATATACCTTTCTGTCAACACCTTCTATCGATCTCCTTCTGTCGACATATCGTCTCGACCTCTGTGTGCCTGCGCTTGCATCGCTGACCGTACGTCCACGTTTCGGAACCTCTCCACCCGGAAAACGTGGTACAATAGCCTCCACGGCGCGAGAATGTTCGCAAAGTGATGCGAGTCGTGTTCGGTAGATTGAACAAAGGCACCACGGAGTTCAAGAGTCAGCTAGACCCCAGCTTGAATTGTTAGTCTCCCTACGAGATGAACCATGGACCCCGACGTCAAGCATAGGGCGGGAAGATCAATAGCCCAGACAACATACGCAGAGCAGACGTCTCCGCTGGCGCTAGTCGTAGTCTAAGGGGTTAGGGGTGGCCGGTGTCCTTCGTAGCTCCGGACTATTGCACTATCCGCACTCTACGGAGGTACGTCCTTAACCTTACGCACTTATAGGCACATGATCTAGGGTCGTGCCAAGCCTGCGCTCGATACGCACATGATTGATGTTCGTGCCAAGTGAACTCACCGAACCGCGCTAGATCTCCGGCTAGATCGACGGTTTGTCCGAAGATAGCGTCAGTAGCCTGCATGTCCCCGCCTATAGATGAACACTGGTCGAATCATACCCATCTCTCAGTATCCCCTTTCGGTCTTCGTTAACCACTCCATGGCGCTAGGAGGTACGCTGAGACGCTCCGAATGTACCATACAAGCAATGTCTTTCCGCTCCGTTCACTTCCGGCTCGACCTGTAGCAGTTGTCAACTTGCTACGAACTTCAAGTCGAGCCTTAGGGGAAACATCTGTGAATGGCAACAGTACACGAGACTACATGTCGACGTGCTTTCATCGTTCTTCATACTTCATACAACTGCCGTAATAGTTCATACAATGCCACGCCGGGCTAGACACGCCCCCAAAACGCCCGAAAAGCCCATAAAAGACCGTGGCGACGCATTCACCTGTTCATCGCACCACGGTGGTTGAATCACGAAAAGAGACGGGCCCGAGACCATGGATCCAGTACTGATGACCATCCTACGGCGTATCCTCTTCATTCTTCAAACCAATCTTTCCCGACTTCTTCATGATCCCAAGCTCAATCAATCGATCCCATATTCGGTCCTTCACCATCGCGTCCTTCTTCTCAAACGCCATTCCATCCAATTCGGTAAGCAAACTACAACTGTGCCCAAGCATGAGATGACAGACTCGCCTTCGCAGTTTCGTGCTCTCGTCTAATCGATCGTAATGTACCATATCCTGCGCGTGCTCTCGCGCTGGTAACATATACTTCCCCTGCTCCACGTTTTCGGCCTCGTCATCTTCATTCTCCACTTCACGAAATACGACGCTGTGTGGTTCCCGGCGCACAACACTTGTCTGGATTGTGGAGTACGTAGAATTGGAAATAGGTGGATAGAAGCCTTGACTGAGGGGATTGTCACGCATATCCAGCGAGGCAAGCGTGGCTATTTTGGACAGCGTTGCAACGCTTTTTCGCAGACGATCGAGCCGGTTGCCACAGACCTGGAGCTGTTCCAGTTTTTGGACGTTCAGTAGAGGCCGGATATCCTTGAGCGAGTTGAAGTTGAGGTTCAGAGAGATCAGGTTCGGCAGCTTGAGCCCAAAGTCGTCTGGAAGGCACTGCAGCCCACAAGATGCGAGTTCGAGATGCTGCAGGCTGAGTAGACTCCTGACTAACTCGAGACAAGGAAGACTGTTCCCAGACAGGCGTATTTTACGAGCGTGGCAAGCTTCCTCAAGGACATGAACCACCGCGGACCTGGGCAAGCTCTGATTGCGCATTGACAGCGTGTCGAGTGTCTTCAAGCTGTCGAGTGCAGTAATGGATTGCAACCGATTACCGTCCAAAAGAAGAGTGCGCAGCGCCGACATGTGGCCAACGTCGAGCTGTTCCAGTCCACAGCTCTGCATCGAGAGGTATTTCAACCGTAGCATGGACTGGTCCAGCAGAAGCGTCTTGGAGAGAGCATTGTTGTTCAATCGCAGGCTCGTAAGTGAGCTGAGGTCCGCCAGACCATCGACACTCCTGATCTCGTTTGAGCACAGATCGAGTTCCTCCAGTCGTTGCAGATAGCTACCTCCGAAGTCGACCGATCGTATCCGATTCCGTCGCAGGCTCAGTTTGAGCAGCCCGTCTAAATCTAGTACTCCGTCAAGACTGGTGATCTGATTGTCATCTGCCTTGAGATCGCGAAGGTGGACCAAACACTCGAGACCCTTCAAGCTGTCCAGCCGGTTACTGGAAATGTCCACGTATTGGAGATTGATGAGATGATTCCATGGGGTCAAGCTGCTCAGAATATTGTGATTCGCCACCAGTGTTCGCAACGTCGATGGAGTACCATCAAGGTAGCCGAGCTGATTATTGGAAACATCCATTTCCTGGACTCGCCCACAGAAGTTGTCGAGGCCGTGCAGCGAGGCGACTCCTTTCGCGTGCAGATCCAGCTGCTTGATCTCCTCCCAATAGGGCTCTTCGGACTTTACGTCGACGAGAGTCCTGACCAGATCCTTGACAGCCAAAGCGTAGCGATCATCCGCCTCTTCGGCTGCATGCTTGGCAAGACGCTGTGCTAACGCACGCTCCGATGGCCGCTCGAAATCCTCTTCCTGGACAGTGAAGTCAGGCAAATCGCTCAAGATATAGCTTGGCTCATACTTGACGGGCGACGACGGAAGCTCAGAAACATGGCTCATTGTCTGTCGCTTGCTCAGTGGACGCGAAACGCTTAGTGATACACTCATCATGCGCTCCCCTGGCAAGGAAGCGACGAAAGATACCTCGCTTTGCTCCGTGGCATCGGCGTCCGGAAAGCGGGTTGTCAGCGTTCGACGGCGTAGCGACAGATTTCGAGAGGGCTTGCTGTACGTCGAGGAGAACTGCACTTTGGCAGGAGTCTTGCGCAGCTTTGGAGCATTAATGGGTACCATTTCAAAGTGATCCGGACCCAATGCGGTCTCATCTGGAAGGTCGGCAAGCTCTTCTGTTTGCTGATTGACTTCGTCGAGGGTACTGTCTCCGATGCGGTCATCATCCAGACTGGATTGCTGTCCGACCATCAAAGGCTCAGGCACCGCGGAGGGAGTTTCATCACTCTCGACACTCGCCTGCCTGGGATGTGTGTTCGCCTGCTGACGTTGCGACAGAGCCGCCTGAGCGGCAGCGTAGGCCAATGGTTGCCGCTTCGCTTTGCCCTCGACAGCCAGGCGGTAGAGTTCGTCGTCTCCCCACGATGTAGCACGGGTCTCATCCGTATGCTGTTGGCTAGAGTGGAGTGCCGTGTACTTCGAGGGATCTGAGCTAGAATGTGTGCGCCGAGATTTGCTGCTGCCTCTAGTCGATGGCCGAGCAACAACAGTCTCTTGCGATGTAATACGCGACTCTGTTGGTTGTTGTTGCGCGGAATCTTGTGCTTCTGGCACTGTAGGCTCCGCGAAATTATCTGGAAGAGCGCTTAGTCTTCGGCCCTGAGTGCTGACCTTTCTGATCTCTTCCTCTTTCTGTTCGTCCACGGGCAAGTCGGAGATCTCGCGGAATGGATCGTCATCGCTTGTGATGTCGCTTGGTGGCTCCAGGAAGCTCCCATGCACAGGCTTTTGTGGACTTTTGGTCTTCACCCATTGCTGCCTAGCCTTGTCATATACCATGCCACCAACTTGCTCGCCAATCAGGTGGGCAACGTGCTCAGGAGCCAGAACACCTACGTTGTCCGACTTTCGCGTCGAAGAGGTGTGAAGCGTTCTGCCGGTGCTGGTGGCGGCAGAGCCGTGCGACGCTGCAGATTGATTGGATCGCTGGGATGAAGGACGAGAGGAGTCATCTTCCGCAACCATCTGAGGGAAGGGTCCCTTGATACGAATGTTGGAGTGCTCATCGATGGCCACATAGTCTTCGCCGTATTCCTCCTCTTCCTCTTCTTCCACTTCGATGGAGCCGACGGAGTCAGCAATAAACTCGGTGTCATCATTTTCCTGGAACCGTCGCAGGTGGCTCATTACTCTGACATCCGTCTGCTCGACTCTAGCTCTCCAGCCACTTGGCACCTCGCGAGAAGGTGGTCGTGACACACGCAATGCTGAGAGGTCCTGTTCAGAGCGGTCCAAGTCTTGGCTGTTTCCTTCCTGATCAGATTCGGCGACGCTCCCCAGGCCGCTTTGTCGGCCTGCCTTCTCCCGAATCAGACGCATGACCATTACTGCCTCGTTGAAGAAGTCTTGTGTCGTGACAGACCTCTTCCGCTCGGTCTGATCGCCAGATGCCTTTTGTACCCGTAGACTAAACTTGGCAACTTGGCCGGCGACAGTGCGAGCTTGCTGCTGAATCGAGGGAGGGGTTCCGGTTGCCATTGAAGATTCCACCTCCTCCATGATGGCTTCCATCTCCTCAGGTGCCTCGGTCGCGAATTGCTCGGCAACTTCCTTGATCTCTGCCTCGATTTGCACTCGGCGACGCTCACTAGGGGTCGGATTTCGAGGTCGTAGGGCCTCAAGCAGCTCATCAACTTTGCGTTCGCTCTGGCTTGTAGTCTTCTGGGCACATATGGCGTCTTGAAGGTTGTTATGGAATGAACGATTGAAGTCTGCCGCATCTTCCTGCAGCTCAGAGGCGTGTAATGTTCTTCGACGCTTGGGCGTTGGCGCTTTGTAGGGAGAGTTCGGGGGCCGTTTGCCCATAGCGAAGATGCTCTCCGAAGGTTTCTGGAGTGTCTTGTTGAGATCATTGATGTCCTCTGCCGTTGCTTGCAGAGCCACGGATTTCTTCGGCGCGGTGTTGAGCGTGGAGGCAGCAGAGGTCATGACACTTCGTCGTCGCTTCAGCTTGAATGTGTCTCGTACGACGGGCGAGGTCTCGAGCTTGAACATCATGGGAGACCGAGCTCCAGGAGGCGGGACATCTGAAGCGGGAGAGCGATCACTGTCGTTCTGATCATCGGAGTCAGAAGCACTTGTGATTGTGATTTCAGCGTTGAATCGATGATGACTGAGGTTGCCACTGCCGAAAGAAGCTGCCGATATATTACGGGTGCCGCTTGGCAGACGCTGGTCTCTCTTTTCTGCTTGCAGCTCACTGGCATCTTCAGATCGTATGGCAGAGAGGTCAGGATCAAGCTGACTCATGCGACGCAGCAGCCGATTGCTAGTGAATGTATCGTGAGGTCCAAAGAGCTTCAGTGGGCTTCCGGAAGACCTTGAGCGAGCCTCTGAAGGGGGATCGGCCTGGACTGGAGTACTAGGGTTTCGAAGCGGCGGTTGCAACGGGACATGCTTGCGGTCGGAGGCGGAGGCGGGCGAAAGAAAACTGCTAGCATCGCGGGCCATGGATGATTCTGGGCGTGACGGCGATGGACTGAGCGGCTTCTCCTTGAAGGAGCCTTGTGCAGAGTACCCACCCCGCCTCGTCTGTACATGGCCTGTCAAGCCAGCCACTGATGGAGGCGTCCCTGTGGGTAAATTCTCCGACAGCGATAGATCTGGAAGTGCAGGGAGCTCACTTTCCGGGCCATCTGTGAACTCGGACTGGTCCTTGCATTCATCCGCCTCTGCTTCTGGGCATGGCGTTGACTCTTGCTGCTCTTTTTGGCTCTTCTGGCTGGGAGCACTTTGCCTTTCACTCTGAAACTTCCTTACGAGATGAGAGTCGAGAGCCTTGTAGTTCACGTGGCCATTCACGGAGGTGTGCTTGGAAATGAAGACGGGGCTGAAGTCTTCACACTCCGTCTGCCCACTGACCGTCCTGTTGCCAATCATATTATGGTCGGTAGGTTCCAGTCGTTCAGGGCTCGACAGGGGATGGTGTTGCCTCGCCTCCGATACACTGTCATCTCGTCGTAGCTCAGACTCGTCCAAGTCAAATGGATTGCTCACGAACGTTTCTCCCGCGTCTTCTTCTTCAGCCTCGTCCTCGTCCTCGTCTTGTTCGTCTTGCCCATTTTGCTCCTCTTCTCTGCCCTCCTCCTCTCTGCTACTCTCCTGCCCACTGTCATCTCGCCGCGACTGCCATGACGGTGGACTAGACGGCATGCTGTTCACAGCTGATTGGTTCAGCCAGCTCATGCTGCTTCGTGGTTTACCTTTGGCCTCAGGCTCGCGCGGAGTCGCAAAGATGTTTTCCAACGCCGAAGGACCGAATAGATCTGTCTGGTCGCCATAGCCCACTTGACCCTTGAGCAGCCTCCGCTTCCATTCCAGCGTCTCTTTCTGCTTGACGGGCGACGCGCTTTTCGATCGCTGCTGAACGGTACCAGAATGTAATACCGAGTTGTCGGAAGTGGCAGAGAAGGACCGCGAGGCATTGAGCTTGACGGTGCTATCTGGGCGTCGCACCGAGCTGTTGTTGCTGCTGTTGTGGCTCATCGGGGCCAGCGGAGCGCGTAGTCGTCGCTGGATGGAGCTATGAGACGAGACCGTCTTCTGGCTGGACATGTGGCGAGTACTACGCGAAGTGATGCGGATCGAGTGGGCATCATGAGAGGCGGAAGAATGATGTGCAGAGACATGTTCCGAGACCTGGCTGTGGCTCTGTGCGTGAGCTGATACAGGCACTTCCCAGGCTTCGTCCAGGCCTTGCAGCCACGGCGCAATGTTCTGCGCCATTACCACTGCGGATGTGGTATGCCGTACATTCGGGAAAAGTGGAGGGGAATGGGATGGTGGTGGTGGTGGTGGTGACGGCGGCGTCGCGTGTGGATGTGGTGGTGGTGGTGTTCGTTCGTTCTATTCGACTTCGTACAGCGCGTCGGCGATCCCGTCCAGGTCGACCAGTGTATACAGGTAGACAGGCAGTCAGTCAACCTATACATACAGTAACAGAGACACGACAAGAAATGGGCCAAGAGTGCAGGTCGAGAACAATACAGTGTGTCAGTGCGTGCAAAAGCAGACCGGGTCATTTGTGCTGGTGCTTGTGATGTTCATACAGTTTATGCATTCGCTTGCGTCGCCATGGCAACACACCATCCCTGTTGCCACCTCAGCGCGCCTCACAAACCAACGAGTGCGCGATCCAGAGGATACCGATACTCTACTACTACCTTACTGCTACCACCACCACCACCACCGCCACCACCGTCACCACCGCCACCAGATACCATGCGAGATCATGCGTCGCTGCTGATCTTGTTCCCCTCGTCATGATCCGGACCCATCTGCCGCGAGGGTACATATGGTCGGCAGCGAGTGAATTCCAGCGGACAGAGCTTTTTCGCGACATCGTCTATGAAGATGCAGAATCCATCGACCACGAGAGACTGCTGCCCGACTCGGAAGACGAGTTCCCTCTGTCCGAGCGCATCCTAAAGCGGCAGAAGATCGAACAGCTGGCCAGTGACTTCCTTGACGGAGAGGAACTGAGCATTCTTTCAGCACGACTAGATGCGACAGCCCTCGTTGATGCTCTGTCGTGGTTCTTTGATAGGCCGAAGGAAGTCGGACAAGCCATCGCGAATGCAGACTGGGATGAGGGCTCGCAGGAGAGCTGGCAAGACGTCGACGATGACTGGGACTTCCTACGGAAGCACTGCGCCACGCGAGACATTGCGCATCGGCATGACGACGGGATGCAGAATGTGGTGGGCCCGCCCTCCATAGAGGAGGAGGAGGAGGAGGAGGAGGTTGTCGTGGAAGCCCGGCAGTCCAGCTGCCGACGTCGGAAAAGCCAACGTCTGGCCCGGATTTCCTTTGGTCCCAGTGCAGCTGCTCTTCGAAAGGCAGCTGATCTGCGAAACAGGAAGCTCAGAGCCGCTGCGTCCAATACTGTCGAGTCCATCCCCCAGTCTTGTCCACGGAAGATAGTAGAAAATAGTCAGTTCGAACCAGAATCTACCATCTCTGCGGAACAGGACACTCTCTCGGATTGTGGTCCATCGCCCACTCCCGCGTGGACGAGTGCAATGTGGCGAAGTAAAGGCGCCTTCAGACCACCTCGAAGGCCCCGACCTGTTCTCAAGGCCGTAGATCAAGATTGCAGTCGAGATGAGCTGGGTTGGTCATCGTTCAACAGCATACCCTCTCATTCCGCCCGAACTCGATCTGCCGCCAGAGTCGTTGCTGAGCGTGAAGCCGGCACACAAAACAGCCAGAACGCTGCCGTGACCGCGCTTATATCGTCCGCCGAGTCTGTCTCGTCTCCTGTCACTGAGTCCGCTAGTCGCCCCTGTCGTGACAGAGACGCCGTGTCTACGATCGACGAGCAGTCAGGAGACGCTTCTGAGCAGGCCCTCGCGCAATCGGGGTATTTGGCTGTACCCGCTGTTCTCGAGAGTAGTGGTAGCCAGGGAGATAGCCAAACTAGACTTCTCGAGCAGCAAGGCGTCTTGGCAAAGCCCCGGAAGTCCTGGGCGACCGTAAACCACGGCCAGGTGATCTCAATCGAGCAGGAAGCGATTCCACCTCGTGCAATTCCTGGAGATGCCACAAAGGATGATGCTCCACCACGCACCAGAGCCAGCATACTCCAGTCAGCCAGACTGAACGCTAGCAAACCGCGGAAGGCAAGAACCGCAAAGTCAGCTGGAGGTACACCCATGGCCACAGTCTCTCAGGTCAAGCGACGTTCCGATCGACGGCGCTCTGCTCCTTCAGAGTCGCAGAAAGCTGCCGATGCCCTGCAAGATCTGGCATCGGATCAACAAAGTCACGTGAGCATTACTCGTATGCAGTACAACGAATCTGCTCCTGCGAAGAACTCATCGCCCTTCGTGTATCGCAAGCGCACCGCCAAATTCGAAAATAGCAGCGATGAGCCAGGTCTCGAACCAGTCATGCCACAAAAGGTGCCAGCCACAGTAGCAGCACCTGCGAAGGCATTGGCAAAGACGCCCAGGCGTGCAGTCAACTTCCAATCATCCGACGTGAATGAGAACTTTCAGGACCCACGAACGCCTTTAGTCAATGAGCACATCAACCAACTCTTACCCCGAAACTCCACTACTGGCCCGCGATCTCGCTCTTTACGATCATCACTTCGACAAGAAATGATTGCGTCCGGTGCCGAGCTCAGTCGCGCAGACGGAGATCAGTCTTCGCAGCCGCAGATGACAGGCTCTCCAGGAGCAGAGGAATCGCCAGGGGAAGAGACTGTTTTAGCAGAGTCTTTCATGGAAGAGGACAATACTCGGAATATATCCATCCTTGCAGATTCACCGCAGCCTGGACCGGAAGTCCAGCAGCAGCAGCAGCAGCTGTGGCCAGGCACTCAAGCCATGCTTGCTCAAGCTCAGCATGAGTTGTTTACGTCCCCCAACAAGACGGACTCGGCCCTTTATCTTGGTGACAAGAGTACACCTCAGGTCCAATCCAAGAATGCTACAGGACGTCGGCGGCGTCCACTTGGGGGGCTTTCTCAGGAGCCCATGCCCAGTACGCAAGCACTGCTTCAGGACTGGCAAGGCTGGTCCAGTATCAAGAAACCCAGGCAACCGGGCAAGAGAGTCAGCATTGTGCAATCGCCAACAGTGGACAAATGTGCTCCGGATCTGATTGCATCGCAACCCGTTCAGTCGTTCGAAGATAAAGCCAGACGTCGGAGCAGCCTTCGTTTCTCCATGTCATTCTCACAGGACTCTCCGGTTCGAGACTGGACAGATGGGCCAGCTTCAGGAGCACCGCAGTCCACGGCTCTCGTGCCAGCCTCCTTTGCAGAGCCAAACGTTGCTTCCTGGCCGAAGCCAAGTGGCAAAGTTGCGTCTTCTGCTTCATTCGAATCTAGCTTGTTGCCAATGGCTGTTGCAGCTCGGGCACAATCCGCCACCGAACTGAACGAAGCAGCGACGACATTGGCTGTCTCACCTCTGATGGACGACGATGGAACTACCGTGAATTGCAGCTTTGGTGTGACTCCTGCGGCGCCCGTACAGAGCAAGCAACCCGACGCCGAGCCGACGGCGGTCGACAGCAATGCTGCACCGCAGTCTTCACCCAAAGGCATGTCATTTAGGAGATCACCCGTCCCGGTCGAGGTGCCGCAGCCATTAATTGAATATGAGGAATCCCTGGTTGGTGAGCTGAGTTTTGGAGCTCCAGATGTGATGGGTGGCGATGATCTTGCAGCATCTATGCCTAGCTATTTGATGGTTCAGAATGCTCAGGCGGTAGTGTTCACCACAGAGTATGACACGCAGGAGTTGATGACGACCATAGGTGAATTGGCGGAGGATATACTGGGCACTGCTGCGACAATTAGCTTTTGAGAAAAACATACCAAAATGATGGCCAAGGAGAAAGGGACTACCATGAGATAACCAGCGTATTCTTTTGTGGAATTGCCCGTATGACGACAACAAAAATTCTAGTGCAGGAGATGAGCTGAATTCCACTGTCAGATTCTTGATGGCAGCTACTGGTGAGATGCTAGTGACTTTGTACAGATCACTTTCAGCTTGATATGGATCCTGCCGGACAAGTCATCGAACATCACATCTGGAACACTGCAGCGAATTCTCGAAAACGCACAAGAATTGGACATTGTCAGCGTGAATAAGTGTAAATACCTCCTGGCATGTTCCCACTTCAACAGGACTCCCATACGCGATGGCATCAGTTTGATGCGTTCAATGTCCCAGGCTGTGGCTGGTGTGAAGAAGATGTTCAGGAGTTGTATTTGGTAATGGGTGACCTAACTTGGTCTCGTTTGCAGTAAGCTCTTACCTACTTATCATCACCATGCAAAGGATTCCGAGAGCAGTCGAACAGGGCGGCTTGACGTCCTCGCCAGACGGCACACAACTTCTCTCACCTCTTCCATCATAGATCGGGGGCCGCTCACTAACACAACAAGTTCACCGATACCGATACCCAACTCCGCTTCCAGTACACTGCGAACGTCGAAGCGAGCCCCCACAAGCACGTCCTTTTCGACGGACTCGATCGAAGGCTCTACCGCATCTACAAGTCCTCTGCTCCTGCAACTCCAATATAATTTCTTCCTGCCACGGTGGGTCTGGAGGGCTGGAATCAATGCGGTAATGCCCACGCCTCCACCAACACAGATGAGGTGTGATGCAGTGGGAATCGTATACGAAGTCGAATAGCCAGATTCCACGAGCACTGGGAGCTTGCGGTGCCGCGCCAGCAGGGAAGTCGAGCCGTCGCAGACTCGGATGTAGAGCGTCAGCGAGGCTTTGTAGTCACCCAGAAGACTTTTATCCGCACTGTGCTCAGAGACCATCTGACTTTTGGTGCATTCCAGGTCTTTCGTAATGCCGAGAGCTTTTTCGTCCGGCTGAGTCGCTTCGAGACTGCTCTCTGATGGAGTGCCCGATGGTACTGTCGAAAAGGTGGTCGATATCGAAAACGGATGATTCTCCCATACGCGCCACGTCAAGGTTGGGAAGTAGAAATACCCATGGCCGTCTCCAGTCAAACCCTCGATATCCACTCGGCAATAGTTGTCGTCGATGACGGTGATGGAAGCCGTCCGGATGCCGTACCGTGCCACGCGCAGAAGACGCACCAAGCGATCGAAAGCCCATATACCGAATGCGATATAGATCCAGAGCTCATAGCCCCACTGATGTGCGAAGTTGTAGTAGATGTGCAAGTAACACCCGACCAGCGACAACAGTGCGATGGCAAAGTGTGATGCCAAGAAGAGTTCGTAGGCCCTCTTGCGAATCGATTGGACGGATGCGGGAAGAAGAATAGTGAAACCGAGAGTGGCAATGATGCCCCAATACCAGTAAGGTAGCCTCGATTCGGTATTATGGGTGCCATCCTGCACATATATGACGAGGTAGATGATGGAGTGCAGGATTGCTTCGACGGCGCATATCACGGCCACCCAGCTGTGCAAGATGACAAAAGTCCCATGGTCCCAATTGGTGAGCCAGCGCAGAAAGTTGTTTCTGCCGGCGTAGAGGGCCAGGACAGGAACGTTCGCATAGCTGAGAACTCCGGTACGGTTGGCCACATAGGTCAAGAGCTGGCGATTGCGCGTCGAGAACCAGGCACTGGGATCAGCGATCCGGTAGCCGACGATGCACAGGACGAGATTGATGATGAGCAAGTAGAGCACGAAGACTGCTTGGCCTCGCGTCAGATCCCGGAATAGCTTGTGAAGAATGCCGCCACGGCGAGCCGGGACGACTTCCTGGTCGACGAAGACGGCGTAGAATTTGGAGGTGAGTAGGCGTGGTAGAGGCAGAAAGCGAACCAGCGATGCCGCAATAGGGATGAGCACTGCTGAGATCAGGAGTATGAGCCTGTAGGTCTCGGTGAGTGAGGGTTTCGGTTTCGGGGTCGAGGCCTGGTCATATACGCTCTACTTACCCATACTTGGAGTGATTGATTTCGACTGCTGCGAATACCGACAATGACATGGCTTGCAGCTTCCAGTCGGTATCGGCAACGAGCACGGTAGTGTTCAACGGGGAGCCTGGAGAGATTGATACTTCGGGGGTAGTCGGCACCCGGTCAAGCGCTTGTTGATACGTCAATCGGGGCTCAGGCTGGTGAGCTTGCTTGCCGGGGACTTCGTGGTACCAGTATTTCTCTATCTGCCACGGCTTCAGACTTGTGCAATGTTGCTTGATACACCATGCCATGGAAGTCAGGAAATCGGCATCGCTGGCGTAGCATTCCGTTGAAGTGTCGACCATATCCTCTCCATCCATCGTCATAATGCTCGAGCAGTTGAGTCGACTACTCGATAGAGCTTCACGACAGGCATATGGGCATACTGGCTGCAGAAGGTCAATCATCACCATTCAAATCAGCACATGACGGCAACATCGTGAACACTGCTTTGGGATGGAGGAACACTCACGTCGTACATGGGAATGCCATAACCAATGAATCCAATTTCTGGCCTGCCCGACATCATCATCGCCGCACATGGCAAGACGACGTGCGAGGCCACGGACAGCGCGAGCAACCCTCGCAACAGGACAGAAACAGCCATGTCTAGTGTCGATCTCAGGAGGTTTGGTGCAGTGAGAAATTGGACTGACTGCTCATGTTCGGTTATATTCTCGACAAGTGAGCGTTGATACAGTGGTACTTGATAGACATCCCCCGGCCACTAGCCCCTGTTGATGCCAAGCATATAACTTGCTCGTTTCTGCTCACATGCGAGCCAGGGGGTAACTGGAATCTTGTCCAGATCCAACACAACTGAATAGCCGCTTCAAGCTTGCGTTTGCACAAGTGACAATATGCAATCTAGATCGATCTATATTGCCTCAAACTAGACAAACTACTGCAAAGACGGCCATGCCAATCCTTGGCACTTGGACTTTTCACTCACGTGAATCGCGGAATTGGGACCTTTCGCGTAACTTTGCCCCGTGCTTAACCAACAACAGCGCTACAGGCAGCATAAGAGCCGCAAATGCGGCAAGTAGCGTGTTGCCCCAGCCGTATCCAAGCTCTTGATACAGTCGCGGGGCAGCCAGAGGGATAGTCAGACCACAGACACATCGCACCCCGATACTCAACGCGATGGCGCTGGCAGCGTACAGCGTGTATGCTTCGACGAGATATGCCTGCACCGCCTGAAAGACGAGCACGATCCCACAGGCACTGAGTGAAGTTCCCGCTATTGGCAGCGTCCAGTGTTGATGATATTCCAGCGACCAGCCATAGCACAGATGTCCGCCTGCCATGAGAACCCCCGCGTACTGTAGAAGGGGTAGATGGTGCTCGGGCTGGACGGCCGTGCTCCCTGTCTTGGTCCGTTGCGTTTCCTGCCACTTGCCAAAGATGTGAATGGCCACTTGCGATGTGAGTGAACCGATTCCGAACCCAAGATAGGCGAGTCCTGCCTCTCCCGAGTTGAACTTGTAGGTGCTTTGAAAGACACTGGTAAAGGTCGAGAACATGAAGTACATGTAACTGTACGCAATGGCTCCGAATAGAGAGAGGATGACTGCTGCTGGGCAGCGGATCAACATCTTCCACGGTCGAGCGAGAGAAGGCAGCAGAGAAGTTCGCAGCTGGCCGGACTTGTTGTACGACGACTGGTAGGATTCGACGCCTGTCGTCTTTCGCAGTCGCTTGGCTTTGATCTCGAGTAGTCGTGGAGCATACGTTTCAGGCAAGAGAACGAGGCATATCAGTAGCCAAAATGCAGCCTAAACACACGCACACACACACCAATTAGTATCATCGTTGCAAACCACATGGCCATGGAGGAGAACATCCCATGATGGAAAGCATCCGATATGTCCATATCCATTGTGTCGCAAGAGCCAGATATCCTCCCGCGATGGGACCGATCATGGGAGCCTTGGTATTCTTCCGTTAGCAGCTATACACACGGCCGCCCGCTTTCTCTCTCTCGGAAGCTGATCATAGCTCTCACCAACACCGGTCCCACATTCCACACATTGAGCGCCATTCCACGATCTTCCGGGTCCATCATATCCGCAATATAAGCACCGCCAAGTGATATGGTGCAAATCCCCATGACCAAGCGACCCACGATCAACACGGGGATGCTTGGCCTGAGCGCACACACAATGGCTGCAATCATAAACGCCAGATTTGTCGCGTGCATCAGAGGCGACCGACCGTACCGCTCCGAAAGAGGCGACAGGACCAAGGATCCTGCGGCGACTCCTACCACTTGTATCGAAACTAGCAGTTGAGCGATGACTGCGTTGTCAGATCCAAAATCTGCCATTGCTTCGGGGATGACTGGAGCAACCATGGTGATGGACATGGCTCTAAAGGGTTTGGAGATCAAATAAATCAGTTGCTGAGCGCTAACAGAGAGAGATAGAGAAAACACGTCCGTACTGGCAGAGCGTCAGAGCAGAATTCTTGATTACTATCGCCCATTTCTTGCGTGGAGACCAATTTCGTGGGTTCGCTGGGTCAGTTGGGCCGTCCCAATCGACAGTATATTCTTCTGCTTCTTCTTCTTCTTCTGATGTGAAACCTGTCACGTTCGCTGCTTCGAGTACCTTCGCGGCCTTTTCGCAGTCATGGCTTGATGCGTCGAGATCCGTTGTGGCTTCATGATTGCTGACACTGGTGGTCCATGGTCGCTCGTGAGTATCAGGGGAATGCTCGTTTGCCATGGCTGAACAACGATATAAGAGTACAATGGAGTTTGTGGAGGTTTCATAAAACAGGAGTTCGAGTCTGAAAACGAGGAGTAGAGATGATATTGAAGTGCAGAGTCTGCAGACCTAGCGGGAACGGCGATGCTAGCTGTCTACATTATTGTGAGACCGGCAGAAGAGCCAGTCTGACCGCCGCCGGACCGCATCGCCCGAACATAATAATGTCAAAAGGGAGATGTTGGAGGCGGTACAGCAACAGGGGGCGGAGTGCGAGTGAAAAGTGCAACAGACTGTGTCTTATACATATGGTGTTGCAGCATGAGGTATTGTATAATGATGCTGTCGGCTATCGTGGTTGTGCCAGGGGGGGGACGAAAGTAGGCTTGGCAAGCTCCTAAAAGGGGGATGCCGGCCCGGTGGGACAGTGCAAGTGAAAAAAAGAAAAAAGGGCCGGAGGCCCGGAGCCCGACGGCGACATGGCTAACTACCACTACCAATGCCTACAATCTATCAACTACATTTTTCCCCCATACCGCTTCACAGCAGAAACCCCTAATCGACTGTACGCGCTCAATCGAAGAACACCAGAGCGCGAACTTCGATACTCTGGCGCGGCTCTCCTTCACTCAAGTGCCCCAGATCAAACGAACAGTGCGGTACCGCCAGTTGCGCCTCCTGACGCGAATCATATCCCACGAATATCGCCAACTCCGTCTCCGTTTGATCAGGAATCCAATACCATCGGTGAGCGGGGCTATACAGCGCCTGATAGATCTCGTTGACGATGTTCGGGAACACTTCGTCCGTCACCATCAGGTCGGTGGATGTGTTGACCGTGCTTGCATCGCAGTACGCCAACGGGTAATCTCGAAGGGGCCCTTTCAACGGCTTCCATGCACTGCAGTACACACGATGGTCAGCTCGGCCAGGTCAACGCTTCCGTCTGTGTGTTCTTCACTGACTTGATTGCCTGAAAATGTCTGTTCTTGAGCTCCGGTGCCTTGCTGCCGAAATAGTTCTGGAGACGCTCCTCGATTTCTTTCGTGGTGTAGTCTGTGGTTTTTGATGAGCGGCAATATCTCTTCTCTCAGGGGCTACGACTCACCAATGTGGGCAGAAAGCGCTGGTTGAGGACCTTGGTCCTGCGATGGAGATGTCTTGAGGAATTCTGGCTTTCTCTTCCTGATCATCTGTGCCACAGGTTTGGTAAGTCAGCAGTCGAATTGACGATGGAGGTTTCCTGTGGCTGGCTGACGCCTCACATACGTAGTCGAAGATGTAGATTTCCTTCGCCCCGAGAGTCTTCTGCAGGCAACGATGTACTGCTGGCAAGTATGTACTCTCTATCTTCGACTCGTCATCGAAATCACTTGGAGGCATACAACTCTCGAGCTCGCCCATGGCCAGCCCACTCCTGTTGTAATCCAGGTTGGCCGACCGGAGGCTATGGATCTTGATTCCGGGATGAAAATCAATGGTAAAATTCGACCATGGTATGCCTTCTGATGTCGGATACGTCAGAATATATGGTTTCTCCGTCAGCAGCTTCTCGCCATCTCCTCGAGCATATCGAAGGGTGGCCAATACTGTATCTCTCATTGCTGAAAATGTGATGTCGTGGCACTGTCAACAAGGGAAGATTTTTCATCTTTGACATGTGAGCCAAGAAGGCTGCTTTTTCTACCGCCGAGAAGCTGCCTACGCCGTGTCACACGACCTGTGTGCCCCCCGTATGCGCAATACAGAGTCTCTACGCATCGTACCAGCCAACAAGGCCTGGCAGCCCTGTATACGGGCTCCCTGCGCAAGAATGAGTACTTATGCGACTGACAGAAGAGAGAGATGATCAATGCTTCTGACCGACGAAGATACTTGACAGTCCCGGCCAGCTTCTCAGTAGTATAGACGCTATGAGCGTATTGAACCAGCAAGAAGAATTCCATCATCGCATACGACGACCAATCTGTTGCTGAATGGTTATTCTTTTCCAAAGGGGCAAGCCAACGCGCGCGGCGCATACTTGCTCAACTCCCCAGCCGACGATTGCTGGGGGGCGAGAGTTATACCGAAACTCACGTATTCACTCGCTACGCTCGCCGTAGTGTGATGATATGAGTAAGCGACACTATGGCGACGGATTTGGAGCATGCTACGTTTCGGTATGGTCCAACAGTCATCGAGCATCCCCTTGAGCAGAGACTTACACACTTCACGCCACTGAAAGTAACATTCAGACGGGCCGAGTCGTACAATCGATATACACGAACATCTTAGCGAACATCGTGCTGACCCGTAGCAGGTTACGGTTAACTCCTGCTGTTGCAATAGCAATCATTGTCCAATGATACGTCGAAGCGACACACCAACGCCGACTGTCTTCCATCATACGTTTCCCCTGGCGTGCGTCGTGTCGATCATTTCGTGTGAGTTGGGCACAAAGCATCATGTTCGTGCTCAAACAAGAGCAGAACACACGAGGGCCATTCTTTCAATCCAAGGGGGAAGCCTGTCAACACGAGAGATGCTCCCCGAGAATTCGATTGCTGTGTGTGAACATCGCTCTGTCAATCAAGCTAGAGGGTCACGCAATACCAAGAGGTGCTGTTATGGAGCTGGAAGATCAGATAGAACGGCATATATAAGAGATGAATCATTTCGCCCCCTTTCTTCCATCTCCTGACAAAGATCAGCGAATCAAAACAGAAAAACAAGTAACCCACCGCCAATCACCAATCCCCACCACCACCACAAACAATCAACAACGCTTCAAAATGCCAGCCACTTCAGCAACCATGCCAGCCGAAGAGGTAAAGATCCAGCCATGGAAGAAAGTCTTCCCGCAAAAGGAGAGCGACAAAGCCATCGATGCCGAAACCGATCCTCAGCAAATTGATCTCCGACGCTCCTACGCCACTCACGCACCAAACAGCAAGGGCAGCCTCATCGAGGTCAAGACCGAGAGTAAGCATTTTCGTCCGCATTCTGCATCAGCTCGTCTGTTCTGATCTCCGCTGATGACCTCTTTTTTTTTCTTGTCGCGTAGCCAAGTAAGCGGAGCAACCCCTGAAATCTGCGAGATAGGGGGGAGGGCGGAGCCGGATGGCATTGTCTCATTTTGCAACTTGATGGAGGTCATTGTGAGAATTTGAGTGCATAGATAGCTATCGGCAGTACATTCGTTTGAATCATAATCATATCGATGACAATCATATACATTCGTTTCTCCCCCTTTCTTTTCTAGTGGTCGCTTATACGAGCATTACAGCTCTGTAGCACGATATCTCTTACCTCCATCGTTCGAACGGCGCACACATTGTATCTAGCATATTCTCCATTGGTTGACCATACCATAAACCCGGTGTGTTCTTGCGAGGGAAGAAATGATTGATAGGGAGTAGCAGTAACTCGAACATTCTATCAAAGTCTATCGACAAAACCCCTGAGCATATCGAGTAATTCCAAAAACTCGTCCGGCACGTACTGCCTCAACAATAAATCACCCGTATGAGTCATTCCCAATCTCACCCTTCCCACACTCCTCACGCCAGCCCGAACGAGTTTCCTGCAATACTCGATCCCTTCATCCCTCAACGGATCCAACTCAGCAACCATAATCACATGAGGCGGCAAGCCACACAAATCAGACTCCATCGCCCAGTATGGCCAAGCAAAACGATCGTTTCGAAATTTGCCCTGATGGTCGTAGAGACGAGCATAAATCGAGCACGAAGAACAACTCACATCATATCCATCACACTCGACCAAAGATTGCAGCAGATTTTTCAATTTCCATTCCCGACTCTGGTCGTACGCTCCGCTGATATAGGGATCCACGGCAAACACACCATCGATCGTAGCCTTTGTATTTTCACTAATATTGAGTCTCAACGCTGTAGCCAAAGCCAGATTTGCCCCTCCGCTATCACCGTGCAGCACGATTTTGCTGATTCGCAGGTCTTGTTTGTGTTTGTTTATCCACCTCGCTGCTGAGACACAATCGTCTAGTCCCGTAGGAAATGGATTGAGATTGGTGTGTGAACTGGCTTCGGGATTTCCGTTGCTGAGAACATTGCTGAAATCCACGAGAATGGCGACCAGACCCGTGCGAGCAATCGCTTCTGCGTAGCTCGTGTGTAGACGATTTTGCGTGGATAACATGACCATGCCACCTCCGTGAAAATACAAGACGGCGGGTAGCTCCTCCTGAGAGTTTTCATGGGCGGGGCGATATATGGATAGTTGAATTTGGTTCTCGTTGACGCCAGGAATGAAGACTTGTGTCACGGTGATTGGACTTTGTTGCGAAGGATGTAGTACGCCAAAGTCCATTCCATGTATCATGCTCTCGAGTGCCTTTTCGCTCTCATGGGCGAAAGCAATTATTTCTGCTAGAGAAGCATCTGGAGTGATGTTCGCGGTCAGAAAAGTATTGTACTGCATTTCATACGCTTCTAGGCCTTTCAGGAGTCCACGATGAGTTCTCGGATCGGTGGCGAGGCTCGATTGAGAGTTTCCCAGACGACCCGGAAGGAGCATTTTCGTTCTTCTGGATGCGATGATGGTGGAATGAGGGTCTGTCGCTGAAGGATCGATTTTTTTTTGTTGCTGTCGACCATTGGAAAGAGTACAATATTCTCAGTCGTCCGATCGAAACTCATTCGTGAAGCCGAAGATTACCAAATACGGCAACTTGCTCAAACCCCTGTCCAAGAAAAAAATGCTCACGAGGGGGGGAGAAAAAAGGGGAAAAAAAAAGAACATCCATGAAGAAACCGAAAAGGAAAACTGCTCAAGAGAAAAGGGTCATCCATGAAAAGTGCCCAGGGAAACTGCTCAGGCATCTTGTTCTTGGGCATTGCAAACACATGTACGTAAATTCTGATATTGTCTTCGTGACCCCTGGCGAAGTATCCTAAGTGAAAAGGGTTACAGGGTCACGCAAACATTTTCTCCCCCCGGCCGTCGATGATCATGTTGTATTGGGCTCGTGTCGATAGTAAACCCCAGAGAGTCTCCAAGCTCGGGATACGAGATGGCAACATTGTCGGTGTAGATGAAGGTTTCGCTATACACACGTACGGACTAAGGGATTCGCCTGGACCAACCATAATTTCTTCCATGCACCAGAGAGAAAATAGGGGAAAAAATCTGATTGTTTACATTGTCTCATCAGAATTCCAAGTAGTAAGCCAAAAAAATTTATCATGAGAATCATCATCGTCGGCGCTGGCGTCTCAGGCCTATCCACATATCTCCTCCTCGAAAAACTTCTCCCACCAATTCTCGGCAAAACTACCAGAAAATTAGAATTCCTCATTTACGACTCCCACATCTCCATACCAGCGGGAGCAGGATCAGGAGCAGGGCCCATTGGTAACACTTCCATCCTCCCTCCAACCAGCATCAAGATTCTACAACAAATCGATCCTGAACTGTATACGTTGTTCAAATCACAAGGATTCGAGAACCATGCTTTTACAATTCGATCTGCGAGGGGATATACTCTTGCAAAGCTGCCTACAACAACAACAACAACAGCCACAACAGCAACAGTCGATCAGAAAGAGGAATATGCCATCTCATGCCCTCATGCCGTCCTCAAAGAATGTCTACGAGAAATTGTCGGAAGGCGAGAGCAGCCGATTCTCCACGGCAAAGTCATCGATGTAGAGTTGGGAGGAGGAAAATCTCCAGATGGAAATCAGAAACCGCGAGTCAAATTCTCCGACGGCCGTCCCTCCGTCGAAGCAGATTTGGTCATTGGTGCAGATGGCGTCCACAGTGTGGTGAAACGAGCAGTGTTTGGTCAAGAGGCTGATGAAAAGCACTATGCACCGGAATTTGAGTAAGTTTTTTTTTCTCATCTTCTGCCGTCTGTTCTTCATGTTCTTGATTTGTTCGTTCATGCGAAGTGAATAGACCTGACCTCCTGAGCTACATTACAACAGGGGTTTCGGCGGCGTCGGCTCTTTCATCAAGATGGACAACAGTAAGGAGAAGAAGAAGGATGAGGAGAGCGTGCCAGATATTATCGCGAAGCAGAAGAGTGCGGTAGTCACATTCGGGCCTACAGGCTCTTTCGGCTATGCTGCTGTATCGCCCCTTTCAGCATGCACAACGCTGGGATGGTGGTCCAACTGGCCATCAGAAGAAATCCCTTCCCCTGAATCCACCGACGCGGCTCAAGTACAAAAACAGTTGGAGCAGCGGCATGGAACTTGGAAGGACCCGATAATCCAGAAATGTATCTCTGCTTCCAACACATCATCAGTCTATCCGTTGTGGACAACGCCAAAGTTACCACACTGGGGCAAAGGAGGGTGTGTTTTGCTCGGAGATGCTGCTCATACGTTACAAGCGACCAGTGGACAGGTAAGTTTCCGTCAATCGAAGGAAGGGTTGTTGGAAGACGAACTCCTTTTTCTTTCTTTCCACACAAAGATCTCGCGGCTGACTTGTTTGTCAAACTCATTCAGGGAGCAGCACAAGCCCTTGAAGATAGTGTGACTTTCTCCCTTCTCCTGACTCACTACCTTTCGGAATCATTGCAAGAAGAGGAGACTTCACTTGATGATTTTGATGATGATGATGACCAAAGATCCACCTCCTCCCACGCCCTCGCCCAAAGCATCGATTCCGCCACCAAAGCTCTCTATGAGCTTCGACACGAACGAGTAGCCAATATCAAGACACAAACGCGGAATCTATATTTCGGCAGACGCAAGATTACTACTCTGTGGTGGGAGTATACATATTATTGCTTCTTATTCCTCGTGACAAACTTTCCTCGCATCGGTAAGTGAGCAGGACACTCGGGGTTCAATGGGGCCCTTTCTCTTTCTTCTCTTTTCAGCTGACACGACAATGTTCTTTTTTTTTGCGCAGGTGGTTGGATCATTGGCAACTCCTTCTCAGAAGCCGGGCGAGAATGGAATGCGAAAGTGGAAATCGAGCGATTTTTGAGAGATGGATCATGATTGTTGGAGGGGAGAAGCACTTACAATCTTCTTTGGCCTTAATGTAAACTACTCTGCCGAATAGAACGAACGGAAAATCATCTCTCGGATGTTATTCGGACGCAGAGCAGTTCACTGTGCACCTCTTATTGATTATGATCGATAAACTCACTCGATTCTACTTCGAAAAGAGAGAAATGATATTCCTTCTAGCAAGGGGTAGTTTCTCTTGTATATTCCGATCACGAAGTGACTATTTAGGCTCTCTATCTCTCCTCAACCCACAAAACATTCCTCATGCCTCTCGCAAGCACCAGACATACCAAAAGTAGCTGCTCCCCCCACGTCCATATACTGGCCCTTGATAACGACCTCCCCGCAGCTCGAGTACCCTCTTCGCATCGTTTCCCAAAGATTTTCTGCTCGGGATGCGCCCTTTTGCTCACAACTTGAACACCATCGTTGCTGTGCACTTTCAGCGAGGGAGCACGCCTGGCCAGTTCTGATTCCACAGGCCGGTGTACGGTTTTCGTGCCGCAGTGGCAGTTTTGGTGCCGCAGTGGCATTTTTCGTGTGACTTGGTGCCATCGCTTTCAGTCAGGTTCCATGAATCGTGTAGGCATGTAGCATTTCGTGGATGAGTGTGCCCCCCCTTCAACCAGTTCCACATATCACCCTTCTCTGCAATGCAATCCGGCAGGCTCATGACATACTTCGACGCGGTTTGTCGAGTCTTCAGATCCAATGCAGCTCCAATATCCAAAGGATAAAGCCGAAATTACGGTATAATTGTCTTCAGCCATATGAATGCTCTGAAGTTGCATCTGGCAAAATTATTGCTATAATCACAGTTTATAGATGTTTTCTCGGAAGATATAATGAAGCCAGAGATGGTATTCTCTTGTCCTGCGATGATTGCCGTCCACTTCTGCTGGCGCCCCTCCAGAGATCGGTTATGGTCTGGTGCGTGGTGTTTGGAAGGCCGCTATTACCAGCATTGATCTGCGCCGGAAAGGGTTAGTTGCTGGGCTGGAGAGAGGGAAAGGTGGAGAAGGAGGGGAAAGGGGATGCGTACCTTGGGGGCGGGCCAAATGATCTCCATGACAAGATCAGGGTTCGTATATCCGTCGGTGTGAGTGGGGAGTTCGGTGGGAATGCCAGTGGAGGCAGCGGTGTTTGGGTCAGGGTCAAAAGCTGTGTTGGCGGTGGCGGCGGTGGTTTTCTTGGTCGGAGCCATGATGAGATTGAGTAGGTGGTGGTGTCGACCTGTTCTGTCTTTGAAAAGCTGCCCCACGCTGCACCCCCTCCAAGGTGAGTACCTCGCCAGCGAAGCTCCTTTATCAGAGGAGTATCAAGATGAGAGAGCCGATCCTCGGATCTGAGTGTACTTCACACTGCGTATAGCGTGTTGTCTGGTTAGTGTTGTATATAGTGTGTTGTCTGGTGGGTGTTGTATATAGTGGATTCATGGGTATGCAAGCCAAGGAAGGGCATGTGGTATCAGAACTGAAATCAACGTGAGCAGCGAGAAGTCAGACTTTATACAGAGCGAAGAGCAAGTGACTGGAAGCGAGCAATCAGGAGAAGACTTGTTTGTGCTTCCGAAGAATCTTCGAGCCTATACTGGTGCAACCATCAGCAACAACCAGACGCGTCTAGGATGATGACATGATTTGCGTATGTCGCGGGTGTGTTTCCATTGTTCTTGTCTCTGGTTGGGTACAAGAATCAAAGCCCCGAGACTGCGAGACATACGCCTACCTCCACAAATCCATATCTGAGTGATCTTGTAGTGACCCTGGATCGTCGACGGTGCTGGTGTAGCTTCTGGAATGAGCCGTGAAGGTGCGGGCGTAGATGCCCTCAAAGTATTGTCACAATACATACATACATAGCCTTACTGTCGCCGGTATACCACTTGAGGCTTGCCTGTGCCATGCTGTTTCCTGTTCGCCCGCAAATGCATTTTCCCGCGGCTCGTAGCTGCCCAATCCATCCATAGATCGGCGTTGCGACAAGCAAGGTGGAGGCCCGTGGTAGGTCTGGATACAAGGCGTCGATTCCGCAACATCCAGGAGATTATCTATTTGCCGGGCGCTTGGAATGGATCGGCATTCCCGCTCAGAAGCAGTCCAATGATGAGTCCAAACAAGCCGAGCACTGAAGAGAAGATCTCAATAACGAGAACCTTGACGAATCTTGGGCTGGTTAGTATTTGCTATTCTCGCCTCTGAGCTCGTCATGTACTCACAAACTTGGATCAGCCGCGTCAGACAAGGCAGCACTAGACCCGTTGATACCGACAGAGACGCCGCAGATCAAGTTGCACGCGCCGACCAGGAGTCCGGACCAGAAGAGAGCATAACCGGTGAAATAGTTTCCCGCAGAGTATATCCCTGGCCCCGATACATTCTCCATCTTGGCGGAGAAGACAATGCTCATGATGACGCCGTAGATGGCCACGACTTCACAGAAGATGATGGAGATCAAGTTCTTGGTCCGGATTCGTGGTGCCTTGACACCTCCTCCAAGGATGGACGAGCCTGTAATGAAGATGCCCCTATACGTATTCTGTCTCAGCTGTTGTTCTCGACGTTCGTCCTTCATTTTGCCCGTCTACCAGCCTTCTCCCTCACGCCTGATGCCTCTCATGCTTCGCGGAATAGTGTATTACTGACCATGCTGCTCCCACCACAGACAGTCCTATGCAGAGGGCGATGCCGGTCGAAGCCCAGGCGTAGGGTGATATGGATTCGAGAAAGGCGCCGACGTTGAAGGCCTCTCCTTCGCCTTGGAAGAGCATATCTATCGTCTTGGGTTAGTCGCGACCTCCCTCTAGCTCTCGCCCTCCCTCTCTCGCTCTCTCTCGCCTCGCCTCGCCTCGCCTCTCCATTGAGGGATTGTGTGGGATGGGGATAGTCGCGTACAAAGTCCAATGACCGTGAGGGCCGAGCCAGCGCCCCCAGCGCCATAGTAGAGTCCTCCCATGGTTGACGAGCAGCGGAAGAGTGTTGGAGATGGATGTGGATGCTTCCTTCACTCGAAAGTGTCGCCTGGAGCTGATGCACATGACATCGCGAGTTGACGGGAGCTGCCGGCTCCCGCTCCGCCCTCTCCCTCGCCCTCCTCATCTCCACCAACTACCTTATTATATAACCAACGACCCCTCAACACCTTCAATCTCTTGATACCCCAGACACCTCTCCAGCAACACTCGCTCGAGGTGCTCTCACCGCATATTACTCGCATCGTCTCGCACCGTTGAGGAGCGATCGGTATCATGGCGCAGACTGCAGCGCAACTGGGCTACTATGAGCTCTACAGAGGCACTTCGTATGCGCCTCCCTTGCCATGTCACTCCCGCAGGTAGAGAGAGAGGTAGAGAGGTAAGAGGAACTGTACGCTAATGACATCTTATGCGCGCAGCATCGGCCTCGCTCTCGCCGACACGCTCGACGACCTGATCAGTTCTCGGCGCATCGAACCTCAGCTTGCTATGCGCATCATGGCCAACTTCGATCAGCACATTGCCACTGTACTCGGCGACAAAGTCAAAGCTCGCATGACATTCAAGGTGAGACGTCCCGTGCAGTCGAGGCAGGGTGAGGCGGTAAATGGGGACTGATGCTCTGTCAAGGGACATCTTGACGTCTATCGATTCTGCGACGAAGTGTGGACGTTTGTGATCAAGGACGTGAAATTCAAAATGGATAATGCCCATCAGATGGACGCGGAGAAGGTCAAGATTGTAGCATGTCAGTCCAAGGACAAAGCTCCTTAGTAGCAAGCTGTGGAGAGGACGGGTTCGGCGAGGCGAGCAAGGTGGAGGATACCCCAGTCCAGCACGACCAAGAAGAAGAAGAAGAAGAATAAGAAGGATGCTCTGCTCCGCTCACGAAGAGAGGAGAAGCGCGCCAGAGGTTTGCTCCAAGACAACACTGAGGCCGAGAGGACTCGTGACTGATTCAGGTTCGCCGTCACGATTAATGGTACTCACACAGGCGCAAGGGTTCGGCCAACGAGAACGAGGTTCTACGCGTGAGAGCCAGCAGTGAAACGTGGAGAGCGATTCCAGAACTGTTATGGCTTGCCCTTAATCAGACACATATTGATGATGAGATGAGTAGATGAGTGGTCTTGCATACAGGTACCGAGGTTACAGTATCATAATGCAATTGGCATATGACATGGATTCAGCAGCTTCATCAATGAGGATACATGGTAAGCAGCACTAGAATTCGAAGAAGAAGTATAAGAATCTAGCATCTATTGTCTACGTTGGTTATATCATGGCTGGTATTCTTCAATTGTACTTGATTAGGGCATATTACGCAGGCCCGGCTGTGCTACGTCCGTCTCGTCTCAGTCTTTGCTTCTGAAGTTGGTACATGTAGTAGAGTGAATTGTGATTGTCGGAAAAGTGCACATGCATACGCTGAGTAATCAAAATGAAGAGTGAGGTACCTGACCTTAGGTAGTTGCATGCCAAGCCCCCCTACTCCTACAAGTCTACAACCTACAACCTACAGAATCTCATCTCATGTCACCTCCCTATCCCCTCAACCCTCCAACAATCCATACATACACACATTAGGTAGTACCACTACCCCCATCCATAATCAAGAAAAGAAAAAAAAAAAGAGCCATGACATCCCACTCCAATACTCCCCAATGGCTCATCTACGCCCTCTCCTCGGGCTTCTGCGCCGCCCTCAACGGGGTATTTGCCAAACTCACCACGACGCAATTGACGAGTACCTGGGCGACAGCCATTTCCACCGCTCTAGGAGGAGGAGGCGAAGAAGAAGGAGGGAAATTCGTGATTATTGTGGAAGGATTAGTGAGAGGGGTGAGTTCACATTTTTTCTTTATTTTTCGATTTGTTTCTTTTTTTCTTTTTCAAAAATTCAACATTTCTGAAATACAAATATTGAATAGTTCTTCTTCCTCCTCAACCTCCTCTTCAACGCCATCATGTGGGGTTTATTCACCAATGCACTCCGTCTGGCATCCAGTACCGTCCGAGTGAGTGTGATGAATACGAGTGCGAATTTCATGATGACGGCGATTTTGGGCTGGGTGATTTTTCGGGAGAGTTTACCTGGTGAGTTTTCTCTTTTCTTTCTTTCCTCTTTCTTCCTTCTTTCTTCCTTCTTTCTTCTTCATCTCTATTAACATGTCAAAAACAAAATCAAGGTCTATGGTGGCTCGGCGCAGCCATGCTCGTCACGGGATCGGTGATTATCGGAACGAGAGATGACGGAGACAAGAGCAGTGGGAATGGAAATAAGAAGAATGATGACAATTCTACTCCTCTGGTAGCAGCAGGGGAGGATGTGGATTTGGATTCCTATACGGATGAACCTGATGCTCCGGTGGCCAGTCGTGTGGGGAATACATCTCAAGTACCTGAAGCAGCCGATGATGATGATGATGATGATGATAGCGATGATAGTGAGTTTGAAGGGAAGACGAGGGGTAAATAGGTAACGGGGAGACAACAAAGACGACGACAGTGATATGTTACGCGACTCTCAGAAAAAGCATTTGAAGCAGAGGAAGTTTTTTTTTTTTTGGCTTTTGTCAGTGTGACAAAAGTGCTTTGTCTACCTAACATTAAGTACCTTATAGTGTACTTGTTGTCGAGCATCAGCAGCATAGCTGATAATAAGCTCCCAAACAATGCCCAAACTCGAGGCAAAGATGACTGTCGACTATCTGCTCCCAAACATGGATCCTCCCTTCCCCTTTCCACTCTGCAATATGAGTTGATTGCCTTTTTGCCTTTCACCACAGTAGCTTAAGTAGTGATAAGACCAAGAAACACCACAGCCTCCATCAGCAGTCATGAATCCACACCCTGATTAGTACCTATAGGTAGGTAGGTAGTGAGTAGCTTTTACTTTCCAAAAAGCTCATCATTCTTTTCATCTCTGTTATTCGTACACATCCCAGCCTCAGCCCAGCTCCAGTCTTTTTCTTTTCTATACCAATATCGCACCATCTCCTCCTCTTCCGGAACGTCACTCATGTCCAACCAAACGAAAATGAGAACAGAAAATCCCCGCCCACACCTTGAGTTACTTCCTACAAGTCTCTCACGCGCCATACGCCATACGCCTGCCTGCCTCTATTCGTCGCTTCTCGCATCAGACATGATATTGCTTTTTTTTTGGCAATAAAAAAGAAAAAAGAAAAAGAAACCAAAATCGCTAAGTCGACTGAAAAGAATCGCCCGAATTCTTCGCGTCTCGTATACTCCTCTGCATCATCTTCTTCTTCTTCCGCCCCTCCTCCTCCTCCTCCTCCTCCTCCTCCTCCTCCTCCTCATCAAACATCTTCTTCTCATTCTCATTCTCATCAGCATAAGAAACAAGACATCTCATCTCCACCTCCTCATCCGTCATCATCATCATCGTCGTCGTATTCGTACTCGTCGTCGTCTGTCCACAAACCACCGAATCCGCAGGCGAAGGCAGCTGAGTTGTTTTCCGAAAGGTATCCGAGAGTTTTCTCGAATGCGCTTTGACTCGATCCAGAGTATTTCCTCCTCCCGTTCTGGCGTGGGGGAGAATGACATTGTGGAGATTATCGCTTCCGTAGAAGCCTGAGACGCGATTTGCGTTGCGTTGGGCTGAAGGGGGAGGAAGATTGGGAAGAGGAGCGGGACTGGTGGGATAGGTGCCTCCAAAGTCGGGAAGGCTGAGAAACGCGGGAGAAGAACCTGGAATGGGTGCAGCGCGAGGTTGAGTGAATTGTTCCAGGGTGGGCATGGGTCGTTCGGTGAAAGTGCCGGATGGGGAGGATTGGAGAGGTCGGAGTTGGTGATACATGCGCTGGGCATCTCGGTGGGATTTTTCGCGAATTTCGTGGTGTCTGGAATGCGATTTTTTAGCATGTGAAGAAGAGTACAAAGGAAGAGAGGAAGAAAATTAAAGGTCAACTTACTGTTCATCAGTCAATCCCGCAATCTGAACATCTTCTCTTCGAAAATTTCTCGGTGCGCTCTTTTTTTGGGGAGAAGACAAGCATAGATCAGATACTATTCATTCTGGACTGAGAGAAAGAAAAGAACTCACAATCTCAATCGACCTCCGTGAAGAATCATAATCATCATCCTCATCATCATCATAACCCCAACCACCACAACAAAACATCGCTCTCAATCTCATTCCCCAAGTCGATGAAACTGCCGGGCTCAGCGGCGACGGCGACGGCTGTGTCTTCTTCTTCATCATAACCAACAAATCGTCGTCGTTATTATTATTCGCCATTGTCTTTTTCGTTCTCTTTGTTTCCCCTTCCCACACACAATCAATCAATCAATCAATCAATCATGCGCAAAGAGGGAATAAGGCTGGCGGGCGGGTCGATCTTCTTGATTTTGTAACGCAATGCAATGCAATGCAATTCTCTCTCTGCCCTTTGGAGTCGGGGAAAAATTCGTCCTGGAGTGTGTGTATAATATGGCTGTAAGAAAGAGAGAGCGAGAGAGAGAAAGAGAGTTTCAGAACTTTTAAAGAGATGTCTTTGTCTGAGTCGTAAGAGTCTCTCTTTTTTCCTTCTTCTTCCCGTACTGTGTCTTTTCGGCAGAGACACACACACACACGAGTCTCTCAGCCCTTTTTTCAGAAGATGCAATTTCGATGCAATAGTGTGTTTCGCAGTGTCATTGGACGCGGGGGAAAAAATAAAAGAGTATTGGACTGCTCTTTTTTATTTCTTCTTCTTTTTGGTCTTCGTTTTCGTGATGAAAGGATGAAGGGAAGCAACAAAGAGCTGCTCTTCTGCTGCTAGGACCCAGAATGGTGGTGTGAAAGGGGTAGAGAGTGCGGCTTGTTATTGGTACACGGTAGGTAGGTAGTTGCAGTAGGTAGTTCCAAGTCTTGTAGTATTGATGATGATGATGATATATAAAAAAAAAAGGTGCAGGCAGATACACAGGAGAAGTAGAGTAGCGTAGGTATACGTATAAGGTATGCAGCCCAATGCAGCGTTGTGCCTTGTCAGGGTGAGATTATTTGTGCAAGCCAAAAGTAAAAAGGCAAGGTAAGGAACTAGGACTCATCTAGGAGTATACTTTTTTCTTTTTTCTTTTCTCTCCCGTCTCTCCCGTCTCTCCCTCTCTCTCTGCCTCTCCTGGCATCGAAAGGAGGAGGAGGAAAGCCGCATCGGGTACATTCTTCATTTCTCCCTGCTGGAATGTTGTTTTGGATTACAAAGAAGGCTATTTTCGGAAGTACAATGTGAATAACAATAATCATCATCACCACCTACCAAATATGATGGAGAGTGAACTATTAGGAGGGATATATACTGTATACTGGTTCCGATATAATATTATTGATTTTGAACGTTGACATGTTAGACTTTTGGACCCTAGGACACCGTGTCAACATGGATCCAGGTCGGCTGAATGGGGTATTAGTAAGTGATTAGTACAACTAGTACAACCAACGCTGTAGTCAGTATTCGACTATTTAGTTGGTATATTCACCTGTACTCACCTGTAATATCAAAGAGGTAAAAAGACATTCCGTGTAACGCAGCACCAACGCGTGGCGTCATCTGGTTCCACGCGCTCGAGTCGAAGCTCCTTTCATCAAGACAGAATTGTACATACTGTCTTACGCATGTCTGTCGCTCAGCTACATATCTGGCATGCAATTAAAACATACTCTCATGTTAACTCTGCAAAGCTGCTGCTGCTGCCGCCTCCAAGTCTCCAAATGATTCAATCTCCATCTCCTGCTGCTCCATATCCGTTCTCTTGCCCTTTTCCTGGAACCATTTCACCTTTTTCTTTTCCGTCTTCTGTTTCTTTTGCGCCCTCTCCTCCTCCTCCTCCTCCTCCTCCTCCTCCTCCTCACTCTCATCGGCGCTTTCATCACTTTCTCGTGTGTCGTTCAAGAACTTTGCAAACTCTTCTCTCGCGTCCTCGAGTCCACCACCACTACCCTCGCTTTCATCATCACTATTCTCGGGCGCATTCGCTGCCGCCCTCTCCTCCTTCTCCTTCTCCTTCCGCTTCTGCATTTTGGCTCTACGCTTCTCTTTCGCGAGCGCCTTGTCCTCTACATCAGCCTTCTCGGCACGCTCCGCTTCCTTCTCCAAGAACTTCCTCCTTTGTTCTTCCGCTTCGCCCTGAGCTCGGAACCCTTCTTCATTCTCGAGCTCATACACCTGCTGTGCATTGCCATCATCGTCAAACACCAATTTCTGGCCCTTGTCCTTGAGCTTGGTCAGCTTCTTCTTCGACTTGAGCAACTTCTCGCGCCGCTTCGAGTCGAGCACCAGAGGCGTCTTGGCTCCAGGGATGAGGACACTCCTGACCCCCGTGGTAGTGTCTGCTTCTTCTTCACCTTCACCTTCGCCTTCATCATCTTCCTCGTCTTCACCAGACCGCACTTCGTCTGCTGCTATGCGGCGCTTGACCGAGAAGAGCTCATCATCAGACATTTGTTCTCCATCCAGTCGATGCATGTCGTCTTCGTCCTGGCGAACAAGCTTCCTGTTGTGCTCTGCCAGGATATCCTGGTTTTGTCGCTCGAACATGCGGTCGTACTTGGTGCGCACTCCGTTCTTCTTCTGCTTCTTGTTGTCCTGCTCGTCTTCATCGTCTTCATCGTCGTCCTCCTCGTCATCGTCGTCAGAGGCCCGGAACAGTGCTTGACGTGACTCGTTCTTCTTGCGTCTTTGCGCTTCTGGGTCTGCATTTAAAAACTTGATGCGGGGTGCACCAGGGAGACCCATACTAGCCGCCCACTCATCGAGCTTGTATTTTTGCAAATTAAACACTTCCTTGTCCTTTTGGATGTGGATGCTCTTGGTGTACGCGATAAATGCCTTCTGGGCGAGCTGCTTCACGTGAGGGTCCTGAAAGCACATGTTCTGTAACTGGTCCTTGATGCTTTGCTGCTTCTTCTGCCGTACGTTGATGCGTTCGATCGGAATCTTCTTCTGCTCCAGTCGTGTAAGCATGCCTTCCTCTTCGCTGGGGTCGAGGAACAGCACTGCGCGACCTTCGCGCTCGTATCGCGCAGTGCGACCGACTCGATGAATGTAAGTGTCCGCATCTTCGGGGCAGTCGACTTGCACGACCCAGTCTACCGCCGGAAAGTCCAGACCACGTGCCACGACATCGGTGGTGAACAGACAGCTATGCTGCGCGCGTGAAAACTTCTCCGTCGTCTCGAGCCGTGTCGTCTCTTTCATTCGTCCGTAGAGATGCAACAGTGGGATACCGGGCTGCATATGGCGGAAAGCTTCGAACACGAATCGTACTTGCTTGGTGGCGGACAGGAATACAATGATCTTGGACTTTTTCGCCGACTGTATGAAGGACCAGAGCGTATCGAGCTTCTCAGCCAGAGGAGTAATGACATAGTTTTGCTGCAAAGTCTTGGGAGTTGCTGAAGCAGCAGTCTCATGCACCGAGATGTACTCGGGCTCTTTCAGCGACAGTCGCGCCAGATCCGACACTCGCTTGCTCTGTGTGGCACTAAACAGCATGGTCTGCCTATCCTTGGGGAGGTATTCAATGATGGCATCTACAGCGTGCTGGAAGCCCAAGTCCATGATTCGATCTGCTTCGTCCATCACGAGCATTCGCAGGTTGTCCGCGTTGAAGCCCGCAGTCTGTTCCAAATGCTGCTTGATGCGCCCCGGCGTGCATACCAATATGTTCATCCTCAGCAACGCATCTGCCTCGTCTCGCACGCTCTTACCGCCAATCACGAGCCCAGCCGAGAAGAGATGTCCTTTCCCACCCACCTTCCGCAGCACCTCGAAGATCTGGATCGCCAGCTCCCTCGTAGGTGTGATAATCAGAGCGCCGAGTCCCGCATCGCCACCCACACATTGTGCTCGGTACAGGTTCTCCAGCACAGGAACGAGAAAGGCCAGCGTCTTGCCGCTTCCTGTCTTGGCTGCTCCCAGGATATCTCGGCCTTGGAGCGCCAGTGGGATGGCTTTCGCCTGGATATCGGTGAGGGTACTGAAGTGAGCGGCCTTCAAGCCTATCTTGGTCGGTTCGGACAATGGCAAGTCGGTGAAAGTATCATATTTCGCCTTCGGATCGAGTTCCTGCACTGCACTTTCCAAAGCCTCTACGTCGACATCCTCTCGCTTTCTCTTCTGTCCTCGTGCCGCTTTTTTCGGTTTCGTCGGGCGTGTGCGACCAGTCCGTACGGGAACCATGGTGCAGGTTGAGCGTCGATTCTGATTCTGGTTCTTCAAACAAACATGGTGCAAATGTTGTCGCAAACCGAATGGAAGCGAGACTGGAGCTTCACATGAAAAAAGTTGAAAGTCGGATATTCTACCCGCGTCGCAAACTCTAGTTTACCGCTACTCGTAGAACTACCCTGGTCCCGACGGCATCCTATAACACTGGCTCATCAACCTCCGACGACCTCATACCACATCGAGTTATACCGCGAATATGGCGGACTCGAAGGGAAACGAGCCCGAGAAGGATCTTAAGAAGCTCGAAAAGCAGCAGGAGTTGGAAGATGCCGCCTTTCTCGCCAATCTCGAAAAGGACTCGAAGGAGTTCGATAAGGTGACCTACGAGTCTGGTAGAGAATCTGTGCAGCAATGTGCTGATTGCAGAGTATAGGACAGCGAGATCAATCGCATTATGAACAGCTTTCGCGCCAACGCATACGACGTGTTGGATCTGCAGCCTGGTGTTCCCGAGGAAGATATCAAGAAGGCGTACCGAAAGAAATCGTTGTTGATCCATCCGGATAAAACGAGCAATCCATACGCCAAAGACGCCTTCGACCGACTCGCAAAAGCATACCAGGCTCTTCTTGATGAGAAGCAGCGCGAGAGGCTCGACGAGGCCATTGCCGACGCGAGAATGCTCTTGATGCGTGACAAGAAGCTCACGGTGGACAGCGAGGAGGTCAAGGATCCCGATGTCAACTTCATGAAAGAGTGGAAGGAGAAGGTCAAGTGGGTGCTTGCAGACAACGAGCTTCGTCGACAGCGACAGTTGAAGGCACAGATGCAGGAAGAGGGTCGCGAGAAGAAGAGAGAGGAAGCGGAGCTGGCGGAACGCAAGCGGAAGCGTGAACACGAGCAGGACTGGGAGAAGACGCGGGACCAGCGCATCGGGAGCTGGCGCGAGTTCTCACAAAAGAAGAGCGGAGAAAAGAGTGGCAAGCAGAAGAAGAAGATGAAGACGCTCGGCTGAGACGATATCATGCTCGCGCCGTTGTGCTGCATGACACCAGACTTCTCTCGGTGCGCAGGGCAATCATCATGGAGCGGTCGGTAAGGATACTACCACGGCTCACGCGATACGAAGATACGAGGAGTGAGTTTAGCGAGGCGTCTGGCATGGAATTTGACAATTTCCTCCCTCCTTCCCTCCCTCCCTCCGTTCCTGCGCGATTCCTCCGGATACCTGCACGTGGAGTGGTCCAGGAGGTCTTCTGACATGTCTGGCGTTATAAGGAGGTACTTACCTTGGCTGCTATCGAGCTCCGTTGCGCCTGCCCTCCTCATTCACGCTTCACATATGCCATGCCGAAAGCAGTATCTCAAGAGTTCTTGCGTCGTCGTCGTACCGTTCAGGAGTGGAATCGTAGGTGTGGAACATGTACGCCAATGCATCCACCTATTGATTCAGAGACTAGAAATTGGCGATGCCTCCGGCTTCTCCTCTTACTGCAATGGTGCAGCCGCAATCCAATCTCGGTACAGCTGCTCTTAGGGTCATGATGGCGAGGTGTTTGTGCTGACCTCATCATCTCCAGCATACGGAGTGAATGAAGTAATCGGACCAGAGTGGATCGGTGTCACTAGTAAACACCGCCCTGGGCCCAATCCCACCATAAAGTACGTGGACACGGGATCGGACAAACGCCAGAGGCCATTGTCAACACCAGCACCAACACCAACATCGCCTTCCGCACCAACATCGCCCTCCGCACCATCCACGCCAGTTTCGCACATGGCTCGTTCCAAGGCGGTCGTTGTCAAGATGCCAGTTGCGCAAATGACTGGTCCCAATGCGCGCGTGGGAAAGCTGCCCGTCGCCATTACGGCGCAGACACCAGCCGCCTCCAGATCACGACTTCAGGCCGCCACTCAGTCGGTTCTCGTCAATGGAGGACTGCCAACTGCTATGCACATCAACAAGCCAATTCAGCTGCTCTTGGACCCTCCGTACGTGAATGAACCAGATCTCACAGCTGCCTTGCGGATTCCGGATGGCTCAGAAACACACCAGAAGTCAGCCCTGCAGGCGTTCTATACAGCGAATACGTTTGAGTGTGGGTATCATACGACAATCACCAATGTATGTCTAGGATCTAAATGCTTTCTTGGTCCCGCAGCGACAGAAAACAGGAGTCCGACCATTCTTTGCAGCCGGCACAAGTCGCATCCGTCGCTAACACAACCACAACGCAGTTTCTACTTCAGCTGGATACCGAGAAGCTGAAGTGTCTCCAGCCGGGCTCAGTGCGATTGACGACCAAGTTGGCACATATGGGTTTCGTGAACCGAGCCTTGCAGGACTTCAACCAGCGCAGCGTCGACGGCTTGCTTCCCAGTGTGGTAGTTGTTCCCATAACAGTCGAAGGCGAGAAACAAGACGTCTGGATCAGCTGGACAGACGTCGATGGGTATGATGGACTGGCGGGAGGATGGCGGGCTGGAAAGGGCAAGGTCGTAACGAGAAAGCGACGTGCTTGATGACGATGTGTATACTTAGCTGGTGAGAAGTACCTTACTGGTATATTACTGGTATAGTACTATATTCACTGCAAATGGCTAAGTTTTGTAGGAATAGGAGGTAGGAGGAGGAGGTAGACAAAAAGAAGTTGAAAGCGTCGATGATCGGTCTCTAACGCGCCTGCTGCATGAAGCCGCAGTGCCACCAGCCTCCGATTTCGGGCTGTCCGAGACCACCCGATTAAGTCAACAAACGCAACTTCATGTTCTCTCTTCACTTCACTTCACTCTCAACACACACAGACACACACACCACACCCCACGCAACAGCCTCATAATGGTCGGCTTCCTCGATCTTCCGCTGGAATTGCGGAATCGCATCTACGAGTACGACGTCCCTCACAACCAAGTGATCCCGCTATCCCAAGTCGTGGACCGAGTTCAATCCACAAACAATGACCTACTCCTCGAAGACCACGAACCCGTCTTTCCGCAACTACCAGTTTACGCTGGTGTTAGCCGCCAAGTCCGCGCCGAAGCGCTGTCTATTTACTACGGAAGCAATATCTTTACTGCGTATGCCCGGCCTTCTTCTTCTTCTTCTTCTTCCTCTTCTTCTTCTTCCTCTTCTTCTTCTTCTTCTTCCTCTTCTTCCTCTTCTTCTTCTTCTTCTTCTTCCTCTTCTTCCTCTTGTTCTTCATATTCTTCTGATCCTCCCACTAACAAATCTCCTCGCCCAGCAACTCCATGCTCGACACCTCAAACTTTCTCCAACGTCTCGATTCCCAATCCCTCACAAGAATCCGCGAAATCCGAGCAACAACATGCCAGCACAGCGCCATCAAGCAACTAGTAAAGCCAAAGCTAGAGAAACTCGTCACGCACAGTGCCATGGGTCTCCTCAGTCGCAATGCCGCCAAAGTTCCTCTGCGAACGAAACGCACGGGTCGAGGAAGCAGTGATGGCGACTTTGAGATGACGTGGGTCAGTTTGGCGGAATTGCATTTGTGGGAGAGAGATCCGAGGGATATTGATATGGTGCGACGCGTCACTTGGTTGAGTAGGTATTGATTGAGTTGAGAATTTTGGGTAATGGAATGGGGGGATTGCTCCCTCGAGTTGTCTTGTCTGATCTCGTTTGGACTGGCGTGAGGAGGAATGGGATCGATGAGTGCATACAGCATCGAGTGCTAAAGGTTGATTTGCAAGATGGAGTGTATACTGTGCATTAGAAGAATGTACATGTAATTGTTTACCTACCAACAGCAAGAAAGGTACTTGAGTAAAACACAGAAGGATCCATCCACACGGAATCAGCCATAGATAAATTTTGGTCAGCGGTCTCTCCTTCTTAGCAATGAATTAACACAATTCTCCTTTCTTCCATTTCTCCATGAAATACATGTAGCTAGGAGGTAAGAGGCCTCGGCATGTTCATGTATACGTATATATCGCCGCCTGGCAATCTATCGGACTGAACTACTGGATACCTCATGATCTCTAAGTCGACTTCTCCCCAACCCGTTCCACATGTTCCAACTGCTCTCCTCCAGTCGACAATCGACCTTTCTCAACATCTTGTGCCATCTCCTCACTACTGGGCCTCACACTCTCTTGTACTGGTCGACGCTTTCTTCCCAACCTGGGCAATCCATCGGCACCATCTTCCGTGAATAAAAAGTCGATGTCTTCCAGAGTGAGATTGGTGGTTTCGGGATAGAACTGCATCACCGTGATGGTTAGAGAAAAGGAATACTCTCCATGTATTACAACATGCCGAATTCGAATACGTACAAAGTAGATCAGCGGGATGAAGGAGAAGTTGAGAGCCATGAAGATGAGGTAGCCTTGCCAGGCTAAGCTGCCCAGCAGTGTTGCTAGAGCCAGAATCAGTAAGATGTCACTCACTAGGTAGTTAAATCCGGGATGACTTACGTGTGATCATGACCACGAAAAAGTTCCACAGCCTATCATTTCGAGTTGGCGAGATTAGTAATCATCTCGGTCGGTCAAATCGGCACAGCAATCACAAGACATACCAATTGCTGGAGATCCCGACTGCTGTACCCTTCGCACGAGCATGTAGCGGCAAAATCTCTGGAACGTATACCCATGGGATGCAGTTCGCAGTAGCGCCAAATATCAGCATATAAGTGAAGAAAAAGGCCACACTAGCTTCGGCGGTCTTGGTGGCAGTAGCTGTGCCCTCCCATTGCGGTCGCTGGAAACTGAGCAAAATGGAAATCATCATCATGGACAGAGCGAGGCCAAGAGATCCCCACATCATCGGTCGCCGGCGTCCCATTTGGTCGAGGAAGAAGGTTGGTACGAGTGAGCCAACGAAGAACATGCCTGGGAGTGATGGTCAGTGAGAGGTCTCCAGAGAATCCACCACTCAACGTGCAAGAGTCACCTACATTGCACTGCGCCTCCTATCAGCAAGGAAAGGTTGCGAGTCAGACCGACGTTGTTCTCCAAAGCCGAAGGCACGTAGTATCTGTCAGGCCGTCAGGAGATGGTGTAGAGCATCGCGCTGCGTCAGATACTCACACGACGAGGTTGATACCACCCATCTGATTCATGAACTGCATGCCATATGCAAGCAAAACTCTGCGTCCAGTCTGGACCTCATCACGTTTGAGAATATCTCTCCATTGGTATTCACCATGCTGTCGTTCCAACTCCAGGGCGCCAAGAATATCTTTTTGCATCTTCTGCACCTTCTCGCCATCCGGACCACTATCCCATACATCGCACATGACTTGTAACGCCTCGTCGTTCCTGTTGCGCGCATAAAGCCACCTTGGACTTTCCGGAAGGCCAAAGACCAGAGCGATCACCACGAAAGCGGGGATAACTTGGCAGGCAATAGGCACTCGCCAGGCAGCGCTTCCCGGTGTGAAGCTCATGCCATAGTCGAAGAAATAAGCAATCACAATGCCGACTCCCACGAAGAGTGGTTCCGAGGACACCAGACGGCCACGTTTGTCGGCGTCGCAGAGCTCAGATTGGTACATCGGCACAGTAGAGGTTTCGATTCCCGTGCCAATGCCAGTAATAAAGCGTGCGATGAGCACTTGAGGTACGCCATATGAAGTGGTTTGCAGGATTGCTCCAACGATCTGCAGGTATACCGGCATCAGCTATTCTTTGTTCCTACAAATATCATTTCTTACGTGCCATGTTGTGGTACCGGTCTCTCCGTCGGAACGACTTACGATAAAGCCCATAGCAACCCACATACACAACCTCCTACCCATCCTCTCGCCGATGAAGAAGTTGACTATGCAACCGGCGAAAGCTCCCAGGTTGTAAATCGAAACAATGATGCCCTCCTCTGCACTTCCAGGATTGCCGAAAGTTTCTCTGAAATGTTCATTGCCCACAATGCCGCTGAAGACACCTTGGTCGTAGCCGAAGAGAATGAACTGTGCTCGTCAGTCCCGCGCTCACGCCTTGAGCGCACATATACATCGATCAGCCCTACCGCAATCTTGAACTGTTAGCTTCTTTCCGATTGTGCTTCAATCTGGCGACAAACTCGACAACATACCTGACACGCCATCGTGATGGCCCATCGAAGACTCCGACCTCGCCCAAACATATTATACTGCATCAGTTTCGCCATTTTGTTTTTCCACAACCCCGTGACAACAACCGAAGGAATATGGATGGAGTGAAAGAGAGAAAGAAGAGCAAGCAAGATCTACTTAACCTGATCTTGCCAATGGGCGGTATTAATGCTTGGGTTACATTCCCCAGAACTGGGCTACCTCGTCTCTCTTGGTCAAACGCGATACTCAGTATGGAAATGATCAACGCCAGAGTGGCTTCATGTACGAATCCTTCGCGTGGGGACGTGTCGGCTGAATGGCACGCGAGGATCGCGTGTGAAGAAAAGCGTCACGCTGTGTCAGTCGCGGAGATGTCGGGTCACTCATCATTGTTCTGGTCTGGGCGAAAAACAAGCGCAAGCACGGGAAGGAGACCGAGCGAGCATATCGCAGTTGTGTTCGCCCAATCATGTTGCGAAGGGAGTGTTTCGACGGAGTGAGGTTGCAGGCAGGGACCTGAACAACACGGGAGACAAAAGTGCGGAGAGAAGATGGGGTGCCGTGCCGACTCCACTTTTCTATTTTCGTCGGACAGGCAGTTCGAAGCGACCAGCGCAGCACTGCCATGGCCACTTATGTCCATGCACCGGCCTTGTGACTGACTGTTGTATTCGTGGTCTTCCAGAGCTCAATCATCACGGGTCGAGCATAAGGTACCGTAGCCAAGTTATGTTGTGATGGCCGCTGTTGCCATGTCCGGGAACAGATGTAGGTGTAGTCGAGCTGGAACTGTCTCAAGCTTTTCCATCTGCTTCCAGTTGCGCAACGAGCTCCGATGATCTCTTGATCTCGACTTCACCGTTCTCCAGTCCAAAGTACACAGCAACAGGCTTTTGACCGCCTCGTCGCCCTTCTGCCTGTGCATGGATGCCGTTCTCTCCCTGAAACAATCCCACTTCCAACACACCTTCGATATTCCTGATCGCGGCGGCGAGTGCGTCAACTGACCACACTCCATCTGTGCCGTCGCCCTTTCCCTTTCCAGCAGCGACATCAGCCTGCGTGAGAAGAGTCTTGAAAGGGGCGTCCACGATGTAGAAACTCTGATCGGTCTGTACAGGACCTGTTTTCGATAGAGTGTGTTCACGCAGAGCAGGCTTGATGGATCCGAGAAGAAGAAGTTCCTGCAGCACGTAGGCGTGGGCGATAGGTGCGATTTCGATGGGAATGGATGGCCACATGGTAAGAAGACGTTCCTGGTTCTTGCGGTAGTCGGCTATGCAGACGAACTTCTTGGACATGCGTGCAACCTGTAGATATTAGTACACGTGATGACTTGAGCAACACACGCATGTCGTACCAATTTCTCCTGGAACAAACAGGCTCCGCCACCTTTGATGCAGTTGAGTTCTGCGTCGACCTCGTCGGCGCCATCGAAGGCCACCTCAATTTGGGCTTTGGCAGGAATTGAATCGAAAGCCAATGGATCCAGACCTAGTTGCAACAGTGAGTCCATCGTCATGCATCGTATGTGTCTACCATTGTGACTCTACCATTGCGGCCCCACCGAAGTCCGGCCGTGAGCCACGCCTTCCCTCAGCGTCACTATGCTAAAGGCATATTCACTCCCGACTTACCAAACTGTTCAATGACCTTTCTACTATTCCAACCCGTTGGCACGAACCAATTTCGGTGTCCTGGCGGGGGAGGATATTTCTCCAAATGTGCCTTGATGGCTTCCACTCCATAGACAATGGTGCTGCCAGAGCCAATGCCCACGAATTGCATGTCTGACTTGAAGTGTTCCTCCACAGCTTTGAAGGCTGCCTTTCTCTTTGCAGCCTCTACTTGCGCAGTAGCATGTTTGGCAGCCTCTTGTACAGCGAAGGCGTTATCTGCGGACGCCATTCGGATAGATTTCGTGTGAGCTCGCGGAAGTGAGAGTCGGATGAGGCTGAGAGTGGGCTTGGAACAGAAGGTCGAGATGGACGGGCGGGTCAGGAGCATATGCGAGAGAGGTGCGGCGACAAGTTCAAGGTTGTCGAGATGTATGTCGTGAACAATAAATCAGCAGCCGGGTCCTTCGCGACGACCAGCAGGCGAGCCAGCCAGCCCCACCGTCTCGTCAGCTTGGAGCTAACTTGGTTCTGACCGGGGAGTGTTCAAGGCCCGAGCCGTAGCCGGCCCTGTTCCGCGGCGTTCTATCGATAAGCTGCCTTGTGGCGTCGATCAGACTGTGGCTGGTGAGGCCTTTTGAGTTTCAGGCACGCGTTCAGAAGACGATGATGATGATGATGACCACCGACATTCGTTGACAGAGCTGGCTGTCCTTCACTCCGACGTAATACCATGGCGAACGGGCCGCCAACAGACGTTCCTCCTCCTCTGCAGGACATACCCACAGCCAAGGAGAAGAAGTATGACAGACAGCTGAGACTCTGGGTGGGTGACGAGCTTCCAGAACATCATCTCCCAAACATTCACCACAGCCAGTGCTGCTACTGCTGTTACTGTTCGGGCAGGGCATGGTAGATGTCCCAAATGGGAGCTGATGTGAAGACAGGGTGCCGCAGGACAGATCGCGCTGGAAGAGAGCAACATCTTGCTCATCAACAACGGCCCAGGCGTCACCGGCATCGAGACGCTCAAGAACCTCGTCCTCCCCGGAATCGGCACCTTCACCATCCTTGACTCCGCTATCGTGGAACAGGCAGATCTGGGCGTCAATTTCTTCCTCGAAGACGCATCGCTGGGCAAGTTCCGCGCCGAGGAGACGGTCAAATACCTCGAAGAGCTCAACCCCGACGTCAAGGGACATGCCATCACCGAACCCATCGCGAGCTGGGCTGTCAAGGACAAGATCCTCTCGCCATACACTCTGCTCTTGATCGCTGCCCCTCTCGATCCTGCTATTCTCACGCTCCTCCAAACACACATCCATGCTCTTCAGGTCCCAACCTTCTACATTCACTGCTTGGGCTTCTACACACACTTCTCGCTCTACCTCCCACCTGCCTTTCCCATCGTCGAAACACATCCCGACCCGACTGCGACCACAGACCTCCGGTTGCTGAAGCCATGGCCAGCGTTGAGCGAGTTTGCGAAGAAGCAAACCATGGACATGGACAAGATGAATGGGGAGGAGTTCGCCCACATACCCTATGTGTGCTTACTGTTACACTACCTTGAAAAGTGGAAGGCAGCACATGATGGGAAGCTACCCGAATCATACAAAGACAAGACGGCGTTCAGAGAGCTGGTCCGGTCGGGAAGTGGGAGCGAGGAGAACTTCGATGAGGCCTGTGCAGCGGTCCTGAAGTCGCTTAACCCACCCACGCTACCCTCGACAGTGCGAGACATTCTGACTGCACCGGAGACGTTGCAGCTGACGCCAACCTCTCCGCCATTCTGGCTGATTGCCAATGCGGTTCAGCAATTTTACCAAAAGCACGCCCAGCTTCCTCTTCCAGGAGCTGTGCCCGACATGAAAGCTCGATCTAACACATATATTGAGCTGCAGAACATCTACAAGACCAAAGCTAGAGACGACGTTGCCGAAGTTCTCGCCCAGGTGCGAGCTCTCGAGCATTCCACGCAGCGTTTGCCTTCCTTGCCAGCGATTGACGAAAAGGAGGTCGAGCTCTTCTGCAAAGGCGCTGCGCACATCTCAATGGTCCGCGGTAGGCCATTCCAGGTGGTGCAGCCTGGTGTAGCAATTGCATTCGGCGATCGAGCCAAATACGTCTACAACAATCTGACCAATCCTGAAAGTCTGGTTGGGCTGTATCTTGCCTTTCTTGCATGGGACGAATTCTGCGCTACGCACACTTCTGATGAAGCAGGTGGCGAGGCACTGCGAGTCGCGGGAGCTGGCGACGAATTCGAACAGGATGCAGAAAAGTTGACTGGGATTGCTTGCAAGCTGGTTGATGCTGCCATCAGTGAAGCAGGCACTCGAATCGAAGACCCAGAGTACAGTGACATCAAGCAAAAGGTAGGCCAATACTGCTTGGAACTTGCCAGGGCCGGTGGCGCCGAGCTCCACAATATTGCCTCACTCAGTGGCGGACTGATTGCACAAGAAGTGATCAAGGTCATCACGAAGCAATACGTGCCTATGGACAATACCTGTTTGTACGATGGTGTCACGAGTCGGACATGGGTGGGAAGATTCTGAGTCTGGGTTCTGGCAGCTCGGGAAAATGAGAACCATGCCCGGATGACTATTATGAGAGAAAAAAAGAAAAAAAAATCCCCCCAGGTATAGCACTTAACCAGACGAGTGAGGGCAGTACCAACTACCTACCTTGCCAAGAAGAGAGGAGAAGAGGGCCGGAAGAGGCTCGCTCATCCAAAAAGCCGCACGTGCATAAAAGCGCCTGCTTGATGGCTACATGTACCTACCTGACATGTACTTTACATGTATTTACCTCACATGTATTCGAATTTACACTCCACGAATGAGAAGCAGTGAGTACCTACTGTAGGTACCTCGTCACATGTGACTCGACAATGCAAACCGATGCTTTGCCTATCTATAAATCTTCCCTTGCGTACCTGAATAGTTTCATCTCACTCGTTTTGTGGAAAAATTAAAAAGAATAAAAAGAGTTTAGGAAAAAAGAAAATCGAGAAAAAAGAGATCGAAAAAATCGAAAAAAGGGGGAAAAAGGGAAAAACCAGAGGAAAAATAGAAACGTGCTCGAGGAAGATGGTCAAATCCAGGTGACCCCCCTTCTGGGCGCTACGTAGATATGAAACTTCTGTGGTTCAACCTAAGGTACATACAATCTGGAGTAGGCTGCGATATCTGTCCGACAGCAAATACACTTGGTGTAGTTTCTCGCAGCAAGCCCCACTCGACAATCGTCGCACATGCTGAGGCATCCGCACGGCCACACCAACACTGTCCGCGGCGAGCACTGGCAGACCACGCACTGGGGTCCGCTCTCGCCCATGCCTTCCGCTCCAAACTGCCACGTGCTCGAACGGCGTTCTCGAGCCTTAGATTTAGAGCGTTGGGAAAGAATAAAGTGTTCCAGGTCGCGCTCTTCATCGTCTCCGTCCAAGTGGTGGTGAGGCTTGACACTGGAAGCGTGAAGACCCGTGAGCAGCTCAGCACGGGACCGCTCCTGTTTGCGGCGAAATTGGCTGCGGGTGAGGGGCCGATCGGATTGGAGACTGTAAGATAACAGCCTCGCTTCTTCACGCTCTGCAGAACTTTGCGGATTAAGCAGTCTGGAAAGAGAACTCAGGTCAATTCGGCCATCGGCCTCCACGGAGGACTCTCGGCAAGGGCGGCTCCCGAAAGGGTCGCGTTGTGTGGGTGTTCTTCTCCCGCTCTCTGTCTCTTCGTCGTCGTCGTGGTCGTCGTCGTCATCATTAGTGCTGGCGTTTGTGCTCATCGAGATCATGCTGGTCGTATCATCGTCATCGTCTGCCGCACTGGCAGCATACTCTCCACTTCCGTCAAGTTCTCCATACCAACCTCCCGCTCGCCACCACTTGTACAGATCGTTCCCCAGGTGCTGTTCGTCCTGGTACGTCCCTCGCTGTAACATCATGCGTCTGGTCTCCAATTCGACATCCACGTTGCTATCTCGGGGAAGGGCGAGGCTGCCGTCATCGCCTAGTATATAAAAGTCAAGCGAGTTGTGCTTCTGTGTGTGAAAGTGAGCTGATGCGTGGCGATGCTTCTCGGATACACCGGCGATTCGGAGCAACCACGGGGGTTGACGCTCCATGCCTAATCTTCGAAGCAGCCCGAGTACAATATGGGCTTGCAGACTCAGTGTGAGACCGAGAATGCCGGCGATGAAGTCAAACGTCAATTGCATGCGACTTCGTCCTCGCGATAAGCCGAGCCCGCTGTCCAGATCAGCTGCCCGCTGTCTCTCGGCCTCCGTCTTTGCGGGCTTCGACTTCCGCTCTCGAGCGTAAGGCGATGGACTGATGGCTGCACTCGGGTGATCCACAAAGTCCAGACCTCGGGCGATGCCAGAGTCGAGCAGCGCTGAAGGCACGGCCGGCGCGTTACGCTTGTCGATACTCGTTGCGAGCTCGTCAATGCGTTTCTGTTCGAGCCAGGTCATGGCGCGGATGTTGATGCGGCTGCCTTCATTCAGATATACAGCCTCGCTCGCGGCAGTCAAGACATTGAACCCAATCTTGAGGAGCGTCGTGTAAAAGTCCTCGGACATCTTGATTCGAATGGAGGAGTTTTGCGAAAATTGTACATTCGCTTGGAGGTTATGGTAGGCCCACGAGAAGCGCTGTCGCACAGACATTCCGCAGGCAATATCGGAAGGGATCGAGAAGACTGTGACGAACATGGCCAGACCATAGATGGTTCCGCACATGGTGATGCCAGTCAGAATCAGCATGTGGGGGATGAATCCCACGAGGCATACCGTGGGGAATCGGAGAAAGCCCAAATCCGAGTTGTCCATGTCGCCGACTAAGATCTGAGAGAAACTCCAGACAAACGCAGACATGTAGCAACATGCCCAAACTGCTGTATTGACCAGGCGTACTTTGTCTCGGATTCCCACAATAGCGAGCGCGGCGCTGCTGATGTGACTGAAGCAGGAGATCAGACAGATGAGCAAGACCTCTGGTGGCACATTCAGCCGTTGCAAGATCTCCGACCTGCTGATGAGAGGCCCTGCGTCTCCCGCGGCGCCGGGTCCCGTGCCTTTTGGCAAACCGAACAGTCCAAAGCCCAGTGCGCTGCTGATCATGGCCTCGCACTCGGCGAATGCGAGGGAGTGCTCGAAGATGGTCATGCCCGTTTCCGGCTTGGGGAGCCTACCTTGCAGCGCACATGCCAACGTCTCGAAGAGCTGGCTGGTGCACAGGGTCAGAAAGAACCAATACAACAGCGACATGGATCCCCTCAGGGCGGTCTTGTCGTCAGCCACACCAAGCAAGGACATGGAGCGGGCGTGACAGCAGGATGCATCGTCTTGCCAGAAGAGCAGAGTCGAGCTCAGGTGGTACAGCAAGCCTCCTTCTGCAGCAAAGTCAATAGTTAGATGCTTGAGCGGATCGCCATATCGGAGCAGTGAGTAGTCGGGAGAGGTCTGACACTTTAGTGCTTGCAGGATTTGCAGCAACTGGGCGAGAAAAGCGAGAATAGGGATCAAGTATAGGGCCAGACGCATGTGCACGCGGAGTCGCAGGTGGTCGCGAGAGGAGGCGTAAAACTGGGTCCGATTGAGCACGACAGCGGCAGTGAAGGTGGTCAGTGCCCAGCGCGAAGTCATGTACGAGAAGATGCCGCCAAAGTTTTTGAGCTTGCCGAAGCCCGTTGCAACACCCATCAAGAATGAGGCCGACTCCTCGCTGCCTTGCGACCAGGCGTCTCTGAGGGTACTTTCCAGAGCCGAGGTGGTGACCTGGGCGATTGCAGTGCTGGCACTCGTCATGGTCGCGTTGGCAATGGTACGATGCGCGGTCGGGCCAGCAATTATGCTGCCTCCTCCACTCCAGATCTTGCCGGCGACAGTGTCAATCACGTCGGGCATGTGGTAGAAGGCGTATGTGCCGGCCCTCTGCGCCCAGCGCGGTAGCACCCAGAGCAGATCGATTGCGGATGGAATGTAGGAGATGTTGTTGTGGGTATTGTGGTGGATGAGCTCCTCCATCTCTTTTCAGTTGTCGGCGTCCTCGTCGTCGGCGGCGGCGGCGGAGGTCCATCCACTCCGACAGCGATCGCGACGTCGATTCCGCCGCGATAGTGGTTCGAGGAGGTAGCGTAGCTCGGCGGGAAGGGCAGCGGTGGGAGTGGCCGAGGCAGTGACGGTGAGTGGCTATCTCCCTCTTCCCGTCAGGTCCTAGTAGCGATCTGTCGACGGTGCAGGTGGTGGTGGGTGGGTGACGGGCTTCCGGAGTTTAGAGGAGGGCTGGGCTCCGCGGTGCGTATCGGGCAGGCTCCGGCGTCAATGCCAATGCCAGGTGCGACATGGCGGGTGCAGAGCCAGCGCATCCATTGGCAGTCGTCGTCGCCCCCGCGCGTGATGGGGGACTGCAGCTTTCATCTGGTAAGATACAGGTTATGTAGGTGGTGTTTGGTGGGAGTTGATTGTAACCGCAGGTAGGTATAGCTCAGGTATGGATGTTTACAGGAGGACATCTACTTACCTACTCTTCCAGAGATCGAGTGTAGTAAGACATATCCTGGACTGGCCTGACAAACGATGCTGGGGAGTGCTGACCTTGGAGCCTCCTAGGTAGGGGGTAGGGCTGGCTGGGCTGGCTGGCTGACTTCCCTTCTCTCCCGTCCTGTCCGCCGTCCACGGCCGTTGGAAGACCTTTTCCAGGGTTGAGGGTAATTGTGCGGGATGACGCCATTTGACACCCGTTGTTCCCGCTCGTTCGCCGGAGACCAGCCCCAGCCGAGTGCAGGGTGCATACACATGTCTAGAGTTATGAATGCACAAATGCACAATAAATAATCCAACCAAAACTCCAATCTGCAGCCTGAGGCATTCATTTTCTAAAAACGACCGACCTGGAGTCAATGTGCCGACTCGGGCATATGAACTCTCCAGTATGCATCACGGGGTGGAGCAACGAAAGTGCCGATACGTCCATACAACTGCCTACCGTATAGAAGTGGATGCTCACCCCCCATTCCACTAGCCACATGATCCTCTCCCTCCATACACTCCGCATCGACGACCTCGTGGACAACCAGTGGACCAATGGTCGAGCGTGAAGTTACAGCACGGGGGAGCATCCACGGCACATCAACCCCACCTACTTACCTGTGCCTACCAGGCACTACCACTTCATCACTGGGTAGAAGAGAGAAGAAAAGTTTAAAAAAAGATTTTCCCAACACACCGAAGCATCATTATTGATGGATCCCTTGGGCTCGTATGGGAGAGAACAAGCACTCTATGCTAGACGGAGGTCGAAGGGGAAAATGTTTCACCTACTCGAAACGTCAATGGAAGGGCGGAAATCCCCAATGGGCAGTGAGGTGAAGGAGGCCAACTTGCCGAAATCTTCGTCGAGTGAGCGTGCCTACATCTATGGTAGAGCAAACTCGAGCAGGAGAAGAGGTATATAAAGAATGCAAAAGAATCACATTTTTTGTTGAAATCCAGAAAACCACAAGGAAAACACTTCAGTCAAAACCACCAATACACCAACAAATCTGCCCCATCTCTTCACCACCAAACCAAAAGAAAAGATGCGTCTCGATCTCAGCTTCCTCGTGCTCGCACTCTACAGCACCAGCGCCCTCGCTCTTGCCGTCCCCGTCGCAGAGGCCAACAACAATGCTGGTCTCTCTCCACTCCTCGAAGTAAGTTTTTCTTTCCCCCCCCCAAAAAAGAGTCTTCCTTTCTGCGCATCCGCCGCTACAGTTGTTAACACATTCCCCTTCTTCCCAGACCCGACAAATCGAAGAACGTGGCATCTTCAAGAAGATTGGAAAGGCGCTGGGAAGACTGAAGGGAGGCTCCAAGTGGCCAGAACTCAAGGCCAAACTCAATGCGCCCAACCCCAACCCACAGCCGCATGTGCCCTTCTCGGGACCAGTCATCAATGGAAGAATCAAGGGTAACAATGGAAAGTGGGTCAAGTATGAACCGGGAATGGAGAACCAGTAGGGACCCTGCTGGGCATGGGACCGAGAAGAGGGGATCTGGAGTTATGGGGGATCGGGACTTGGGCAGTGTGTTTTATCTGTACCTAAGAGGTCATTCGGGGTGTTGTAGCGAGGTCGCACTGCATCAATCAGTTTTTGTTTTATTGTCTACCAAGATGCGGGGAGCTGCAAGTCATGTAGAAGAAACTACTCTCGCCCTTCACACTCTGCCACTACTATTGCAGCTTACTGTACTGCTGCTTTCCGGCCTCCTTGGTGAGACAACTGCGTCCACCACTCAAGATGGACGGCATCTCCCGCGAACGATTTGGTCGGTCGAACTCGCCAGGCTGTTTACCGCACGGCTCAGGGCAGATGCGTTCGACCATCGTCCAGCATAGTGTGTCCTGTGCTTGCGACGGACCCATGTCGCATCTCGCACTTTGTCGGCCGTGCAAGCGAGAGAAGCGCCCAAGCATTGCGCACGCCGGCGCTCTTCGAGCGTGAACGCCTGGCGGACCATCCTCTTCCATCGGTGTTCAACACTGGTCGCTGGCGATGCGACCCTTGCATCGCACCTGCTACCTCGGATGATGTGCTCTCTTCATTTCTTGAGCAGCATGTACACATACTCAATCTTCAATGGGCTGAGTTTCTTGTACGGCCCATCCAAACACATGAGCAGCCCGCCAAACGAGATATACACCTTACTGTGATTTCCCGAATCAGCGACCGGGCAGCTTCTTTGCGCATCCTGTTCTGAAATACTCACATCCGATCCCCATCTTCCGGATCTTCCACCTTGTACACTTTTCCGTAACAAACATAGTCCCACATATCTGCCAGACTCGGCGCATCATTCTTCGGCCTCCAGCCTTGAGCTTCGTCCTTGGTACCATCAAGATTCAGGGTACTTGCGATGAGCATGTTGAAGGACTCGCCATTGCCGATCGGGTACAGTTCGCTGTTGATGTCGAGAGTGATGGACGTGGTGGAATCGTGTGAAGTGCCGAGGACGCGGTGTACGCGATCGTATGTTTGGTCGATGAGGGTGGTGACTTGAAAGGTCTCTTCGTACAATTGTGCGTCCGCCATGGCCCTGATATCGTGATTGTTGTTGTTGTAGTCGTTGGCGCAAAGAATAATCATTCGAGGAAACAGGTTGGACTTTCGCATGCGGCACGTCCCGCCCTTGCATGGATCTCACTTTCAAGGTTTTTTTCGGCCAAGCTTGATAAGATGAGACAAAATCTATGCCAACCCTCTTACACGATTCGGATTTGAAAACTCTCTCTCTCTCTCTCTCTCTCTCTCTCTCTGTGTGTCTCTCTCTCGCGCTACCTTATTCTTGGTTATTACACGTGGAATCCACGAACTGAAGTGAAGCAGCGTGATACCAATAACTCCGCAAAGAATCACTGCTGATCCATAGCTATCCCCACGTACCTCCACCTCCCCTGCCCTGTTTCCTCTGGCTACTGAGCCTCCAGTCATTTTCTCCAGCAAACTTGTTATGCAGCGGCTGTATCCTTTCTGCCCGTTGACGCTTAGACAAACCTCCTCTGTCTTTGCCAGCTACCCTGAAAAATGTCGGCGCGGCCTCTACAAGCCACTTCGGTTCGATGGCCGTGACATTATGCATGTATTCTCTCGTGGTCTCCACCAAGGAATGGTAGATCACGTGCTCCGCATGTTTTCCAAACAGCGCAGAAGCAGGGTGCATATAGACGGGAGTGCCTTCCACCAAAGTCTTATATCCCTCTGTGGGATCTTTGCGTGCAGAATTCCGGAAGAAGCCAGCGCAAAGAGCTTGTCTCACCCTCATAGTATCGCGACCACAGGAGATAATCTTCAGCCGATGCCGATCCAGAATTTGTATCAACTGCTTTCGAACATCTTCCGCTCTTTTGATGTTTCGAGGCTGTATAAAATTTTCGAAACACCAAGGGTCACTCTTTCCGGAAGCCTTCCAACCGTTGTACACGTTGAGTAGAGTGAGGTGGTCGCCCGCGGGATCGTGGAAACGGGCCTTTTTCGCGTCGGCTTGTTGTTGCTTTTCCTTCGGTCGATGGAAAACAGTCTGGACCGCAGAGATCAAGGCTACAATTGAAAGCATTTCTTCGGAACAGCCCAGGTCCACGGATGTGATGAGGGCCTTGCCTAGAGCGGGATCCATGGGGAAATCTGCCATTCGTCTTCCAAGTCGAGTAAGGAGACCTTCGTCGTCCAGGGCACCAAGGGCGTATAGTTCTTCAAGAGCCGTGAGCATGGTGTTCGTAGGCGGTGGGTCCATGAAATCAAATCCCAGGAGATCGTTGATGCCCATCGCTTTGAGCATGAGGATGGTATTGGAGAGATTTTGTCTTTGAATCTCGGGGATTGTAGTAGGCAGCATCTCTGATTGAAAGGCCGATTCTGTGTATAAGCGAAAGCATTTGCCGGGGCCTGTACGACCAGCACGACCGGCACGCTGTTTTGCTTGTGCTTGAGAGATAGGTGTGACTTGGAGTCGGTCCATGCCAAGTTTGGCATCGTAAGCGGTCTGCTTTACGAAGCCGGGATCGATGACGAAGTAGATCCCATCGATTGTGATGCTGGTCTCGGCGATGTTCGTTGCGATGACGACTTTCCTTCCGCCGGGAGGAGGCGGTTCGAAGATTTTCGAGGCAATTTCCGTTGGCAGTGCGCCGTATATTGGTAGGATAAGCAGCTCCGGCACTGATGGTCCTAGTGCCTTCATTCGCTCGAACAAAATCTCACAACTTGTGTCAATTTCCTCTTTACCTGTCAAGAAGAGAAGTATGTCACCAGGCTTCTCGGTAAGATGGATCTGCATAACTGTCGTCAAGGCAGAATCGAGGTAGTCACTCTCTGGCTCTCTGCTGTACATGATCTCGACAGGGAATGTCCTGCCTGGAATGGTCAAAATTGGGCACTCGTTGAAGTATGTGGAGAACTTCTCGGCATCCAGGGTTGCGGAGGTGACGATGAGCTTCATGTCCGGCCGCTTCTTCAGCGTCTTTTTCAGCAATCCAAACAGCACATCGGTAGCAATGGTACGCTCGTGAGCCTCGTCAAGCATGATAACACTATACTTGCTGAGCTCTGGATCCAGTAAAATTTCACGTTGCATGATACCGTCAGTCATGTACTTGATCTTCGTCTTCTCATTAGTCTTGTCTTCGAAACGGATCGTATAGCCCACTTCCTCGCCGAGTCTACAGCCCACTTCATCTGCGACTCTTGCCGCGACAGACATGGCTGCTACACGTCGAGGTTGCGTGCAGCCGATCATGCCGTGGTTCGCCAGACCGTCTTCTGCCAGATACTGTGTAAGCTGTGTAGTCTTGCCAGATCCTGTGTCTCCAACGACAATCATTAATTGGTACTGTCGGACTGCTTCTAGAAACTGCTTGCGCATTTTGTACGCAGGCAGCGATTCTCTCTGATCCTTGATCGACATGTTTGTTCTCTTGCCCATTTCGGCACCCCGCCCAGTAGCCAGCTTCTTCCATTCAGGGACCTCGCCGTTGCTGGTCTTTGTTTGACGCAAGTCACTGGCGAAGCGTCTCTCTCCTGGTGCGACCATGGGATCATTCCACTCTTGGTTGAGGTCCGTCTTCGCTGCCTCCGCCTTTGCTTTATCTTGAGCTTCCTGCTGTCTCATGTCTCGCCTCTCCTTAGCCAACACATCCCCTTGCATTGCTGCTCGGTTCATGCTGCCATCAGGAGCTTTGATGACGCGGATCGGCGATAATTCCAGAGACTGCTTCGTCTGCCCAGCCAAGAAAGGAGGCTCATCTTCTCGAACCTCAATATCGACGTCTTCTTCCTCCTCAATCTGTTCACCGTTGATCGCCGCGTTGTAGTCCTCATCTATATCTGGATAATCACTGGCCTTGAAAACACCAGACGCGATCAGTTGCCGTATTTCCCATCTCTCGGGACTCGTCATCCGTTTTCGCTGCCGTCTAGCAGCCGCACCGCTTTCGATCACTGGCACTGCGGGCTTCAAACTTTCAAAGTCTGTCGCGCCTCCGAGACCCATCGAATTCGCTCCTGTTGCACCAGTCTGCACTTTCCTACCGGGTACAAGGTCCTCTCCTGTCTCTTGATCCACCTCGGCCATACTGAGGCTTATGCGCTTGTCCTGTACTTTCATGACCTTGACTTTTACCTCCTGGTTGCGCTCCACCAGATCACTGGGATGATTAACCTTCTGATCGGACATGGCGGAGACGTGCACAAGTCCATCGACTTTTCCCTTAACGCCAAAGAGATTCACAAAAACGCCAAAGTCTTTGACACCTGTAACCTTTCCGTCATACACCTTGAACAGCACCGGCTCGTCGTCTAATTCGGGCTCTTTCCATCCACTTCTCTCCCGAGAATCCCGTCTGCTGCGTCTCTTGCTGTCCCTCTCATCGCGGTCTGGCCGATGCGCACGAGTCCGCCCGAATTCGTCCTCGAACAGGTATTCGTCGTTGCGCTTCCGGTCTCGCGAGCGTGGCGAGCGTGACCGTCTGTGGCGCTTCGTAGGCTTCGTGTCCTCGTATCGCGCTGGAGAGACACTGCGTTTCCGCCCACCACCCGTGGTAGTCTTCGGAGGTCCAGCCAGATTCTCCAATGCAGCAAAAGTATCGTCAAAGTCGTCAACCACAGGCTCCGTATCCGCAATGGCCAAGCCCTTGAATATCTGTGTTTCCTTCTTTTCACTTTTCGACCCATTCTGCTTGGAGACCTCCATCGTCGACTTATGCCTTGGATGCATTGTCCGTATTAAGCGATCAATGCTATCGGCGAGCGACTCGGGAAAATCGAACTCGGCCACTTTCTCACGAAACGCGGCTTGATCAGCGCATTTGCCATGCTCGGCCATGACATATTCGGATATGGTCTTGTCGGATACGCCCATGTGGTTGTTGATCTCGCTGGTGATTTTACTCACCAGCGAGAGGATCTCCAGCTGTTCGAGGTCGTCCATGCTCTCCCTGCATATGAGCCGTGTGATGGCTAGACGAGTGAGAGATGTGTTGTTCTAAAGCAAGAAGAGAGACGCTGGCAGGCGCGAGTCATGCGTCGCAACCTTATTTGTTGTCTTCAACTCAGCACCTTTCACTTTCATTCACTTTGAACTTCACCCTCACCTTAACTCCAGATACCTGGTAGCCAAGCAAAAGATTCTGTACCCTCACCGAGTCGCTTGGATTCAATTTGGGACAGCTCACTGATGCCAGACTATTAGTATCGAGGCCATCATCGAAACGAGGCCCCGTTCTGATGGTGGTCGACCCGTCCAGTCTGACCCGCAACGCAGGGCGTCGGTTGTGATTAACCTGAGGTTCAGACGATGGCGTTTGCTTGCTGAGGTGCAAACCATCGGTCAAACCTTTTGTGTCTGTTCCATTCCGTCTACTCGATTCGCAAGATCACAAGCGGTAGCTATGTACCTATCCATCCGTGGGTCCTCCAACAAGGCATCTTTGGTCATGTACCCTTCCCGTGCCTGCACCAGAGTAAAAACCTATAGGCTGTCACCTATTGGCTGATATGGCTGCCACTCCTGGGTATAACATCTTCTCTTGGGTCTACCAAAAAGATTTAAGGTACCTTTTGCCTCTTTACTACATCGCGGCTCCCACCGGCTACGTTAATGCTAAGCAAGTCGACCTATCTGAGCACACAGGAAGAAAAGCCGCTTGCCACGAAATAAAATACTCATTCAAACCTCGTCAACCTTTTCCTCCCACCTCCTGCAACACTATCCTCTACTGAGCAGCACGAACACGACGATGAAGCTCACCAACACTATTGCGCTTGCTCTAAGCACAGCATCGACAGTATGCGGAGCACCACAACGATTCCACAGGCCAGGCCCAGCTTCTATGGATACCGTCACAACCGTGCCAACCATTCAAAATCGTGTCAACGTATACGGAAAATGCGATCCTGAGAACGCAGACGCAGATTGCTACGATGGACACCATACCCGCCCACATTTCCCTGTCTCTAGCCACGGCAGCTACTACCTACCAGGTGCCAACGCTGCCCTCCCGAGCAATACTACCTTGCTGCCTCATCGAACCTCGCCAATTCCAGAGTATCATCCCGGTTCTACGGCTGTCGCAACATCAATCTCGTCCCCGACAAACCACGTCGACTTCCCGTGCTGTGAGGCTTTCGCCGATATGGCCTTCCCGCCTCGCATCACATGCGTCAAGTGCGGTCCGGAGATGGGCAACTAGATGGCTGCTGATCCGTGGCTGTCCAAGATCACTTCCTCTGCAATTGTCGAACGCGGACTCGCCATTCCACCGGGTTCTCTGCCTGCTGACCTATGGCCTGCGACTCCCCTGGCCCTGCAGCTTTAAGAAGACAAATCAGGACTTCCAGAGTGGAGTTTTGGCTGATGAAAACTCACTCTTCGCATTGCGTGCGACTCTTCAAGCTGTGTAGGCTGTCGGGATCTCCAGCATTTTCTTGAATTCTTCCGCACTCTCAGTTTCTCAACGCTTTCCAGTAACAAAATGGAGATTCATGCTGGTCTGATTGTTCCGGAGGTGCTTTGTGCGGCGTTGAGTACAAAACCTCCTCCAGGGTGTTGATGCAGCAAAACAGGAGCGTTGCTACGCCTCTATGAGCTGCATGAAGATGCATGCTCTGGCGTTGAACGATAATATGTACTACTCCGTTATTGGAACATAGGGATGGATGGGGATGATGCCACTGTGTATGTACATGTAGGTAGTTTTTCTTCTTCTGGCTGCGATGTGTGTATCTGATATTGAAGTCGGCTTGCTCATACGTAGCTTCCGAAATCATTGTCGGTCTCACTACATACATTATAAGATCAGACTGTGCACATTAATACATGAGGTGTCGGGTGTAGAAGTACACTGTAGGTACATTATGTACAATGTAGGTAATACTAGATACCAGGTATGATAGAAGACTGGAGAACTCCAATCCCTCAAGGAACTCATGCTAGCTTCGGGATCGCCCGCTACAGGGATTAAGCGCCACCAAGTTTGGGAAGTCGCGAGTCGCGTTCCAGCTCATGTACAGGCGACAGTCCATCAACACCATCACCACACAGCGAGAACACAGGCACCTATCGCTCCGCCATTACACCGATCACCCCTTTCACTTCCTCAGCGAGGTGCTGCCGATCACTGCTACGACGACTTCCTCCTATATCCAACAGCGAGCGCCGAAGTCTACCATCGGTCGACCCCTAACTGAAACGGCCTCTCCGCCAAGAAGTCAGCGTGCAACAGACATCCCCATGCTGTTCAGCAGCTCGTTGCGGTAGACTTCGACCATGGAGGACCCGCTGGTCCCTGGTGTCAATGGAAATGGTGTGACTAACGGAACGCCAAATACTCCAGCTTCTTCCACCGCTGCGTCCACGGTTGACCCGCAGGCAGTGGTGAGCTATCTGTCCAGCGTCCTGGAGGTGACTCTGGGAGCGACTGACGAGGAGCTACGAGGAGCTGGCAGTCTACTCCATGAGAGTGTCTTTGAGGAGACTCTCTCGCGATGTCTACGATTCGCCCTGGAGCCACAGATGGCTTTGTACGTGCTGAAGCAAGCCGGCACAGCGTCCGTCGCGAATGGAGCTGAGAAAGACACATATACGAATGGAGATGCGGAGTCACATCAAGATGAGTATGTACTCAGTGCGGAAGTGAGCTACTCCAGCCGGACGGTAGGATGCGTGGCTTTCTTGAAGAGACCGAGTGCAATTGCTCCGGATGTGCCCATCAGTAAGCAGGTTTCGGTAGTGAACCTGAGCTTGTCAGGATTTGGAGGAGCAGAAGGGACAGGGAGCGCGATATCACCATACGAAGGCCTACACTCATTTGTCCGAGGAGCCCTCACGCCCTTCTTCGAGGCGGCTGCCCGAGGTTCAGAGTCAGCGCAGGACAAGCCCAGATCAGATGGCGAAGCTAGGACTGGCATCTCTGGCGCACGACGAAAGCTCGCAGATCTGGAGATAACCTTGCAAAACCTTCAGCAGAACATCGAGGTGGAGGCGCCACGATTACAGATACACGAAGCAGTCCAAGCTCAGCTGGCAGAAGCTGATGGAGATTGGCAGGTTGCAGCTGTAGCAATACCTGATGCTCTTGTCACCGACAGTGGGCTGCTCAACCGTTTGCAGGCCATGGCGAATGAATGGATCAAGCAGATTAGAGAGTTCACGAAGATCATGGACGATCGTGCTGTGGGAACTTCGTCCCAAGAGAAGAACTTCTGGCTCGCAATGGAGAATGCAATAGAAGGAATCGAGTCGCAACTGAACAGCGGGGGTATACAATTGTCCATGAAGATTCTGGAGAAAGCGAAAAGACACGGAATCACAGCAAGTTTCACCTCGGACACACGGCTGAAAGAGACCAAGGACAAGGTCATCAAGTACAATCAAGTCTTTCATGGCTTTCCGATAGAAGAGCTGCTGGCCGCGCCCAATGTCGAAAAGCTACGTGATGCACTCGACGACGTCTTCACGCATTTCACGAAGAAGCTTCGCATATCCCCGTACCCTATCCGCCGAGCACTGCCACTCGTGGAAGCCATCTCCGCTGATCTCGATGCTCGTGTGCATCACTTATTACATGGCCGGACACTGATGCGAATGAGCTTTCAGGACTTCCAGCGAGCCATCGAGCAAGTCCAGACTGTGTGGTTATTCTGGGATGACAACGTCAAGGAGTTCACGAATGTCGCTCGCGACGTGACACGTCGACGAAATGACAAGTTCATACCAATCAAGATCAATAAGCGCCACGACAAGACTCAGGACCGGATCAGCTATATCTACAAGTTCAGGGACGATCACGAACAGCTGCAGAACACGATTGCCAACGTGCTTGGTCCAGACGACGAGCCCGGCGAGATCATGGATGGCAATACGGCTCCCGTTATTGTTGAGTCGATGGGCGACGTGGATGCTGCTGAAGAGATACTGCAAGCGTACGAAGTTGTCAAAGATGTCGATGTTCTTGACATTTCACCAGAAGGTGAGCGCTTGTGGACGCAAGCTGAAGCGGCATACAATGAACGCACCGCAAGAGTTGAGAACTCAATCATTGCACGTCTGCGCGACCGTCTTGCTGTGGCCAAGACAGCAAATGAGATGTTCAGAGTCTTCTCCAAGTTCAATGCGCTGTTCGTGCGGCCGAAAATCAAGGGAGCCATTGCAGAGTATCAAGTGCAGCTCATGAACAACGTTCGAGAGGATATTGATGCTCTGCAACAGCGTTTCACACACCAGTATGGGCAGACGGAAGCGCACGGCATGGCGCAGTTGCACGATCTTCCGCCAATTTCTGGTGCTATTATTCGTGCTCGGCAGATTGAACGTCAGCTGAACAATTATCTCAGCAAAGTCGAAGACATTCTGGGATCAAAGTGGAAGGAGCACACAGATGGACAGAGATTAGCACAACTCGGTGAAGGCTTTCGGAGAAAGCTGAACGCTAAACCCATATTCGACGATTGGCTGCGCGACATTGACAGACGGCACCTCTCGATTTCTGGCCGTCTGTTCTCCGTCACACAGAACAGGGCTCGTGGAAGTGTACTGGAGATACATGTCAACTTTGACTCACAGGTAGTGGTTCTCTTCAAGGAGGTGCGCAACCTGCTCTGGCTGAACTTCAACGTGCCGCACGCGATCACAAATGTGTCCAAGGAGGCTCGAAGGGTGTACCCATACGCAACAAGTCTGATGGAGAGCCTCAACACCTACGGCCAGACCAATTCGACTATCGAGAACATGTCGCAAGTGACAGCTCTGATTAGTGGGTATCGTAACGATGTACAAAGCTTCATTGCGAAAGGCGCGTCGTTGCGCTGGGATACTTTCGTACTTGCGTACGACGTCCACGTTCCTCGTGTTGGTGATAGCACTCTTGGCCCTGGAGATGACAAACTTCACGTGCAGTTCGTGCGCCATCTCGGGAATGCCATTGCAACACTGTCCCAAAAGGTGACAACCCTCCTGTCAATTCAAACAACAGTTGAACAGGCGCTACGCGAGCTGCAGACATGTTCCTTCACGCATGAGGCATTCAGCGCCCATCTTGAGACTCTGCAACGAGCCATTGACACGCTCAACCTCGAGGCTTACTCGAACATTGCATACTGGGTCGAGAGGACAAACGACAAAGTCGTTGAGACTCTACACGCGAGGTTGCGCCAGGCACTCAAGGATTGGACTGACGACTTTGAGAATGGGTATGGCGCAGAGCAGCAGTCATCCCGAGAGGCAGGTACACCGAACATCGAAACCTTTGCACACGACATTGTCATGCAGAGTCAGCTAATCCAGCTGGAGCCGCCGCTTGAGGACGCAAAAGTTGGCTGGCTCGACAATCTTCATACCTGGCTGTCGATCGTCTGCAGCCTTCCTAAATTGCAGGCTTCTCGCTTCGAGACTGCGCTAGCTATTAGGTCCTCCTCGACTGCCGCTACTTATTCGGAGCTACCCATCATGTGTATAGACACACTTGCTGAATTGTACGAGCGCATTGAGGCCAAGCTGAGCACTGCCCAACTCTATGTTGACGAGTGGCTGCAATTTCAGTCGCTGTGGGATCTGCAGCTCGGCCAGATCCAGGATGATCTTGGTGAAGAGCTCGATTTGTGGCTGCAGCTGATTCTTGAGATCCGCCAGAAGCGAGAAACATTTGACACATCCGGGATGCGCCGGTCTTTCGGTCCCCTTGTGATCAACTACGAGCAGGTACAGGCCAAGGTCAATGCCAAGTACGATCAGTGGCAGCATGATCTACTAGCTCATTTCTCGACGATGTTCGCAACTCGGCTCGTTGATGTTTACAGTGAGCTGCAGCGAGCCAGGAAAGATCTGGAGGGTCAATCGATGCAGGCCTCATCGACGTCCCAAGCGGTCTCCTTCATTACAGTAGTCCAGACATGCAAGCGACAGACCAAGATTTGGGAACCGGAGATGGACACATTCAGACAAGGACAGCAGACTTTATCCCGACTGCGATTTCAGTATCCCAAGGACTGGCTGCATGTGGAACAAGTTGATCACGAGTGGGCTGCTCTTGTCGAAGTGCTCGAGAAGAAAAGCAAGCAAATTAACGATCACACAGAGGGTCTACGCACCAAGATTGTGGCCGAAGATGGCGTCGTCTCTCGCCGCATTGCAGAAATGACGGAGAAGTGGCAGGAGCAACGTCCAGAGTCTGGGTCGACGCCCCCAGCCGAGGCCGTAGCCAGTCTTGAAGGCTTTGACAAGGAGTTGACTCAGCTACAGGAACAGCACGACATGGTCGCAAAAGCCAAGGAAGCGCTTGAGCTACCCTCGAGTCCTGACAACATGCTTGCAGACCTGCTGGCGGAGGTGCAAGACTATAAATCGGTTTGGGCGAATTTGACTGTGGTCTGGGATCAGCTCAGCGAGCTCAGAGATCAGCCATGGAACAGTATCCAGCCTCGCAAGCTTCGCCAGAGCATTGAAAATCTCATCAAGACAACGAAGGAAATGCCCAGTAGAATGCGCTCCTACGCCGCCTTCGAGCACTTGCAGCAACATCTGAGACAACTGCTTAAGGTCAACCCACTGCTCACCGAGATGCGATCTGATGCTGTTCGGGAAAGACATTGGACCAAGATCTTCAGGAACCTAGCGCCTTCGAAGCGCTATTCCCCTCTGTCAATGAGTCTTGGTGACGTTTGGGATCTGCAACTCGGCCCTAGTGAGTCTATCATCCGGGACGTGATCACACAAGCGCAAGGAGAAATGGCACTGGAAGAGTTTGTTCGCGGCGTGCGCGAACAGTGGCAAAACTACTCCCTGGATCTGGTCAACTATCAATCCAAGTGCCGACTAATTCGAGGTTGGGATGATCTTTTCGCCAAATGCAGTGATCACCTTAACTCTCTGCAGGCCATGCGACATTCTCCGTACTATAAGGAGTTTGAAGAGGAAGCCTCATCCTGGGAAGATAAGCTCAACCGTATCCACGTACTGTTCGATGTGTGGATCGATGTTCAGCGTCAATGGGTCTACCTCGAAGGTGTCTTCACTGGTAATGCTGATATCAAGCACTTGTTGCCTGTGGAGTCGTCGCGCTTCGCCAACATCAATAGCGAGTTTATGGGCGTTCTCAAGAAAGTGTACCGTTCGCCTCTGGTCCTGGACGTACTCAACATCCCGGATGTGCAGAAGTCACTCGAGCGATTGGCTGATCTGCTCAACAAGATCCAGAAAGCGCTTGGGGAGTACCTAGAGAAAGAGAGAGTGGCGTTTCCGCGTTTCTACTTTGTTGGTGACGAAGACCTTCTTGAGATCATTGGTAACAGTAACGACACTGTGCGTGTCGCAAAGCACCTGCGAAAGATGTTCGCGGGCATTAACGGCCTCTTGCTTGATGACGAACAAAACATTCTGGGTCTGCAATCACGTGAAGGAGAAGAAGTCCTGTTCAAGACCCCCATCTCACTCATCAAGACACCCAAGATCAACGACTGGCTTCGAGCGTTGGAGAATGGCATGCGGGAGACGCTCTCTGAGCTACTGGTCGAGGCTGTGGCCGAGTATGAGTTACTTGACGACAGTGACAATACTGCCTTTGAAGGTTTCATAGAGAAGTACCCTGCTCAGATTGGCGTGCTGGCAACACAAGCATACTGGACAGCACAGGTGGAGGCCGCTCTTCAGCAGGACGGAGCTCTCTTGCAAAAGTTGTTTGAGACGCAAGTCAGCAAGCTAAGGTTCCTGGCTACCATTGTGCTGAAGGAACTGACGCCAGTGCATCGCAAAAAGTGCGAGCAGTTAATCACTGAGTTTGTGCATCAGCGAGACAAGATTGAGCAGCTGATTGAAGGCGGTGCCGACTCGCCAGGCCATTACTTGTGGCTACTGCAGATGCGCTATGAATTCACAGCCAGCGCGCCTCCTCTTGAACGAATGCAAGTTCAGGTTGCGAACGCCACCCTTGCCTATGGATTCGAATACCTTGGCGTGCCAGAGCGTCTTGTTCGTACTCCTCTGACTGACCGCTGCTTCCTGACTCTCAGTCAAGCACTCTGCCAACGGCTTGGCGGTTCGCCATATGGACCAGCCGGTACTGGTAAGACTGAGTCTGTTAAAGCTCTTGGTGTGCAGCTTGGTCGCTTCACCTTGGTCTTCAACTGTGACGATACCTTCGATTTCCAAGCCATGGGCCGTATCTTCCTCGGTCTGTCACAGGTTGGCGCATGGGGTTGCTTCGATGAGTTCAACAGACTTGAAGAGCGAATTTTGTCTGCTGTCTCGCAGCAGATTCAAAACATCCAAGTGGGCCTTCGCAAGCGTGCGCTAAATGACAACGCGCAGATCGAACTCATTGGTCGGCAGCTGAAGGTGCATCCCTTGACAGGAATGTTCATCACCATGAATCCTGGCTATGCTGGACGTTCGAACTTGCCAGATAATCTGAAGAAGCTGTTCCGCAGTGTCGCAATGTCGAAGCCCGACAAAGAGATCATTGCAGAGGTCATGCTGTTTTCGCAAGGGTTTTCAGAGGCCAAGACGCTGTCCAGACAGACCGTCCCATTCTTCGACAAGTGCAGCGCGGGATTGTCCAAGCAACCACATTACGATTTCGGTCTTCGTGCGCTGAAGAGTGTGCTTGTCAGCTCTGGGGGTCTCAAGCGTACGCGACTTGCTATTGGTGGTGCAGAGGGCGCCGACGTGGTGGTGGAGCCGCAAATTATCGTTCAGAGCATTCGCGAAACCATAGCACCGAAACTCGTACGAAATGATGCTCTACTCATGCAAGAGATCGAGGAGGAAGCTTTCCCTGGCGTGAAGTACATGCCTGCACCGCTAGAGAAGCTGCGCGCTGCCCTTGAAGAAGTCGTCGAAGAGCGGAAGCTGGTTGCTACAGACTCGTGGCTAACTAAGGTGTTGCAGCTATATCAGATTCAGAGCCTGCATCACGGTGTCATGATGGTCGGAAACTCCGGCACGGGCAAGTCTACTGCGTGGCAATCATTGCTTGCTGCCCTACAAAAGGTCGACGGCATCGAGGGCGTATGCCATGTCATCGATCCCAAAGTCATGTCAAAGGAGAGTTTGTACGGAAGTCTCGACAGTACGACCCGCGAATGGACTGATGGCCTATTCACGAGCATACTACGCAAAGTCGTAGACAACCTCCGTGGTGAAGATACTAAGCGGCACTGGATCGTTTTCGATGGCGACGTCGATCCTGAGTGGGTCGAAAATCTGAATTCCGTGCTCGATGACAACAAGCTGCTGACGCTGCCAAATGGTGAGCGCTTGGGTCTGCCCTCAAATGTGCGAGTCATGTTCGAAGTCGAAACCCTACGATACGCTACTCTGGCGACTGTTTCGAGATGTGGTATGGTGTGGTTCAGCGACGACACTGTTGACATTGATGTCATGCTCTCGAGGTACATTGCTCAATCACGGACTGCTACTTTTGAGGATCTGGAAGAAGACTCTGGGACGGCTACATCTGCGGAATCGAGACTTGCGGTACAGAACCTGATGGCCGAGATACTGAGCCGACGACTGACGGAAAACGAGTTCGTGAGAAAGAGCCTGGAGCACTGCGCGGGCATGAAGCACATCATGGAGTTCACGTCAATTCGCGCGATTGGCACTCTTTTCTCTCTGCTGCGCAAGGCATGTCGTTCTGTGCTCGAATACAACGTCTCACACGTCGACTTCCCTCTTGGCGACGAGCAGATCGAGGCATATCTCTCGAAGAAGGTTCTGCTAGCTGCTGTCTGGTCCTTTACAGGTGATTGCCCACTTCTAGATCGCAAAGCATTTGGCGACTACTTGGCTGGTCTGGCCACACTTGACATGCCCGTGCTCTCCGAAACAACATCGCTTATCGACTACGATGTCACCCTTCCAGAAGCCAGCTGGACTTCGTGGCAGAACCAAGTACCTACCATCGAGGTCAATACACATTCGGTCACACAGACCGACCTAGTCATTCCGACTCTGGATACTGTTCGACATGAAGACGTTCTGTACTCGTTCTTAGCAGAACACAAGCCTCTCCTACTTTGTGGTCCCCCTGGGTCTGGTAAGACGATGACACTCTTCAGCGCCTTGCGCAAGCTACCAAATCTGGAAGTCGTTGGCCTCAATTTTTCCAGTGCAACGACGCCAGAACTGCTCGTCAAGACCTTAGAACAGTACTGTGACTACAAGAAATCCCTCAGTGGTGTCACGATGGCACCTCGGCAGATTGGCCGATGGCTTGTTGTTTTCTGCGATGAGATAAACTTGCCAGCACCAGATAAATATGGCACCCAGCGCGTCATATCTTTCCTCCGACAACTAGTCGAACACGGCGGTTTCTGGCGCACCTCGACCAAGAGCTGGGTTAGCCTGGAGCGGATTCAATTCGTTGGTGCCTGCAATCCTCCAACGGATGCTGGCCGTACTCCTCTCGGCCTCCGTTTCCTGCGACATGCTCCGCTGATTATGGTCGACTATCCTGGCGAGCTCTCTTTAAAGCAAATCTATGGCACGTTCAATACTGCTGTTCTTAAGATCATCCCCACTTTACGAGGATATGCAGATGCCTTGACGCAAGCTATGATTCAAGTCTATCTCATGTCGCAGAAGCGCTTTACTCCGGAGATCCAGCCGCACTACGTCTATTCCCCGCGTGAGTTGACGAGGTGGGTGAGAGCCATGTATGAAGCAATCCGACCACTCGAAACGCTTTCTCTCGAAGGCTTGCTTCGTATCTGGGCACATGAGGCGCTCCGTCTGTTCTCCGATCGGCTTATCGCTGATGACGAGAGGCAGTGGACTGAAGACACCGTGAATAGTGTTGCGCTCGAGCACTTTCCCAACCTGGACGAGGAGACGGCCTTGCAGAGGCCTATACTATTCTCGAATTGGCTGTCGAAAAACTACGTCCCTGTGGCACGCGATCAATTGCGAGATTTCGTGAAAGCCAGATTGAGAACCTTCTGCGAAGAGGAACTCGATGTGCCGCTTATATTGTTCAATGATGTGCTGGAACATGTACTTCGTATTGATCGAGTTTTCCGACAGCCTCAAGGACATCTGATCCTGATTGGTGTTAGTGGAAGTGGCAAGACTACGTTGTCTCGCTTTGTGGCTTGGATGAACGGACTTTCCGTCTTTCAGATCAAAGTGCACGGCAGGTACTCCTCTGAGGACTTCGACGAGGATCTCCGAGTGGTTCTGCGACGCTGTGGTACCAAGGGGGAAAGAATATGCTTCATCATGGACGAATCGAATGTGCTCGACTCTGGATTCCTGGAGCGTATGAACACTCTCCTAGCCAATGGTGAGGTTCCGGGTCTTTTCGAAGGTGATGAGTATGCCACTCTTATGACTGCTTGTAAAGAAGGTGCTCAGCGACAAGGTCTTCTGCTGGATTCTCAAGAGGAGCTGTACAAGTGGTTCACGCAGCAGATCGTACGGAACCTACATGTTGTGTTCACGATGAACCCACCTTCTGAAGGCCTCGGATCGAAGGCGGCAACTAGTCCTGCTTTGTTCAACCGTTGCGTGCTCAATTGGTTCGGCGACTGGTCCGATCAAGCGCTATACCAGGTCGCATACGAACTTACGCAATCGGTGGATATCGAGAAGGCCAATTACGCATGCCCAGATAGCCTACCGATCGAGTTCGACCAGCTGGAGATGCCCCTTTCGCACCGGGATGCTGTTGTCAATGGCATGGTTCACGTTCATCACTCGTTGCGCTCTTTCAATGATCGCCTGATGCGACAGCAGAATAAGCAGACATTCTTGACTCCAAGACAATTCTTGGACTTTGTTGCTCAATTTGTCAAGCTTTTTAACGAGAAGCGTGACGATCTCGAGGAACAGCAACGCCACCTGAATGTTGGTCTAGATAAGCTTCGAGAGACTGTCCAGAAGGTGTCCGAGCTGAAGAGGAGCCTAGCGGAGAAGAAGACCGAGCTCGAGAAGAAGGACATTGAAGCGAGTGAGAAGCTGCAGCGTATGGTGGCCGATCAGCGAGAAGCGGAACAGAGACGTGCCGCATCGCTTGAGATCCAGGCTGCACTCGAAAAGCAAGAGAAGGAAGTCGCGACGCGGAGAGAAGTGGTGCTGAATGATCTCGCAAAGGCTGAACCTGCTGTGGAAGAGGCGCAGAGGAGCGTCAGTAATATCAAGCGTCAACATTTGACTGAAGTGAGGTCTATGCAGAACCCCCCTGCCGGCGTCAAGCTTGCGTTGGAGTCTGTTTGCACGCTGCTTGGACACAAGGCTACAGATTGGAAGACGATTGTCAGCATTGTGAGGAGAGATGACTTCATCGCAAGCATTGTCGGCTATGACAATGAACGCCAGATGACGCCAAACTTGAGATCAAAGATGGAGGCGGAATACTTGTCCAAAGATGACTTCACTTTTGAGCGAGTCAATCGCGCATCCAAGGCTTGCGGTCCACTCGTGCAGTGGGTAGAAGCCCAGGTCAATTATTCTGCCATCCTGGACAGAGTCGGTCCTTTGCGTGAAGAAGTCGACCAGTTACAGGAAGAGGCTTTGCAGACCAAAGCGGAGGCAAAGGCCATTATGAACACTCTCGAGGAGCTTGAACAGAGCATTGCAACGTACAAGTCTGAGTATGCATCGCTCATCAGCCAGACTGAGGCGATCAAGGCTGAGATGACTCGTGTGCAATCCAAAGTAGATCGCAGCATGCGCCTACTGAACAGCTTGTCATCGGAACGTGGTCGTTGGGAAGAGAGCAGCAAGACATTCCAGGTGCAAATGGAGACCATCATCGGCGATGTTTTCTTGGCTTCCGCCTTCTTAGCATATGCTGGTCTATACGATCAGCAGTATCGTCGTGCCATGCTAGAAGATTGGTCACTGCAACTATCTGCTTCGGGCATCTCCTTCAAGCCGCAGAACGCACTTTCCGAATACCTTTCGACTGCGGACGAGAGACAACAATGGCATGAAAATGCACTGCCGGTTGATGAGCTTTGCACGGAGAATGCCATTATGTTGAAGAGATACAATCGCTATCCGCTCATCATCGATCCGTCTGGACGTGTGACAGATTTCTTGCAGAACGAGACGAAAGATCGGCGTCTCACTGTCACGAGTTTCCTGGACGGCTCGTTCGTGAAGCAGCTCGAAAGTGCTTTGCGTTTTGGCAATCCAATTCTCATACAGGATGCGGAGCACATTGATCCAATACTCAACCATGTGCTGAACAAGGAGTATCAGCGCACCGGTGGCCGTGTGTTGATACAGCTTGGTAAACAAGAGATCGACTTCTCGCCTGCTTTCAAGCTGTACTTGTCAACCAAAGATCCTTCAGCGGCGTTTGCGCCGGATATCTGCAGCAGGACCACTTTCGTCAACTTCACTGTCACGCAGAGCAGTTTGAAAACCCAGACACTGAACGAGGTTCTGAAGTCCGAACGCCCAGATGTTGATGAGCGAAGATCGAATCTTGTCAAGATGCAAGGCGAATTCACGCAACGACTGCGACGCCTCGAACGAATGTTATTGCAGGCACTCAACGAGTCGCGCGGCAACATTCTGGACGATGAAAATGTTATCAACACCCTCGAGAAGCTCAAGAACGAGGCTGCAGAGATCACGACAAAGGCTTCAGAGACGGAGGGTGTCATGAACGAAGTCAACACCATCATGAACACCTACGACATCATTGCGCGGTCCTGCTCGGCCATCTTTGCGGTTTTGGAACAACTGTACCACGTCCACCACTTCTACCAGTTTTCCCTGCAGTACTTTGTGGACATTTTCGAATCGGTGCTACGTGCAGCTCGCGAATCTGCGGAGCGCGATCCAAAGCGACGCATTGATACCATCGTGCGTTCGCTTTTTGCCAAGACATACAACGAGACCTCAGCTTCGTTGTTGCAGAAGGACCGGCTGACATTCGCTGTACTTCTCGCGCAAGCTGCGCCCTTCCCCATGGATAAGAGCTTGATCGACCTCGTCTTGGACGAAAGCATCGTCGGCGGAGATGTCACCTCAGATCCCGGGCAGAAGGCCAAGGCCGTGGCTGTCGCCATGCGGGTCAAGGGCATCAAGGACCTGGTCACAGATATTGAGTCGCCAGAATGGGAGAAATTCTTAGCAACCGAACAAGCGGAGACTTGTGTTCCTGGCATTGCAGCAGCCGGCGGAAGCGAGAACGACAAAGCCCTCAAAGAGCTCTTGCTGGTCAAGCTGTTCCACTTGGATCGGCTTGTACCAGCGACGGAGCGATTTGTGAACGTCGTGTTCGGCCAAGATTTCCTGGACGTGGCGGAAAACCTCGGCAGAATTGTCGACGAACAGATTGCCAGCTCACCCATCGCTCTCTGCTCGACTCCTGGGTTCGACGCCAGCTACAAGGTTGACCAACTCGTTGAGCGACAGAATGCGAGCTGTACCAGTGTCGCCATGGGTTCGCAAGAAGGGGTCTCCAGCGCCGACGCTGCGCTCGCTGGAGCTGCAGCCAATGGCTCGTGGGTCTTGATCAAGAACGTCCACCTTGCCACAGAATGGCTGCAGAACCTGGTCAAGCGCATCGACTCACTCAAGCCGAACAAGGATTTCCGACTGTTCTTGTCGATGGAGACGAGCCCCAAGATTCCATCGAGTCTGCTTCGCGCTTCGCGGGTGCTCATGTACGAACAGCCTGCGGGTATTCGCGCCAACATGAGAGACACTTTGACCTCACTTCCCGACAAGGCCGTTCAGCAACCAGTCGAAAAGGCTCGCGTGCATTTCTTACTGGCGTTCCTGCATGCTGTCGTGCAAGAACGACTACGATACGCCCCTCGACTAGGCTGGAAGAGCTTCTGGGAGTTTAATGATGCGGACTTTGATTGTTCGGCTTTCATCATACAATGGTGGACAGACAAGGTCGCTCGTGGTCGCTCCAATGTCGCGCCCAAGAGCATTCCATGGGACATGCTACGGTCCCTGATTGCAGAAATGTATGGCGGCAAGATTGACGATGCCGGCGATATGGCACAACTAAAGGGCTTAGTCAAGAAGACCTTGACAGCCGAGGCGTTTGAGGATGGCTTCAACCTGATTGGTGAAGTCGCTGAAGACGAATCAGTCGGAATGCCTTTGCCAAGTGGTTCGGCAAAAACGGATATGCTACAATGGGTGAAGGAGTTGCCCGAGCGCGAGCCGCCCACGTATCTGGGCTTGCCAGGAAATGCGGAGAAGCTGTTGCTCGTGGCCCACGCGGAAGAGATGTTGAAGAATCTGAAGACCGTAATGGGTGTGCTTGACGAGGGAGAGAGCATCATGGCCGAGGCCACCGAAGAGCCCTAGTGAGTGAGTGAGTTTAGAAGCGCAGGAAATGTAAGATGAAGATCAGAGATTGTTTTGGAGGAAATGAAGTTCCCTTTGTTTTTTGTGCATGGATGAACGGCGTTGAAGCTCGAGACTGATGTGGTTGCCATGGGGGCACTGGCATCGTGTGCATTTCTGCGTCGATACCCCCAACTGCTTGAGACTGACAAGATTTGTGCGAGTGATTAGTAATCTCTCTGTCAGTAAGGTGCAATAGTTGATAGAGAAACCCCTGGTTGTCAATATATTAGCCTAATGCATTTGGAACGTTTCTTTGTTTCTATTCCCCTTTCGACAAGAATGAACAATGCCTACCTTATACAATCTCTCTTGTCTAGATAATCTCGGTAGGTATCTTGCAAGCTGTTGAAATTGAGAGTCGATTGGGGCTACGGCAATCTGTAGGAAAACTGTGCAGAAAATCGCCAAGTGGGACAAAACAGACGTGTGCAAGTTGGTTCATTTGTTACAACTATTCGGATGTGTACTCATCGCTGCTGCATTGCTACCGTCGAGTTTTCTCCGTCCTCGCCTGTCAGAGAACAAAAAAGAAAAAAGAACGTAGCTCGAGATATTGCGATCCTATCAAGGATCGAGCAGGTGACGCCTTGGCTCTCACGCGCTCGGATACTGCCCATACATGCAGAGACACGTGTGGCCGTTTCCTGGGCTCTATTGCTTCGCCATTCGAACACCGGCGGTTCAATCGTGGCCATTCCTCATGGCTCGCAGAGGCATTGCCATCGTCACGAAATGGCACTCCACAGATCAGTCCACAGTCTGTCAGTTATCGTCTCACGCTGCAGCCCTTCAAAATTTCCACTGCGTCCCGTAACTTGGCCGCAAGGTTATCGCCGACCAACTCTGGTACTTTGACATTCTCCATAGCCTTACTGATCAAGCCTTTTTGGGGCTCGATATTCTCAAGCTTTCCCCCTGGCCCCATTATACCACCGGGGGTCGGTAAGGTACTCAATTTGGGGAAATTGAAATCGGCGGGCGACAGCGGAGGCGCATAGGGAGCGGGAGCGGGAGCGTGATTTGGGGTGACAGGCTCAGTCCCCCACTTTCCCCCGGTTCCGCCAAGTACGCCCCACATGGCAGCAGCAAGATCTGGTGTCGGTGATGCCAATGTGAATCGTCTCGGTTTTGGTTCTCCCGGTGCAGGCTTGTCTGCTATCCATTTGGTCACGGTAACGACGATTTCTTCTGCAGTCATCTCAAAGTGTTTTTTGACCACTTCGTCCCATATGTCCTCAGTATCGTCGATCGTACCGCTCGGTCTGGCGATAACACCGTCAACAAGCATGTTATCACCCCAATAATTGGCAGAGGGACCGCTGTGATCGGGCAGGCCTGCTCTGTAGCGACGACGATCCAGCCAATCCAGCATTGCAGTCTGAATCGTGCGATGATACAGACTTCTGTTGTACGACTTACTGCGGACATCGTGGTGGGGCACATTTTCCCGACCGGGCTCATTGTTGTATGGATGATCGCAGAAGATCATGGCCTGAATGCTGACGAGAACCTGGAGAAGAGTGCTTTTCTTGGGGTTCCACGATTCTCCTGGCCATGTTCCCAACAATGAAAGACAGACCTTGCCTAGAAAATCAAGTCAGCTTCTCGGAAGATTCAAGCGCGGGGAAAGGGGAAACACTCACCACTAGCATAAAGATTGGGGTTGAATTCCACCCAGCCTCCACCCGTGGTCCGGAACTCCACCTGTGGTGGCTCTTGAGGGAATTTGGGCCCGCACAGCATGTCGAATTCGAAGAGCCCGTTCTCGTACGGCGTGTCGCGCGGGCCGGTGATGAGAAACTTCATGATGTCCGGTCGTGTCGAAGCATATCTCACAAAGATCCCGTCCGGTAAACTGCTCTGCAACCTTGCGAGTTCTTGCATGATCCGGGACATGCGTCCTGGCGGCGACTGGAACAGTGGTGACTGCTTTCCCGCCAAGCTGTGCTTTGGTATGATTGCCTCGTCGGCAATTTCGGACACGGCGAGCTCTTTCTGCCACAGGTTCTTGTCTGTCGATTTGGTCATGTCGACACCAGCATTTGCGGTCAAGAGTTTGTTCAGCTCATCAATGGTGTGCAATACCTTCATGTGAGCCCGAGTGATTTCGGGACTTCTCAGCATAATTTTACACTGCAACGCGAGTGCTCTCATGCATCGAGTGAGCGACTGCGTCGTGTCGGACTCTTCTGTACTTACCAGTTCGGTCTTTCCGAACGAAACTTGGAGGATGCTGACTCCAGGACTGCGCGCAACTCTCTCTCGCAGAGCCAATGCACTCGTTGCAGGGTGCTGTGACAATGTCTGGATGAAGCGTACCAAAGCCGTGTACAGTTCGGCTTGGTTAGTAACTTCCTCAAGATTGTTGTTACGGAAGAGGTCCGCAGCGCGCTCCAAGATGGAGCTCCCGAGCAGCACGCATTCCAGCTGCTCTCCAGGTGGATTCGTGTCAAACTCACCCTCTTTCTCGACACTGGGCAACAGATGCGTCAGACACTTGAGGACTCGAGCAGTCATTCTGTCATCACGGCTGAGCTTCTCTTCCACCGGCTCGGTTGGCTTCGCAGGCGCATGGCTCGGACGAAGGAGGTCTGTTCCCGGTGAAGGCTTGCTGGGGTGGGTGTAGGGGCCTTGACCGCCAGCAAGGTAGTGGTTCAACGCGGCAGCGAGTTCATCGGGATCGGCAGCGACTTTACCTTTGTGGGAAGCTTGGTGGTAGCCTGGTGGGGCAGCGAGGTATTGTTCAACGGATAAAGGTCCCAGGGGCTTTTGCTTTTTTCCAGCGGGCTTTTGTGCAGCGGGCTTTTGTGCAGCGGGAGGTGGTCCGTAGTGATAGCCCAGATAGCCAGGCGCAGCGGTACTGGGATGACCGACTAGCTGGTGGGGCTGTGCATCGTCAGATTCCGTGTCATTTAAGCCAAAGCCATACATTGCATGTAGCGCGTCGTGGGCATGAGGCTGTCGAGCTTTGCCACCATATCCTACTCCGTTGCCCTTGACAGTAGATTGCGGGCCGGTCTGCCGGCTCGAGCGTCGATCCTTGTCGGGCTTGTTGTGCGTCGAAGAGTGGTCAAAGCCGCAGAGCAGTACCCAGATCAAGACCAGGCGGTCGCTCTGAGTTCTCGACAGCGACTGACAGTCGGGACAGACAATTCCACGGCTGACTGACTGCGTTGGCTGGCCCATGAGAGCGTCGAACAGCCTGATGACGTCGTTTTCATACTCGAAGAGGCGGCTGGTGCAGTAGTGACACTGGTGGGTCTTCATCGACTGATACAACGTGCGCAAGGTCTTCTCCACGTGTCTGGCCGCAATGGTAGGCGGAGGAGCAGGCAGCGGAGTCAGGGTGATGGGAGTGCCGTCGAGGGAGAGTGAAGGAGAATAGGTGCTGCTGCTGCTGTTGTGGTTATGGCTGCTGTTCATGTCGGGGGCTTGATCCAAGTCGAAGTGCGCCTGAAGCCGTCGCGCCACTTCTTCATCGTCAGGCTCTGGGTAATGGCTGCGCGGGACCGGTGCGGTGTAGAGGCTCGAGGAGCTGGGGACAGGTGGAGATCCGGCGTGTCCGTGTTCTGCATCGAGCTCCGCCTGTAGGTGCCGAGCGTAGGCCTCGTCGTCAGTAGCCATTCTGGTGTGAAGCTTGGGATCGGCGGAGTGGTCGGTCCCGTCGATGGGGCGGTGGGAGGAGTGGGTAGCAGCGGTGGAGGAGAGGCGACGACGTTTGCGAGGCACTTCCTCCTCGTCCATGAAAGGACGGGACAGCAGAAGGGGGGCTGGTGTTAGTAGCTGAGGGACGAGCGAAGTGATTGAGTGTGTCTGGAGGTGGGAGGAGGAGGAGGAGGAGGAGGAGGAGGAAAGGGAAGTGCAGGTAAGTGCTTCTTTCTTGGCCGAGTAAATGTGTTATGAGCAAGTCTCGTGTCGGCAGGAGTGAATTTCGAGACTTGGCGTGTTGGGGAGTGTCACGGGCAGTGGTGGGGCAGAGGCAATGTTGAATTGCTTCAGACAGCAGAGAGAGAGAGAGGGAGGGAGAGAGGGAGAGAGGGAGAGGGAGAGAGAGAGAGAGAGAGAGAGAGAGAAGGAAAGAGAGAGAAAGACAGAGAGAGCAAGAGCGAGAGAGAGCAAGAGCGAGAGAGAGCGCGTCAGTAGGTCACTCCAGGGAAGGTAGGATCGATGAAGTCCCATTGATGAGTCGAGGCAGCCACGCTAGCCCAGTTAGGTCCCATTCTTGCAGGGATCTGAACCTTATAGAGAGATCACGTGAACTCGCGTCTCCCATCATTCTCTTCTCTGTCTTCCGTCTCTGACCTACATACTGTACAGCTAGTAGGTGTGGCCGGCTTTGCCATAAGCCCTATAGAGGCACATCCACCATCGCTGTGTACAATTGTGATGTGTGAGCATCTTGGCGCATGTTGCCGTCGTCCCATCGGTTCTAGGTAACCCTAAGCGGACGAAAGTCTACGCCAAGCCGCCTATAGAACTCTATTTTGCAGACGCGTGTCCGTAGGAGGTACCTTATATCGCAACTCCAGTCATATACTGGACCTCCATTGAGATTTACGTTGGGTGGAAGCTGTTTTGCGGAAATGGCCACGAAGACTACAACGCCGCGAAGGATCGTTTTTGTGCATCCGGACTTGGGAATCGGTGGTGCGGAGCGCTTGGTGATTGATGCTGCAGTGGGATTGCAGTCTCGGGGACACCAAGTCACTATCCTCACCTCATATCGCGATCCCAACCACTGCTTTGAGGAAGCCCGTGATGGTATGTCTTATCAGCAGCAGCAACAGGCGAATAGAGACGGCAACTGAGGTCGGGAAGGCTGAGACTTCTATCAAGGCACTCTCGATGTCCGGGTGCGCGGCGACAGCCTCTTCCCTACTTCCATCGCCGGACGCTTCAGCATTCTCTGTACCATCCTGCGCCAACTATCGCTCGTGGCCAGCACTGGACTCGCTTCTTCTGAGCTCCAGGAGCTGGATCCGGATGTCTTGATCGTGGACCAATTGAGCGCGTGCATACCTTTCTTCCGGCTCATATACCCCAAGGCCAAAGTGCTGTTCTACGGACATTTCCCAGACCAGCTACTGGTGCAGCAGGAGCGCGGCATCAAGCAAAAGCTCAAGTCCCTCTATCGAATCCCATTTGATGCGTTCGAAGCCTGGAGTACAGGCTGTGCCGACAGCATTGTCGTCAACAGCAAGTTCACTAGAAGCATCTTCAAAACCACGTTGCCGGGCGTCAAATCCAGGGAACTGAAAGTTATCTACCCTTGTGTAGATACGAGCGCTGCGAAAGAGGATAGCGGCAACAGTCCCATATGGCCCGACAGCAAGCTGCTCCTCAGCATCAACCGATTCGAGGGCAAGAAGATGTTGGATCTGGCCATCAAAGCGTTTGCGGGACTGGCGCCCGAGGACCGCAGCAAAGCGAAATTAGTTCTGGCAGGCGGCTACGATCCACGCAACGCTGAGAACGCCCTCACTCATAAAAAGCTCCAAGAGCTCTCCACTCTGCTGAAGCTCACCCACGCAACGTTCCGAGCTAACGACCCGGCACTCACCGACCTTTCCACCGCAGACGTCGACGTCTTGTTCCTCCTATCCATCTCCAACGAGCTCAAGACACGCCTCCTCTCCTCTGCCAGCCTCCTGATCTACACGCCCACCAACGAGCATTTTGGCATTGTACCCCTCGAAGCCATGCTGGCAGGAGTTCCCGTCCTCGCGACCAACACCGGCGGGCCCCTCGAGACCATCTACGATGGACGCACCGGTTGGCTGCGAAGTCCCGATAAAGTCGAGGAGTGGACAAAAGTCATGCAGAAGCCTCTGATTCCCTCGAGTACAGACAAACTGCGCGCAATGGGACGAAGCGGCCGCGAGCAAGTTCTGGCCCAATTCAGCAGGACGAAAATGGCCGCGTCCTTTGACGACGAGGTGCAACGAATGTTGCAAACTGAGGCTCCACGGCCAACAATCTTCTTTCACATCTCCTATCTCTTGATGATAGGCCTGTTGGCTATGATTGTGGCCATGGGAGCAATTCTCTACAAAGCATCGTTCGCGTGAGTGAATGAAACGTCGTAGTAGATAGTGAGCTGGGTCAAATAGACATGTATTATCTCTTCAAATGAAACGAAGGGTTATTATAAACGTCGGGCCAATAAATTTTAAACGTCGGGCCCAAAGTTTGCCTTAGGCCGCATTATGTACCTAAGGCAGAATATTCGTATGTTACCTGCTTCTATAACGAGAGCGACAAGACAAGACGAGACGAGAGCGACAAGACAAGACGAGACAAGAGCGACAAGACAAGACGAGACAAGCGTAACGAGACAAGACAAGACGAGACGAGCGCGACGAGACAAGACGAGAGCAACAAGACGAGAGCGACGAGACAGAACGAGACAAGAGCGACAAGAGAGGAGAGCGACAAGACGAGAGCAACGAGACAAGACGAGAGCGACGAGAGCGACGAGAGCAACGAGACAAGACGAGACAAGCGCAACGAGACAAGACGAGATAAGCGCAACGAGACGAGACGAAACGAGACGAAACGAGACGAGACTTACGAGACGCGACGAGACTAACGAGACCGACGAGACCGACGAGACCGACGAGACCGACGAGATATAACGAGACCGACGAGACACGACGAGACCGACGAGATACGACGAGACCGACGAGACGCGACGCGACGAGAGCGATGCGACGTAACGTAACGCAACGAGGGCGACGAGAGCGACGAGAGGAATAAGAGCAACGAGAGGAACGAGACGCAAAATACCTACCTAGAAAGGAGAGAGAGAGAGAGATAGAATACCTAAGAGAAATATCTTGAGATATCTTCTGCCTAAGGCAAACTTTGGGCCCGACGTTTAAAATTTATTGGCCCGACGTTTATAAAGGCCCGAAACGAATGGAAAAAAAAAAGAACAAGTCAAAACTCTTTTTTCTTTGTTACGCACTCACTACTCTGATCTTTCAACTGAGATTTTTTATCCATCCCTTGTTCTATACAAAAAAAAACACCGAGTGGAATTACAATCTTAAAAGCTTTTTATCATCCCGTCGACGAAAAGGACAAAAACAAATCACATTTCAGACATCTATAGCAGTAAGGGTCTGAAATCACGCTAGGTAGATTAGGTATAGGTATTAAACTTAGCGTACATTGTAAGGTAGCTTGACTTCACTTCACTTCACACTCCTTGGTTTTATGTTAGGTATATATTTACCTTACTTAGTTCGGTAGGTAGGTAGGTAGGTAGGTAGGTAAGTAGGCGAGGTAGCGAGTAAGTGACTAACCACTTTCACGCTCATGGAAGTGAACACAAGAAAAGAGCAGAGACGATGCAAAGACACTAAAACACCATCCAGCCATCAAGCCAAGCATCTCAGATTTGCAACAGATTCCGATACGTATCAACAAAGTCCCGAACCACATCCACAAAACCCTCCAGATCAGAATCCTTCACCGCAAGACTCAATGCCACAAATCCCCGTCTAGCAATATAATATCCCTTCCGCAACAGAAACAAATGCAAAATTTTATTCCATCTCCCATCCGCATCTTCCACATCCCTCGAAGACATAATCTCCCCCGCCGCCATCCGAGTAAAATGAAAACACATAATCGATCCGACACCCGTCACTTGCAGCAAAGTCCCCTCTCCAAGCAAATTCAATTTTCCTCGAAGTTCCTCCCCCATGGAATGTAACAGCAACGCTCTCTGCGGCGTAAAAACGTGCTCGAGACCAGCTCTGCCCGCAGCCATGGTCAAAACATTATTGTTAAAAGTCCCTGCATGAGACACAGCACCGGGAATTCGTGGATCGAAAATTTTCATAATTTCGCGTCGACCACCAAATGCTCCAAAGGACATTCCTCCTCCGAAATATTTTCCCAAAGTCGTCATATCCGGTCGAAAGGATTCTTGTAAAGATTGGATTCCTCCTCCGTTGTGCATACGAGATGTCATGACTTCGTCGTAAATCAATACAGCTCCTGTCGCATTTGCGAGGGATCGCAGGCCAATCAAAAAATCTGTACGAGCGGGAATCGCGCCTCCGGATCCTAACATGGGTTCGACGAGAATTGCCGCTAGATTTGCTTTATTATTATTATCATCATCATCGACGAGTAGCTGCTGTACAGAAGCAAGATCATTATATTTCGCAATAAGAAACTCATGAGGAGCATTCACCGGGCTAGAAATTCCGTTTGCGGAAAAACTCAAAACACCTCCGTGATAAGCGCCCTCAAAGACGAGAATTTTGGATTTTTTCGTATACATTTTCGCGGCGGCGAGCGCCATGAGGGAAGCTTCTGTTCCGGAATTGGTGAATCGGAGAAGTTCCATGGAAGGGAAACGTTGCTGGACGAGGTTCGCGAGCGAGATTTCGTCTTCGTGATGACTGCCAAAGGATAAGCCCCGTTGTGCTGCGGCGTTGATGGCGTGGATGATGACGGGCTCGGAATGGCCGTAGAGACCTGCTGTGTATTCGCCGAGGAGGTCAATGTATTCGTGACCATCGGCATCGTGGAGTGTGCATCCGCTGGCTTTGGTGATGTAGATGGGGAAAGGGTCGTAATATAGGACGGTTCTGGTGTTGCCGCCGGGTAAGACTTCTGTTGCACGGGAGTAGAGCTTTTTGCTGGTGGGATTGCGGGCGATGTATTCGGTCTCTAATTCATGGCATGCTTGTTCTGTCGTTGCGCAGGCTGTAGTCGATGTGCAGGTTGTTGTCGTTGCCATGTTGATGGAGTGGTAAACCAGACTTCCCATAGACGTAACCTTGCCTAGGTACCTAGGTAGTTACATGGTGTGGTGATGGGATATCGGAGGCTGAAGCACAATGCCAAGACCTGGCCAGCACCGAGCCAATAAATGGGAAACGGGACAGGAGACAGTGCGGAGGTCATCTCACGCCATGGGCAAACAAAAGTTACGAGTACCAGGTAAGATACATGCAAAACTCTGGCTCTTGCTCGGAATCATGGCGGATCATCGCATCAAACTCGTGAAAATGCAGGTCTGCGAGGACGGGGCGGGCGACTGTGCGACACCATCGCTCTGTCGGTCTCCCCATCTCCCCATGATGATGAGCACAGCAGCATGTCCTAGATACGGCAAGTATAATCACGACCTGCTCTCTTTAAGAACTCATATGTGAGAACTCATATGTTAGGGACCCTCCCACTAGCTCAACCTGTGGAAATTCAACATCACACCCCAAGTGTAGACACATGCCATAGCGAGGCCACATCATTACAGGCAGCCTCGGGCACTAAATCAAAGAGAATAACCGCAATCCGCAACACCAGAATCACCAGTGTAGAGATATGAGCACAGACTCTACCCTCTCAAGACCCCATCTCCTCTCCATCCCCCCGGAAATCCGACAACAAATCCTCCACCACGTCCTCTTCTCCCACAACTCCGCCCTCTCCACCAGCCCCGCCACAAACCGACTATACACCTGGATCGACCTCCGGCGCTTCTCCCATGGCAAACCCGACGTGCTCACCTATCGCGAACCCGCCATCCTGTCCACCTGCCGCCTCATCCGCCTCGAAGCGTCCCCCACCTACTACTCCCGCGTACAATTCCGCTTCACCGAAGCCCAAACCTGCATCCAATGGCTCTCCCACCTGAACGCAGACAGCAGAAGTGAAATTCAGGATTTGGCGTACTGCCCGAATTATCTGACGTGGATGGATCCGAGACATCCTCCCGAAAGAGCGGCGATTCTGGGGCGGGATTGGAGGGATTTGTGCAAGACTTTTGAGCTGCTGGGTCTGGATATGCGGCGAGTGTTGCGAGTGTGTGGGTATGGTGGTGGGAGTGTAGGTTGGGTTTTTGCTCAAGATTACTTTGATTTCGAGTATGCGGATGCTGATGGCTTGTCGTCAGGAGGAGGAGCTGGAACGAGGAGGCGGTGAACCGTTGGTGATGCATCGGAGCTGTCCGGCGTCTTGTTGGCGCTCGATCGTGTCGGGTGCCTGATATCTGGATGTGCTATCACCAGAAGCATGGAAGAGGCGCAAGGAAAGACAGAAAGAGTACAACCAAAAAAGAAGGCCAACTGATGCACTGGAAGGATTTCAAGCAAGAAAAAGGTGCGAGGCTTCGGAAAGTCCATACATCCCGGGATATTTGGACGTGTACGACCTTGGTATGGATCCTTCCCAAGGTGGACATTCAGATGATCTCGCATGCGGACCGGATGTAAGCAGCGACTGCGGCAACTGTGGTAACGATGAAAGCGGTCGTATATCCGGCACAGCACCGTCCAGGCAGAATGAAATGTGATTAGGTTTCTCCCAGCATAGAATTGCAATGCCAGCATAATTGAGCCCTATCCAAATAAAGTCTCCAATCTCATCTCCATCATCACATCCATCCAGTGTATGCTCTTCTTCCCTCTCTCGCCTCCCATTTGGACCCGCAAATCGGACTGGACCCAAACTTGTTGTATAAGCCTGGCTGCCCTGTGCATAGCAGCAAGACCCAACCGCCGCGATGTATGCATAATCTGCTCACGAAGATTGATCCGCAGTTCTTTCAAAGCTGGTCGGCTACGCCGCAGGCGAGCCATTTCGCCTTCGAGGCTGCCAGGAGCTGCTTCGGGACGCGGGACATGCTGACTTTGCATCGCGCCACCAGCACAGATCAGCGCGATACATAGAACTGTGAAGGTGCCAGAATCCCTGGGTAATGCTGCTACCATCGAAGTGATGTTGCTAGCGAGATCGTAGACGGTGTCGTTGATAGTGGTTTTGCTCAGTGGAAGAGCGTCGTGAGTCGGGCCGATTGTACAGACGGCCAAGCATGGAAATGCCTGGCATAGCTCCAGAATGGCCGTGAAGCGGTATATATTGGCCACATCGCAAAGATGCTGGAGAGGCGTGCTCGGATCCGCAGTGTTCTCCATACTCTCGTCCGGTGGCAAGGTATAAGCCATGACGGCAGCAAGCACACTCTTGGCTTCTGCCTGTAGCCCTTCGGCAAGACATGCGCTCACGTACGAAGTGCTTCGGAGACACGAGAGTCTGTCCAAAATGCGCCTCTGACGAAGCAGAACTCCAACTTGTGCCATGCGTATGAATATTGGTGTGGCAACACCTGTCCACGGGTTGGGGTATATCGTCTGGCCTTCGGCGATTTTGGTGAAAGGAGTCAGATAGGCGATGGCATCGAGAGACTGATCGGCTATGAAGGATGACAGACATTCCCAGTATGCCATGGAGCCGATGATGAAGCTCTGCTCGCGGTCCAGAATGTCAACATCACCATTGGCCTTGAAAATTGCTTGCTCTGCCGACCATGCTTGGAAGAGTGAACGGGCGCCTGCGAGATGGTGCATTCCACTTGCAGTCGCATTCGCAGTAGGGTCATACCATGCCTACACCTGTCAGCTTGTCGACTCACGCGTATAGCAGTCACGTCACGCACAGAAGTCATGCCAAGCATGATGGCGCCTAGCAACATCTCATATGTGGATGCCGATCTGATCGGGTTGCGCCCCTTGGGCTGCTGGATGGGAAGTGAAGAGGCAATCTCCTCAACTGCTTTCGTCTGATACTTGATAGCTGTGATGGCCATATCATGGACAAAATTCGCCATGTGTGATGCCGACATCCCCATCATGCAGGCCTTGATGTGCGAGGAGGAGTGCTGGAGACTAGGAATAGTCGTTCTGTATGGATTACTCCAGCTGTCATAGCACGACATGACGCGGCAGGCCGAGCTGAAGTAATGATGCATAAGCTTTTCCGACGATTCATCCTCATACCATAAACATGGCGCTGGTGAGGAAACCGTCAGCCAGTCTTGGCCAGAAGCGAGGTCAGAGCGGCTTGTCAGTAATGTTTCATAGTCGTCCGCCATTGCCTCTTCATCCTGAATGTGCTGTTGATCGTCATCGTCCTCGCGTGATTCCCAGGGAGGATGAGCATCGGGCGCAGTACAGGCTTCAGAATGTGTAGTGTCCTGATCTTGAGTCGTTGCAGGACCGGAATCACTAGGAGAACCTCCCACGTACAAGTCCGCTGTCTCGGAAGGGCTCATAGGATCGCATACCGCCATGACTTGCTCATCAACCTGATGGAACTCGGGTGATGCACAGCTCCTGGCCTCTTCGGTCACTACGGCATCTCCGATCATCCCGTCGCCATCGAGTCGTTCCGGAATCACTTGAGGTGCAGTTTCTGCGGGAGTCGAAGGAACTTCTGCAACTGGTGAGCCACTGAAGGCATGGAGCACTTCTTGGAATCGGTTTTGAAGAGGCGATAGTGACCGCAGCGGCTTCTGCTTTGCTGGCTTGAATCGCTCATACTTGGTCGACCACTTGAGGTCGCGAGCGTATCCGGGACAGTCTATCTTCCTGTAGGCACAATTCCGACATCTGGGCTTCCCTTCATCGCACTTCATCCGCTTTTTGCGACATGCCCCACAGCCGTGGCGGCTTTTGACCGGCTTCACTTCAGTAGACTGCTCCATGGTCGGTGCATACGTGCATCCGATGTCACCGAGAGGATGAACATGTCGACTGAGAGAGCTGCAGCTGTTTGCTGCGGGGAGTTGGTGGTTGTGTACAGGGCCTTATCCCGCTCGTTCAATTGGTTGGCTCTCTCCCATGCCCTCCCTTCATGCCGTCCCTGTTCACGCAGTGTGACGCCCATCGCCTGGCCAGTGAAGACTCAACAACCTCATCCGCTGCCACTTGTCATCCTTGCGATGTATTTCGGCGCCTGTGGTGCCATCAGTTCATGATATGGGGCCTTGAAGGCTGGAAACATTGTGTGCTGATGGGATGTCGATGGAGGAAGTCGTTCCCGTCTGCTGCACGGTTGACCTCCCCTCTAGTTCCTCCTCTTGGCGACCATCTGGCGCTGTTACGCGGCAAGATCTCACCTGCACCATCACCGTCATCGTCCCCGGAGGGCCCCCGAGTCCCATCAGCCCATCAGGCGCCAGAATGGATGGGGATGTATGGCGTGGGCCGAAAGTTTGGCGCGCAAAGACCAGCCGTGTCTGGATCTGCAGGTTCTGCATGCATTTTTCAAGAAGTTGGGCCATTGTGAAGGATGCGCATCGAACGAGTTGTTGAGAGCATGCTTGCAGAGGCCTGATGGGAGTGAAAAACGTGGGCGACGCGACGCGGCAGGTCTGTTGAAGGCGATCGAGGATGGAGGCCAATGGAAGCAACAACAGCGGCGGCGGCAGCGGCAGCGACCTGCTCGAGCTGCCCTGCGAGCTGCGAGGTCTCGTTGCATACTTGAGCGTGGACGAGCGAGCGACGGCGATATTGCACATACCGCAGAATGGGCGAGACGTCGAACGAGACTTCAAGGTCGTGTACAGGAATCCAGCCTTCGACCGTCTCTCCAGACCATCGGTCGAGCTCGAAGAAGTGCGAAATGCAGTCGCCCGCTCCCACTCGATAGAGCAGGACCTGTCGACGTTGCATGACAAGATACTCGACGGTGGAGCATGGCAGACACGGATATCGGGCGACTACGCGATAGTCATATCAGTAGCCGGAGGGAGACTTGCAGATCCAGGGCAGCATCGTGATGCTCTCGAATTGTCGAGGTCACGCTCAAATGGCACCAGGAGAAGCAGCGACATTCGCTCTGTCCCATCAATAGGGCAGGCTGGTCTGGACTGGACCAAGGCTGACAGGTCTGGCCTCTCGCCATGGATCAAGTTCATCCGCAACTTCGACTGGGCATCGACTGGCATTGGGCCTATGGATGCTTGGTCGGACATCTTGCGTCAGGCCATTGTTTCCATTATGGCAAATCCCGATCCGCGTCTGATTGTATGGGGCGATGACATGTCTTTCATATACAACGAGGCTTGCGTCGCAATGTTTGGTGCGAAGCACCCTGACTGTCTGGGACAGAATGTCAAAGGCGTATTTGGAGAGGCGTGGGCCATGGTAGGCCCCATCGTCGATGCAGGCTATCGTGGCGAGGTTCGTAGGATTCACAACTTTCCGCTTCCAATCCAAAGACATGGCTTTCTGGAAGAAACATACTGGTCTTTCACTACGCTGCCCCTGATCGATGAGGCTGGCATGGGCATCGGCGTGGTGGACGAGCTGAAAGAGTCGACCGCATTGGTCATCGGCGATCGTAGGAGGAATACCATCAACGAGCTTAGCATGCAACTTAACAAAGCCCGTACATTAGCAGACCTTTGGCCTGCCGTGCTCGTGCCGCTGGCGCAAAATGTGCTGGACATACCATTTGCTATCTTATACACCATCGTCAACGATGTGCCCGAAAGAAGCGAAGCAGCTGAGTCGTCATCGAACGGATCTTCTTCCACCACACTGTACTCGAAGAAAGCCGTCCTGGCCCATACCATTGGGTTGCCGGATGATCAGCCGGATGTTCCCAAGACGTTTTCGTTTGATGCTGTCAACTGTGGGCCTGGCATCGCTCAGTCGTGCATAGACGCGTACAACACCAGAGAAATGGTCAGCTTGTCAAGCACAGACGGGACGTTGCCACCATCTTTAGCTGTCGCTGTGCCAGGTCGTGGATTCAGTGAAACCGTGAGGACTGCAGTTATCTCGCCCATCAAGCCCGTTGCTGGATCCGACACGCTTGCCATTCTCATCATAGGATTGAATCCCCGGTCAGTGTTTGGCGAAGAATATCAGGTCTTCCGTCAAATCATCGTGGACGTCATTGAGAAGGCAGCCGCAGTCATATCACTACCCGAAGAGCAACAACGTGCTCAGAGAATCGCCGAAGACGTGAATAACGCACTGGCACAGCAGCTCCGGCTGACCACTCTTAAGGCGGAGAAGAGCGAAGCCAAGTTCTCTCGTCTCGCGTCGGCAGCACCTACAGGCATGTTCATGTTTGAGCCCTCTGGAAAACCATTGTACGTGAATGACCAGTATCTCGCAATGATCGGACAAACACGAGATGAGCACATGAGCATCAAGGATCGCGAAGGCTTGGGAACACAGATTCACGAAGAGGATCTCGATACATTCGCAGAAGCGTGGAGAGCAGTCACGCAAGACAAGTTGCCGACTACTTTTGAGTACCGGCTGAAACGATCATGGTTGGCCACAGACAAGAGCGGCCAGGAGATGTCTGGGGAGACTTGGCTGCTAGCCACCGCCTTTCCAGAGATTGAGCCTGATGGTACTGTGTCTTCCATACAAGGCTGGCTGACAGATATCTCGCATCGTAAATTCTCCGAACAGCTGCTCGCACAGAGACTGGAAGATGCGCTGGAAAACAAGCGCCAAACGGAGAACTTTATCGACATGACCAGCCATGAGGTGACATACTCTCTCTCTCTCTCTCTCTCTCTCTCTCTCTCCCACTCGCGAATTCTAGCTTACCTACTCTAACTTCGAACAGATGAGAAACCCTCTGTCGGCGATCCTGCAAAGTGCCGACTCTATCGAGACGCTTCTCAACTCAACCGGAATGCCGATCACGAACAAAGATATGAGATTGCCTGCGGACATCGCAGAGGCCATCGTAGATGCGGCGCAGACAATCATCTTGTGCGCACAGCATCAAAAGAGGTAAGATTGGTCATATCACAGAGCACTGACACGTCCGTGGCAACCTGCTGATTTCTAATTTCTGTCATTTCTAGGATCGTGGACGACATTCTGTATGTGCTTTCCTCCCCACGCCCTGTATACTGCTGACTTTTATAGCACGCTCTCGAAGCTTGATGCCAGTCTACTTGTTATATCTCCTGATTCCGTCGATGTCCCTATGCTCGTGACCAAGGCTCTCAAGATGTACGAAGCTGAGATCGAGCGCGCTGGCATTGATGCGCAGCTATGCATTGAAAACACCATGGAGGAGCTCGGTGTGGGTACAGTGATCCTAGATGGCAGCAGACTACTTCAAGTCATCATCAACCTCCTCACGAACAGCATAAAGTTCACACAGTATTCCGATGTCCGCAAGATCAAGATCTGCATTGGGGCTTCATTGCAGAAACCTACAGGTCAGCATCACGGCATATCCTTCATTCCACCACGACGACAGATTCGACCATCACGAACGCCACAACCAGGATGGACCGGCGGCGAGGACTTATATCTGCAGTTCGCCGTCTATGATACTGGACGTGGTCTAAATGAAGATGAAATGAAATTACTCTTCCAGCGCTTTCAGCAAGCATCGCCAAAGACATACAAACAGTACGGCGGGTCCGGACTTGGCCTCTTCATTTCGCGAGAGCTCTGCGAGCTTCAAGGTGGACAAATTGGCGTTACGAGTAGCAAGGGCAACACGGTCTTCACGTTCTATGTGAGAGCCAAAAGGTGGGTGGAAGGTGAGCCACCAGCATGCACCCGACCTGCGCCTCTGCGATATCAGAGTAGTGCAGCGTCGAGTCCAATGATGTATAACAGAAGAGGAAGCGTGATGCTCGAGGTCGGTCAGAGCCAACTCGGATCTCCCCGCGAGGAGAACGGGACTACGGTGGAGCATTTCCATCCTTCAGATCATTCGTTATTGCGAGTACCTTCTTACCAAGCTGCGCCTATGACGGCTGTAGCGGAAGTCTCGCCTCCTGTCACGAAGGAAATTGAACAGCCCACGACCCTGAAAGTAGACTTGCATGTCCTGATTGTCGAAGATAACGTGAGTCCAGCCTTCCGATGATGTGCTGACTGGGCCTTTTCATTCCATACCATACTGACACACTACCCCCAGCTCATCAACCAGAAAGTCATGTCCCAGCAACTTCAACGCGCAGGCTGCATAGTGCACGTCGCCAACCACGGACTAGAATGTCTCAACTTTCTTGAAACTTCCACATACTGCTCTTCCACGACCCCTTTATCTGTCATCCTGCTCGACCTCGAGGTAAGAACCCCCCCTAATATCCAAAATGGCATGCCCGCCCGCCTGACTCAATTCCTACCTACCTACCTTACCCATACCACCAACCCCAAACAAACGAATTAATGAATGGCGACATAGATGCCCACAATGGACGGCCTCACATGTATCCGACACATTCGAAAACGACAACTCACTGGAAAAATCACCGGACATATCCCCGTAATTGCAGTCACAGCAAACGCACGATCTGAGCAAATTTCAAGCGCGATTGAGGCGGGTATGGATCAAGTGGTTACGAAACCTTTTCGAATACCGGAATTGGTACCGCAGATTGAGAGACTTGTTGCTGAAGTCAAAGAGGGAAAGGGCCGTTCTGGTGCTGGGTGTTGACAATGCTGGAAGATTTGATTTGGATCGGGGTTCTTGTGAGATACTTTCTGGCCACCGGGGAGGGAGGGAGTAGTTGGATGGAGCATTCTCTGAGGGAGAGTGAGAGGGAGAGGCGACAGTATGGCCGCAAGTCTGACTCCTCCCGCAGAGCTTCTGGTGCAAAGGGCGGGCTGTGCTTGGAATGATCGACCCACGCACTTTTACCCGTGCCGAGCTACAATGCTGCGTGCGATACGTCCCCCAATGGCTCTCAGACCAGCAGCCTATTGCAGGTCCGTGAGAAGCAGGCGCAACGCTCGGGTCAAAACTCTCATCACCCCGTATCCTCATATCGACCAATGCCGGTCGTGGATAACATCGACAGACACATTTGAGTATTCGTTTAGAACTTTTACCCCCAGTTCAAGGCCACTACATAGTAATAGTAGTTGTAGTAATAATAGTTGTATTACAACACATAACCCAACCTAAGGTAGCATCTTTTCGCCACTACTTGCGCTCCAACAACCACGCAATCGACTCCATAAACTCCTTCACATACTTCTTACTCGCATCAATCTGCGGCATCATCAACCAAAACCCATGCGGCAAACCTGGATACACTTTCATTTTCGTCGGGATCCCATATTCCGTCCGCAACACTTTTTCATAAATCAACCCATCATCTCGCAACAGATCCTGTCCGCAGACCTGGAAACTCGCTGGTGGCTGTCCCGCATGTCCGCCGGGCCATATCAGCGGACTGAACAAAGGATCGCTTCGCATTTTCGCCTCGGGCACATAGGCCTCGTGAAAGATTTCCATGGCGGTGGAATTCAAAATTGGTGCGTCGCGGTTTTGTTCGCAGGCGTTGTATTCGTGCTTGTATTTCTCTGGTATGCAACTGGGATCGCACAGAGCAGGCACGACATAATGCGTACCTGTCAATTTTGGTTGGTGTTTGTCTGTCACCCACGTATGCGCGACTGCTCCAACGAGATTTCCTCCGGCGGAGTCTCCGGCGATGAGGAAGCCTTGGGCGGGATCGGCGTTGAGGGATGCTGCGTTCTTCGTGGCCCAGATGGTGGCGTCGATGCAGTCGTGTGCTGCCGTGGGGAACTTATGTTCGGGTGCGAGGCGATAGTCGACGTCGACGCATACCATGCCGAATTTGGTTGTCACCTCGAGGAGGAGGGAGGCAAAATGTCCGAGATCACCGACGGACCAGCCGCCTCCATGGTAGGTAACGATTAGTGGGCTCTTTCCTGTAGATGGTTGATCGCGAGGTCGATAGATGCGAACGCCGATTGTGGATCCGTCTCGAACGGGAATCTGGCGGTCTTCTTGGATTACACGTTCGTCGGTGAGTGCTGGTGGTTTGGGCATACTGGCACGGAGCTCAGGGATGGGTTTGCCCTTGAAGTCGCCGATTTGAGGTTCTTGCCCGCCAAGGTAGGTTTTGACACCCTGTGAATAAGGTCGTCAGCTTTCATGTATGGCACCAGCATTTCAGTCGAAGACTCGACCGCACCTCTTTCCATGAGGGGTCCGGCTTGCTCAAGGCCTTCCAGTCGGTGATGTCTGCCATGTTGTTTGGTCAAAAGAACTTGAAGTGGATAATCTGCGAATATGCCTGACAGGATGATCTTGTGGTAATATATCGTCCGGTTGTTGTGATATAAACAAGAAACGATGAGTGCCCCTCGCTGATCGCGGCCTGGGCAACCTGAGGTGTAATACCTGTAGCTATAGCATTGAGGGTTTGCACTAAGGATGAATGCCGATCGACCCCATCATCGTCATTATCGTCATATCATCAATTCTGCCCCAAGTTAGAGCTATCAAGCACAGCCGCCTCCCTCCTTGCACATCCGAGTGCATAACACGGCAGACAGCGAAGTGGTGGCTTTGGCGAATGAGGAGTGAGAATGTCACATTTGTCACTGCCGGCCCTCCCGCCCAGCGGTCTAGCTCCCCCTCCACTCGGAGTTGTGAAAGTGCGATATCGTGCCCTGTGGGAGGTATGTACCTCCTACCTCCTACCTCCTAGTGTGAGGTGAGCATGTTGTATTCGTCACGGCCCACTTCCAGGTACGAAGAGGATGCAGGTTGACGAGAGGGAGAGCGATCTTTTACCCTGTACGTGTATAGCTTATTCAGGTTTCCCACGGTTCTGAGGCATTCAGGCCAAACTGGTACCACGGTTGTGAGGCAGCAAGCAATCAAGGAAGGGGTCGGGAGATACTAGTCTTTCAGGGGGGTGGTCAGAGAAAGGGAATGCCGGGCATTATCGATCGTGAGGTACTGATATTGTCCAGGTCTGACAAGCAGGTCTAGAATCGTTTTAGTCCAGGAACAGAACACGGAGGGAGATATTCGAGAGGAAGCTCACCTGAGGAAGGGAGCTGCCTCGCACATGCTCGCAGCTGCCAGCCGGCTCTTACACTTGGCGCCAAGACCATAGCCACGGGGTTCCCCTCTTTGCACCACTCCCACCACCACCGTGAATATCTTTCTGCGAGGAGAAGACCCCGAGTAACTCCTCACGTTGAACTCGGCAGTACAAAAAGAAGGGCTATACCTATGCTCCCTTGTCCGATGTCGACTCGTCAATCGCAACTCAGCAGATGCCGTGACTGGGTAGAGCCGGGCGTTAAAAGTGCTATGTTGCTCCGGCTTAGTTGTGTCTGCTATAGTAGGGGGAGTGCAAGCGTGGCACTTGAAGAGATGGACACGCAAATGCGATATTGTTAGACGACGGACGTGGTATAAGAGCTGGAGCTGAGGGAGAGCAACAACATGAAGCTGTACTGCGGACTTTATGGCTCGCAGGACTACCAGCTCTATAATGTGGTTGGTATATGGTATGGCGGACTCTAATTTCTACTCCGCTCACGCCACGCCGCGTCTGCTTCTACACTGGTCATGCTGCTTGGTCAGGCAGCCTTCATCGTTCTTGAGACTACTGCAATCTGCGTTAGTCCAGCAGCTGCCCAGGTCTCTGCCATAGCACTCGATTCAGTAGTGTCTATGGACGATTGGGGACTCAGTCCGCAAGTTGGCCTGGTCAAAGTCACACGCGCTGGGAACTCGACTGGTGCATTTCAAAGGGTCTAATTAGCACGATCGCGTATCGGCTACCCAAGCAAGAGACTTCACTTAGTCGGCAACTTTAAATCGACCATTGGTGCTTCCTATAGCAGTCGTCGATGTTGACGACACATTCACTACTACCATTGATTTCTACAGAAAGCTGCACATGCACTGACTACGTGACGCCAGCACTCACAACGTGAGCTTGATCTGTGACCTCTCCACGGCTGTAAGTATAGGGTAGTGCTGGAGGAAAACCTACAATCACTATGGAATACAGATTCCAGCGCGACATGATGCCGATACATGTACTCGCGACCTCATCGTAGGGCTCACCACAGCATTGCTACTGAACTGCTCCTTGAGGCAAGTCACAACATACCTACATGATGCACAACACATTCTCCGACTTCTTCGCTTTCGAGTCTGATCTCGACGGTGCTGAAGGTATCGAGCCGCTTTCTACTGAATACATTTATCCCTTCAGCCAAAACCAGCAAACGCCATCGGCTTCTGTAGCACTTTCTGTGGGCTCGGGCTCGGAACCGCTTCATGATTCTTCCAGCAACGCTTCCGAAAATGGAATGTGCGGAGCTTTGGAACTATCTCGAGAAAGCCACAAAAACTCCGATACTGACAGCTTTGAAGCCGAGCATAATCTATCGCAGTCCATCGACCATAAACTGTCCCATCAATGGGAAGAATGCAACGAGAAGGCGCGTTACGACTTCTACGATGACTAAAGATGCAAGACTGACTGAATGATAGATCATCAAAGCACCTTACGACTACGTGGCTTCCATGCCAGGCAAGGAGATTCGTCGACAGCTGCTGAATGCTCTCAATCACTGGTTCCAAGTAGACGAAATATCTAGCAACATCATAGCCGAGACAGTCACCATGATGCATAACGCCTCACTACTGTAAGTCCCTCCTCCTTCTCCTCCTCCGCCTCCTCCTCCCAACTCATTCCCTCCCCAGCATCGACGACATCCAAGACAACTCCCAACTCCGCCGCGGTTTCCCCTCCGCTCATCAAGTCTACGGTGTCGCCCAAACCATCAACTCCGCCAACTACGTCTACTTTCAAGCCCAACAACACCTCCTCCAACACCTTCCCAAAGGAGGAGGAGTAGAAGAAGCCGCCATCATCAGAATCTTCAACGAAGAAATGCTAAATCTCCATCGAGGTCAAGGGATGGAGTTGTATTGGCGCGATACGATGCAATTGCCACCTTCAGAGGCGGAATATCTCCAAATGGTTTCGAATAAGACTGGAGGGTTGTTTCGGTTAATTTTACGATTGTTGAGGGTAATGAGTCCCGTGGAACATGTAATGGCGGTGAATGTGGATGTGATTTCGAAGGTAGTGGATGTCATGGGGTTACAATTTCAAATTCTAGATGATTTGAAGAATATTTGCGATGAGAAGGTAAGCGCGACCCCAACAAATCCTTCGTTTTCTTCTTTCTCCTCTCCTTTTTCATTTTCTTTTGTTTCTTTTATTCTTTTTCCCGTGGTTTTTTTGGCTCCTAACAGCAGCTGACTAACATCTCCCCCCTACCCCTTCTTTTTCCCCCCACAGATGGCAAAACAAAAAGGTTTCTTCGACGACCTAACAGAAGGCAAATTCTCCTATCCAATCGCACACGCAATTTGGAAAGAAAAGAATCATAATACTCCCCCAAGTCCCGAAAATTCAAGCTCCGAAAGAAAACACCTCCTCATCGAATTTCTCGCAATGAGAACACAAGACAACACAATCAAAATCGAAGCAATCCAATGTCTGCAACGCGCTGGAAGTCTAAATCATACAAAGCAGGTTTTGAAAACTCTGGATCAGCGTGCGAGATTTTTGATGGGAGAGGTTGGTGTGAAGAATCCTCTGCTTGAAAAGGTGTTGGATCAGCTTGTGGATGGTTTGGGAAGGATGGATGTAGGGAGTCAGTTGTCTGTGGAGGAGGGGGGCAGACTCACATCTCTAAAGCAGGAGTCTAGCTAGCTACTCGGCTTGTGCAATGGACAGGATATGTGATGTTGATTGAAGAATGAATCTCTACAGCTGAGAGTGCCATGCTCCATTTGTGCTTCCGCTTTTGCGAGTTGTCTATCTTCATCACTCTGGGAGAAGCTGAAGCTATCGCCAGTCGGAGTCGCTACTCTTCCCAGCTATTGGCGCCGAAGTTCTCGGTACATACTATGTTGATCCCCCTGACTGTGCTTTCTGCCGGAGTCGCTCCCAAGCACTCCCGCTCTGGACCGATTTGGAGTCCTCTTGCATGCCAAAAGCATCTCGACTTGGTCCTTGTCGCTGTTGGCTTGGATGTGCAGCGCGACTCTCCTGGCTCTTCGCATAGTCCGCTTCCTGCTGCCTCTGTATACTTTCCGATTGCCTCCTCGCCTGATCATCGCTCATCATAGCAGTATCCGACACATCCGCGCTGCCCGGATCCACAAACTCCGCACCAAAAGCACCACCCGTGGGACTCATGTCATCAGCTCTGCTCTCAGCTCTCATCACATTTCTTCTCTCCGTCGGCTGTTGTTGTCCGGCCCTGTGCTCTCTCCAAGCCTCCTGCGCCCTCTGCCTCTGCCTCGCCATATCAAACGTCTCTCCTGCACTCTCCTTCCTGCCAGGACTATCATCGGCTTTTCTACTCCCCGGCCAGGTTCCACTCGCTGCATGTTTCCTGATAGCCAATCCCACTTCTTTCAGCCTCGGATCCCTCTCCCTCCCCACGCTGTACACGGTAAGAGCATAAGACCCAGCCAAAGTCCCGCCCAAGAACGCCCCCACGGTACTATAAGCAAGGAGCCTCGCACTATGCCACGCAATTCTTGCAGATCGGCCGCTGAGGAAACCAAATCTCTGCGGGTTGAACTTCTCACCGGGGGTCCAGCCCGGAAACCCAAATTTGCTCCACGAACGAAAGGCAAGGGCTGATGCAATGACGGTGCCCACTGGGTGACCATAGCTGCCTATACGGTAGGCTTTGGCGTGGTGGAAGGCAAGGGCGTCGGCTTCGTCTTGCGTAACGGGGCGGCCGAGCGCGAGTCCTGCATTCTGAATGCTAGACTTGATGCTAGAGAGCATGTTGGAGGGAAGGGGCTCAGACTGGAGAAACAGCCTGGGAAGCTGGCTGATGTTGACGTAAACCGTGTCTTCGCCCGAATTGACGGTGAAATAGGACGAGTTGCGGGTGGGAAGCTCGGTTGGGTTGCGGTCGCCATAGTACGGGTCGGCGTCAGACGACGGCGCGGTGTCGGCGGAGAAGGTGTCGGCTTCCTCGAGAACCATGTTGACGACTGGTGTATCAACTGACAGACTGACAGTGAAGTGGTCTTGTCTTACCTCCTAGGATGTTGTGTTCATGTTGTCTGCGGCTCAAGTCAATTGAAGTCAATGAAAGTCAACCTGAAGCTTAAGCTGCACTGGATCCGTCATCGGTCTGTCACTGACCTTCTGCTGTCCCGTGCGTTTGGGGAATATCAAACCTTCTTCCCTCCTCACTTATTATGTTATTCATTCCCCAAAGGCATCATATGCCTCCTCACTTACCTTATTCATTCCCCGTGCTTATGGGAGAATAATAGACTTGCTCGAATGGCCGACTGATCCGGTCTACCGAGATACGCAAAAGATCCGAGATGTGTTGACAAGAGTATATCTGTCAAAGGATAGAAATCTAATGCTGTCCAACTCCAGTACCGCTCGGGAACATGCCCAAGTCAATCAACCCTCAAAAGTCTACAAGCACCTTTGAACCAATAATGTTCCACTGCTGATCTCCATGATTACCTTCTCGATCGCTCCCGGCCATTGTACTGTTCAGCTGCTTTGATGCCTTACACTGCCATTGGCGCTTGCATTCATTATCTTATAAGTCCATAGCAGAAGTGCATAGCTATCGCAACTCTTTGGAAGATACCAGGTAGCGAACTGCATTGGTGGACCACTGTCTTTGCTCGCAATGCGAAGAGACATTCTCGAGTGGGTAGATGAAGCAACAGAGCAGCCTTGGCGGTCTACGCTCCGCCGAGAGCCGAGACCGAGAGTCTTCTTCTTCTTCTCTGCTAACCTTCGTGGCACTACAGTACCTTACCGTATGCTCCTTGACACACGTACCTGAGTGATGTATCTACACATCGTTCACCTTCTCTCGACTGCCTCAGCAACATGAGGGACCACCCAGAGCCCCCATCCGCCACTCTCTCCAGCTTCACTTGGATTCTCCATGTCATGAGCACTTTTACATCGTAACCTCGCTAATTACATAGGTACGTGGGGTTGATATCCATTCCAAGTACACGTCTGATGTGTCGGAGTTGGACTCCACGAGGCGACTTTCCATGGAAGTCCGGGTCTACGGCTGATAGCAACTCGTGGCTGCACTTTAGCACTTGCTGGAGACGGACATCCTAGAGAACACCCAGCACTGCCTGCAGGACTTAAGGCCTGTAACGCCTGCTTTGGTGGACATATTTGAGTCTCAGGGTTCTCTCTATAAGGTAGGCATCTGAAGCCCGCGAGCGGTAAACGACGGCCACGTCCTGACACATGCCTAGCCGACCATGGACAATCGGCCAGGATCGCTGTCAGGTGCTGCCTCTCTACTCCGCCGCTCCGCCCCCGAAGAGTACTGCTCAACTACTGCTTGTGCTCTGGTTAAGTAGCAAAGAGATGAAAACAACTTTCAGCAGATCATCTGGGTAGGCCATGAAAACCACTATCGGACGCCATCATCTGCGAGAACTCCCAGCTCTTCAGATTTTGGCTCCCTGGAATCTCGGGGCCGGGACGAAGAAGGGCCATCCCTAGAATCCTTGTCCGTATCCGAAGAAACCCCTTACGCTCTAGGCAAGTACAGAATCCTAGCTCCGAAGATGTAGCGCAGCGCGAGTCACTGTGTAATTGTACTGTTGTACTGTACAACATCGTCTACAGGCTACAGCCTATACGAAGAAAGCGCTTCGCTCGAAAGTCGCTAGCGTCTGTAGACTTCCGGGTTACCGAGCCTACAGGCTATCTATATCTCTCTAGTAGGTCTCATTGACCTCTCCAGGACCCGGGACTTAGCACAACACTAATTGTGGTATTTCACGCGCTTGCACTGCAACAAGTCCGTTGGCTTGCTTAGCAGGTCTTGTGTCAAATCCATTTCCTGGTCTCGTTCTACCATAGCGCACAGATCTCTCTATCGACCGAAGTTCGTTATTGCTCGCTTGAGGCCTCTCTCACCTGAAATGACTCCAAGACCTGTCCGAGACAGCCCTGCGTAAAATACCGTTCGACGATCTGCTTCTCCAGTCATCGACCTGCAAGAACGGGCCGCTGATCGTTAGTACTATCGACTCGCATTAACAGATCACGAGGTCGAAGAGATCCCTATTTATCTATGTTGCCTACATGGCATTGACTGGCCGGGACAACTGTGAGGTAGCAGGTTACCACAACTTACCAAAATGGGCGCAAAGAGCACCACAATGCACGATCATATCATGAGCATAGGAGAAGGAGGTGGAGGAGGAGGAGGAGACGATACCGTAAAACTGGCTCCAGGGTATCGCTATAGCTCGATTCTATCACTGCAGCCGAAAACCGGCGCACACTACCTCCTTCGCTTGTGCCACACACCTGTCGAATGCCAAGCACTGACTGACTTGGTATGGAGACGTCGGCTCTTCTTCTGCTCATACAATGCAGCAGATCGTCATGAGACATGATCGTGCCTTTGGTGGTCCCACACCCTCACGCCCACTCGCGAGAGGGTACTTGGCGATCATTGGCAAAGATTCGAACAGCCTAATGAGAGTAAGGTAGGTAGTATCTCAGTTGGATGGTCACTAGCAGAGACTGACAATATTCCAGCCACTCGGGTATAAAAGTCCCAGCGCAGTCCCACATAAGTCCAGAATCACAACTCGCAAACCAATCTTCAAAACCAAGACTCTACCAAAAAACCCCCCAAAAACCCAAACTCACCCACATCCAACCATGCTCTTCTCCAACCTCCTCGCAGCCCTGACCCTCGCGGTCTCCGCCTCCGCCGCAGCCGTAGCCAACGCCGGAGCCGAGCCCAGCATCCACTACACCGATCTGGAGAAGCGCGAACGAGTCGTCCAATGCTGCGTGCGTCAAGTCTGCTACCCAGCTTTCCAGAGCATCAACTGCCCTTGCACGAGCAGAAAGACGATGGGATGTCCTGAGCCGGTAAGTTAGTTATGATATCAGTAGAAAAGCAAAATGGAGAAGAAAAAAGAAAGGTGGATGAGAAAGTAAGGCGTGTACCTATACTGACGATTGTGTGTGTACGATAGAAATCTGCGAGGGAGTGCTGCACTGGTGGCGATCCTATTTAGATCCATTCTACTTGAGTTTGTGTCGTCTGGGACGAGTGTTGGTTCTTTGTCTTCTTTTTTTTATTTGCTAGGGAGGAAGGAAGGCTATATGCGAAGAAGAAGGAGGAGCAGGTTGTTGGTCTCGAAAGTGTCTTGTAGAATCGATCGTTGTCGAATTCTAAGGCGTTGGAGAGAAAGCATACCTACCTTACATGTACCTATCCTCTAGAATCGTATGCAAAATTTCTATTTTTCATCTTATATATGGCGCCAGCTCATCTTCGAATGATGGGGAGTCCTCAATGTATGCCATATAAGTCAACTGCTCAGGTAACTCTGTTTTTCGCCCAATATTCTCGTCCGTGGAACCGCTTTTCTTTTTCGTAGTAAAAACCTTATATATATATATATATAAGGTTCACAACTGAGGTATTGAAGCTTAGTAGAAGTGAAGTGAGCATAGTCTAGATACTGAGGTAAAGTCCAATAGCCTTGATGGATAGTGAGATGCCAGCAGTGGCGGTTTTTGGCTGCACTTTTGCACATTCGCCACATTCGCTCTGCAGAGACCGTGCTCCAGCGAATGAGTGGCGTATTTGGAACATTTCTGTATCAGAGGTACAGTCTTTATAGACTTGTGTGCTTTTCATAGTGAACAAAGACTACAGAGAGTACAAACAGGAATAGGTAGGCTGTCAATAGCATGGCTCACAAGTAGGACGCAGAAAGGTCGTTGATCTCTTGCACCAACTCGGCAGGACTGGATCCTCCGTCGCAATCGTACCATTTCCCACCATCTCTGATGCATCGGATCTTGTTGTCTAGGCGCACGGTGCAGCTCTTCGTCACACCAACTGAGGCGCTGTGATTGAAACTGGCCTTCAATCGATCCACGGCGAGCTGGCCATCTTCGTCTGTCGTGCATGCGTTGACCTTGTCAAAGTCCATCCCGTGCTCCAGAGCACAGTCTTCCAGAAGCGCTCGCTCGGGAATCTTCTCATACTCCCGAGTGAGGCACATGGTGAAGCCCAAATATATCTAGATGCACACGCACGAGATTAGCATACCTGATTCTGACAGAGAGAAAACGGACACTCGAACCTTCGGATCGGGGTACAACTGCGCGGCGCAGAGCTCAATGATATTTCCCAAACACTCCTCCGGCCCATGCTTGCAGAGCACCCCATCATCGTGGTCCGTCGTGTTGCCGATATACGAGAGTTGAAAGTCCACTTTGTCGGACACCTGTTGCATGGCCGGCAGGATAAGATCGTGAAGGCAATCCCGTGCATCAGGGCATTTGGACATGATGTGGGCTTCGAGAGGGACTTTACCGTTGCCACCGTAGCCATAATCGATTCCGGCGTCATCCGCGAGGGCTGCTTGGACGATCACAAAGGTGACAAACAGGAGGAAGGCGGTGAAGACCATCATGATGCGTTTGTGCCAGCGGCCGAGTGAGGAGCGATGCCAGGCTAGCATGTAGCGGTGCTGTGCTATGAGGACGTCTTCCCGGAGGGCGGCGAGAGAGGGTTCGGGTTCATTTACAGAGGGGTGTGGTGACTTCAGTTGGAAGAGAGGCTGTTTCTCCATGCTTTCCGATGCCTGTTGTGGGGATGGAAGTCTGTTGATGAAGCTTGTCAAATGATCCTTCCAGGTCTTGAGCTTCAGATGCTGCTTGGTGCTGACTCAGCCTGACTGAACTGGGTATCGAATCGACAGGGTTTCCCTGAAACGCAGGGATTCAATTCGAAAGTGGACTAGCGTGCATGTGACAGCGACTTCACTCCCCTCGCCAATAAAATTGAATGAATCCTTTAAACGTTCACACATATCCCTAAGCATCACAATCGACAGCGCGACTCGCACGGCATCCATCAGGAGAAAAATAATATCGAGATTGCTCTGCCACCGAAATCCTCGCACGGCGGCGTGATGTACCTCAAGGTAACAATGCGAGCATTGTGCGATTTCCGGGGGCGACTCCGACATGAGCAGCGACCGCAGATGACGAGCGAGGAACATATACCAGCCGCCAAGAAAGCTTCGGAAATCAAGCAAAAAAGCGCCTGTCCCTGCTCGGTTGCTCGTGCTTTTCGCTATAACAACATCGGAGATGCGAAAGGAAACATGTAATTACCTTGGGTCGCGCGTTGCTAGGCAGAGTGTGTTGTAACCGCCGTTATACCTATCAAGCAATCGCGGCTTCGAGCTGAGTCTTCATGGTCATACTAGATCTCTGGACCCTGTCATCTGTGCCCTGTAACGAAGCCGCCTTCTATACGATCAGTAGGCGATTGAGGAAATCTCGATAGGCACCCCATAAAGGAGTGTGGGCAGACTTTGGCGTTTTACAATCTATTCATCGTAGTTGCCAGGCTCTATAGAAGCTGGGGGGTATCGACTTCTCTCGCCAAAGAAATTGAACTAGCGACGCTTCCACAGCCTCGAGAAACTGATGAAGCTCGCCAACGCTGCGCTACATTCGTTTCAACGTGTAGCTCCTTTATTGGAATATCATAGCACGAGCTCTAGATTTGCATCCAATTCCTCTGTGTCAGAAAGGATGCAAGCAGGTATCTAGCCGTCATCACTCGCTCGCGTCAAGAGGGTGCACAGTGCTCAAGATATGTGGCTTGGCCGCCGGTGTCGTGACTCCCCTGTCAAGGCTTGCCCCAGTGCCATGGGGGAGCTTCGGTGCATCGCTTGTCGAAGGAAGTAATCCGCATTTGTATAGTGGTGGCGTCTCCTGGCATGGCATATTGACAACACTCAAAGGGTGGCACCCTCTGGCCGGTAGCATAGAAGCTCTGCTAATGAAAAGGGGCTTTATCCAGGTCCACAGTATGGGCATATTGACAACAATGATTCCGATTGTGGTTTCTCTCTGGCACCATCTGGAGCATGTCAGAAATTTTGCTTGGCTTCAGCATTAGGGAAAAGGGAGTGAACGTACTTGTTGAGGTTACTTGAAGTGGAACCCGTTTGCACAAATCCAAATCGAATGAGGGCGGCCGCCATGACAAAGATGCCGGAGCATAACAACAAGATCAGTCCAATCTTCTTGCCCAGGCCCACTCGTATCTTCCACAATATCGGAAGAGGTATGGCTAGTATGAGTAGATCCGTCGTGACATTCAGTATCGCCGAGACATAGACGTCGTGCATCCTGAAGGAGCATGTGGATGGAGGGGGCGGGTCTACTTGCCAGTTCTCCCGATATGGCAGGCAGCCCAAACACAACGCGAGGAACATTGCAGCGTAGCTGACGCCTGTCATGACCGCTGCGGTCCTGAAGAGCCAGATCCTGTCGCACACAAGGCGAAATCTAGCGAGAATGAAAAGAACCTGCAATGCGGAGAGGGGTCAGCAAGCGCCTCCATATCTCAAAAGGCTGGTTGAAACCATACCATGCCCTTCAATCCCCAGATGATGCTGCAGTATGCATACCTAGGTATGCACGTTAGCTAAAATATCGGGATTGGTGCCCTGTTGCTCGTGAGACATACCATGCTACCAGCTCCATCTTACTTCCTGTCACCACTTGATCCAGTTGGCAGGAACCGAGGATCGCGACCGCCTCCGCACTATAGTAGTCCATGTTGGTGCCGTACTTGAACACCATTGTCAAAGCTATCGACTTGCACGCAAAGCACATCCACACTACCAAGGCCAAGATGTCATCGCCTTGCCACTTCCCGCATCCCACTTGACGGAACGTGACTGCTAGTCGTAGAATCGTCACTAGTGTTCTGATTAGATCAGCTACTGCGCGTGTCTACTGATCAATGAAACTCAACTTACCCAATGCTGAACCACGTCCACATCTCTGGAACATATGTACTGTCATTGTGGTACTGTGTGCTTGGGCAAGTCATGGCAACCGGTTTCCTTTGTTGTATTTAAGAAGTCCGACACTGGGCGGAAGCGCCATTTAACATCAGGGAGCAGCGAAGGGGTATATTTCCCCCATCAGATGTATGACTACGCACTGTCGGTCTACCATCGGGTCGTTGATGTACTTGAAGGTACCAGGTAGGCTTCGTGCTCCCGGACGCGGACCAGGATCTGCCGACACGTCGATCGTCGACTTCGAAGAATGATCGCAGTGTTCTCGCGCCAAGTCGTCCCTTGCGACACATTTGGGGGCCTGCTGCAGTCTGCGGTAGCTAGCTATCTTGTGGACCGGAACGAGGGACCCTAAAGCCGATATGGTACCGGCGCGAGGTAGTTCTATTAGCATCCCTACTTCTCAAAGGTTATATCGTGACATGCATAACACGATGCACGGTGCACCAGATACGCAGCCCGGAGAATAATCCGAGCTTTACGTCTCCGGTCGCTGCTACTGCCTTGAGTGAGAGTGTTAAAGGTCTCGTGAGCAAACAAGGGATATGGCGATGCCAGTTCCATGCTCAAATGAGAAATTGGTAAACGTCAAGCAATTCGGAGATGCTTCCGAAGCGAAAGTGTAAAGTTGTCGAAAGACAGATATTATGCATGCTCACAAGTAGGCAAGCCTTGTGTGAGCATGCCTGAAGCGCCGATCGCTACTATAATAATACATGGTGCTTTGAAGTCAGCACCAAACCTCGCATTGAACGATTTCCTGCCAGGCTCCTTTGAAGTCCTCACGTCGCTTTTGGTACTTGGTCTCGATGTGATACTCAGAAGATTATCAGTCTCCACGCGCAGAGAATGGCAGGAAATTTCTATTGGCCAGTCGATGCCCTGTGAGTAGGTAGGCTCTGATATATGGCCAATCAGCTATAATTGCATAGCACAACAAGGTATGGCGAGTGAACTTACGACATGCGTCTCTAAAAGCTATCCCGTTGTCGAGGTCACTGAAGTTGGTGTTGGTCCACAAATACATGGTAAAGGTGGTGATTGTGCCCCAAGACTCTCTTGATTGGTGCGTCAAAGGCCTGAACTGCTCTGTATCCGGACTGCGGGGAGCACACCAGTAAGGCTTGGAAGTGTTGGTAGTGATAGGAAGAATTGCCTAATAGGCGCTGGAGAGTGGTGTTTAGGAAAGATCGGTAATGTGGACAGAGTCAGATGACGACCTGCCATGTTAGCCTCCTGCTCCTCTGACTTCTTATCTCCTTTAGTGAGTTGTCGTGCGGTATCAGCTCGCGCGTCCGTGGCGTACTAACTTCATGTGAGGACCAGACGAATCGCAACTTCTTGTAGTACTCAACTCACACAATCAAATTCATCACATCATTCATACCGTCTACTTCTACCACTCAGGGATCGCCTATTATACCTTTATTATAGAAGGAGTGGCACTACTAGCGGCGACCCGAAGTCTACTACCCTCGAGCAGACCTGGTGTCGAGGCAGAGGCCCCCCAACATCCGCGACAAAGAGATTAAAGTCAGAGCAATGAGCTCGGAGAACGAAAGGTTGGAACAGAATAAGGGGAAAAAGTTGACTTGCAAAGTCGAGTGGTCCAAACCGCCGAGTACCGCCAGCGCCAACGCTAAACCATAGGCTCACATATCTCATAGCCTCCAGTCATGATATCATTGCACCATAGCATCGCCAGTGACCTGCACCGTATCTGCTCCATCAAGTCCGATAGGGATTGATAAAGGTATTTCTGCCTTCGACTCCCGTGCTAGATTCTCTGCCCATGCTCGGCCTCGAACTAGCTTTCGAATCTTCGCCTCTGACCGCTGTCCTCTGCTCTGCAGTATTGCTTTGTTGACGCTAGTGGCTACTCTTTCTCGCAGCCTAAGGTCTAATAGCTCTTTGAACTCAGGCTGCATCTTCTCCGGTGAGAATATCATAAGCGCCATTGTGCGCTGTAGTGCTTCCTGATACTTTGCTTCCGTAGGTGCTTTGGGTGCGAGCTGCTCTGTGGCAAATTCCAGTGCCGGGCGAAACTCATCGCTCGCAGGCGTCGTACTGTTCGTTGGGCGGATGATGATGCTGCGTATGAGTTCGATGAGTTGCAGCTGCAGCAGATTGAAGTGGAGAAGCTGGTCTTGATCGAGGATCTGCGCGGGTACTTGTTAACAGTGTGTACGCGCCGCAAGATTTTGAAGGTAGGCAGGAAGCTCAAGACGAGATCATACTGAGGACTGAAGTGTAGTTTATTGATCTCATCAACACCCGAAGGTATATGAGTGGTGCATGAAACAATAATCATTTCGAAGGAAAGACAGGGCAGATGGGCGCAGCATACCTGATGATCGATCTCGTTGATGAGCGCGATGGCTTCCTCCACCTTGCCCGAGTGAAGAGCATCGCGTACAGCAACACGCTCACGAATGCTCTCCAAGTCATCAGGGCTGCCGAGGTTGGTCTCTTGTGCGAACTTTTCTGCTGCCGCAGGGTAGCCCTCAGAAACGAGATAGTCCATGATGACCCAGTTGATGTCGCTGCGTGAATACCTGTTAGCGGATAGATTCTCCAGGCTGACGCGCCGTCGCGAGCGCGCCATCGCCAGTCTGCATAGAGCGAAGTATTGGTGTGGGTATTCATGGACCGGTATACCCATACTGGTCCGTTTGTTCAGAGGTACAAAGATTTAAGGTTCTCCTCAGTGTGATTCGGAGAGATTCCCATTGTGTTATATTCATCATCGAATTGTGGAGAAGGTGCTGTGTAGAGGTAGAGAGAGGGGAGGGGCATAGCGTACCTCTTGCTCGGTTTCTTCTCGTCGACCTTCGCGTCGAAGGAACGGGCGGGAGGCATGGTGGTCGAGGGCACCGACGGCGATGAGCTCATGTCCGTAGCTGCTCAAGTCGGATCGAGGCACATAGTCGACAGATCTAGACCACGTTGATCAGGACCTGTCCTTCCCGCGCTGCTGGCGGCGATGGCGTGAGGTCAGGAGGTAGTGAATGGCGGATGTCTGGTGAGATGGAGGTGGTGATGGGAAGGGAAAAGAAGATTCGGAGCTTGAACTGTCTGTTGCGGGTGCCAAGCCTTGGTAATTGGACTATGGACACCGACAACCGATATTCTCGTTCTAATGTAGTGGCACCGCAGGGCCTGCACCTATCTATGTGACAACCTTAAGTCCAGGTATGTATGTCAGGTAGGCTTCCGTGCAGCTGTCTGTTCCTGTCCATTGTGTGCTACGTTACGTGTAGGCACATCTACTGACCTGATATATCCTGCTAATCAGCCTTCATCATCAGTACATACCTGATCTCCTCACGTCAGGTTGTGTAGCTTGCCATGAGCTCTCTTCCGTTCCTCCAGTGGACCAGCACCACAACGGCGAGTCTCACTACTAAATCTTCGACCGCACTTCGCCTCGAGTCCACGGCGTCCGCCCGGTTCCAGGTTGATTTTCTCACTTTCTGGTCTCTTGGCTCCGTCTTCCCTTCCCTTCCTTAAAGTGCCCTCACTCCACGCCTCTCTGCCCTCTCTGCCGCGTCCATCGCCTTGGGAGAGCAGCATGTGGACTATCGAGGTGTCGGCTACGGTCCTATCTAGGCGGCTGCGATGAACATCCCTTCTCTCGAGCTCCCACTGGGCGCTTTCGCAGCACTGGACACCCCGAAGACCACCTCGAGTACGCGCGCCCATTACTCCCCACCATGGGCAGATACCTCAATCATTGGCGTGGCTGGCAGCTCCGGCTCGGGCAAGACCTCACTGTCCATGGCCATCATCCGCGAGTTGAGCTTGCCCTGGGTGGTGATCATGTCTATGGATAGCTACTACAGGCCGCTGTCCCCGGCTCAGTCTGCAGCAGCCTTCAGAAATGAGTATGATTTTGATGCACCGGAAGCTATTGACTTTGATAAGCTGGTGGAGAATCTACGAGACATCAAAGCTGGGTATGCTATGTCTTTCACATTCGTCTTGGAAGTCTGCTGACCCATGTCAGCAAGAAGACAGACATCCCAATCTACTCCTTCGAGAAACACGCACGAGTAGACAAGACAAACACAATCTACTCGCCTCATGTACTAGTCCTGGAGGGCATCTTTGCGCTTCATGATCAACGCATCCTGGACCTGCTTGACCTTCGTATTTTCACCGAAGCAGATGCAGATCTCTGCTTATCGAGGCGTCGTGAGTTCTCCAGCACAGTCCTCGGACTGGCCTGAGACTGATCTTATATGCTAGTCCTGCGCGATGTGCGTGAGCGCGACCGCGACGTCGAGGGTTGCATCAAGCAATGGTTCAACTTCGTGAAGCCAAACTTCCACAAGTACGTGGAACCACAGCGCAATGTTGCCGGTATGTTGTTTCCCCATCCCGAACTCACAACATCTCCGCCACCAACACTATGATGATTCACAATTTCAATGCATAGTTCAACTGAAACTTCCTGTTGATAACCAATTACCATCTTTCAATTCGTCTGATATGTGTTTTACACAACGCCATTGCTTCGTGAGCAGTCGACGAAATGTGGACTGACTGCTCTGCTAGATCTCATCGTGCCTCGTGGCATTGAAAACAAGGTTGCCATTAGCATGGTCTGCGACCGCGTGCACAGGACGCTGGACGAGAAATCGCGCCAACATCAGCTCGAGCTACGGCGTCTTGGACAGACATCGGAAGATGCCACAATGTCTTCGAATGTCGCTATTCTGGAGCCCACCAATCAAGTCCGCGGCATCAATACAATTCTTATGGACCCTGGGCTTGAGCGAGAAGACTTTGTATTTTACTTTGACAGGATAGCAGTCATGCTCGTTGAGCAAGCCTTCGCTAGCGGGATGTGTTATAAGCAGCATGTGGTCAAGACTCCTATGTCCGGCCAGGTATACCACGGTCTGGCTATGGATGGCGAGATCTCTGCGGCAGTAGTCTTGCGAGGTGGGACATGCCTTGAGACTGGACTGAAGCGTGTGGTGCCTGATTGTCGCGTTGGTCGTCTGCTGATCCAGACCAATTTCCGCACAGGAGAGCCGGAGCTTCACTACTACAAGCTCAATCCGGACGTGCAAGATCATAAGAGGGTCTTGCTGCTGGATCCCCAGATGAGCAGTGGTGGTGCAGCGTTGATGGCTGTGCGGGTATTGCTTGATCATGGCGTCAAGGAGAGTCACATTGTCTTTGTGACTTACATGGCCGGGCGAGACGGCCTCAACAGGCTGATGAGCGTGTACCCAGATATCAAGGTGGTCCTTGGTAGGATAGTGGATGACAGCGAGACGAGATGGGTTGAGGAGAGATACTTGGGCTGCTAATAGTAAACAGTGGAATCAACTGGTCGGGTTCGCCGATACCATTCGATGACCTCTTTTCGTCCCGAGCTTCCCCACAACTTCCAATATAGCCCTCCAAGGTCGACAAGGCTTTGCGCACGACCCGTACCATGTGGTTGAACTCTTCGATTGATAAGTTTGACGCGATTCGCTGACCACGCGAAGCCTTTAAGAAGCTACCTAGTCAAGCAATTCTAGTAGGGCATGATGTGGTCCATTGCCTCGAAATTTTCTCTCCCTCTGCCAACCATGCTTGGCACTACAGGTACCTACCTACCTAAACTAGTGCAATTGGAACAAGTTTCTATTGCCCAGTCTCTTCAGTTTAGCTCTACCACGCTTCACTGCCAAGCCATCCCTCTTTCACTTCCCACTCACCTCACCAGACAATCGGATTTCGACAAAGCTCCACAAACGGCACCCGTGGACTAATTGCTGCTACCTTCCTTGGACTTGTTCCTTATTCATCCTTCCTGACGCAGTCGACCGGCTGCAGAGATCAACAGCATGACGATCTGCAGTGTCTGTCGCGACTTCCATCTGGCTCGCTCTTTTCCAGACGCTCCAGAAGACTCTGGTTGTGCGGCTCACTCGACAACAGCCTGTCTAAATTGCTGGCAAAGATGGATTTCGAATGAACTCAAGCGGGTGCAACCTGGTGAGCTTCGCTGCTTTGAATGCCAGGCGATCTTGAAGGAGAGTGATGTGAAGCTGAGGGCCACGGTTGGCACATACGAGCGGTAAGTGACAAAGACATATTGCAGGAGCACATCGAGTCAATACTGATACCTTTCATTGTAACAGGTACATGCAGCTTGTTGCGTTTATCAATCGACCGCCACTCCAGGGCACATATCGAGAGTGCCTAAGGGCGACATGCGATTCCGGTCAGATTCAGCCTGACGACTACTCGACGTTTCAATGCCAATCGTGCACTCACAAGCACTGCGTGCCCTGCCAGATGCCTTTTCACGAAGGAGTGAACTGCGAGGCGCCGCTGCTCGAGCGTAAGCGAGCCGGTGTTCGGTTTGAGGTCATTTGGAAGGGAAAGATGCACAGCATGCGTCAGGCGCATAAGTCGGAAGAGGATGCCACTGGGGAGGTTCTGGACAAGACGTGTAAGAATTGTCCTGAACCGAGCTGTGGCGTGAAGATCATGAAGGCAGGGTGAGTCGGGTCTCTCTTTGCCATGATTTGCTGATCTTGTGCTAACTACTTCTACTTCCAGTGGCTGCGAAATGATGGAGTGTAAGTCATTCCCTACGTTGAATGCATGAAACTGAGCGAACGAATTACTGACTGACTTTGTCATTAGGCTACAAGTGCGGTCTCAGTTTCTGCTGGCTCTGCCTAGCTCCTCAGAGCAATGTTGAAGACCATGGCAGCGCAGGCCACAAAGACGACTGCCCTCTCTGGCGACGCCCAGGCATCGTCGGTCCTCAGCACGTCGACATCGACAACGCAGAGGACCTCCTCGCGTTAGGATTGCAGCTCGACGAAGAGGAAGATGAAGAGATCTATGGCGGGCCAGATGACTTTCTTGCGAACCTGCAGGCTTTCCATCTTTTCAGAGGGCATCGACTAACCCAAGATGGTGATGAGGCAGAGCCAGCGGCACGCAGGCCACCTACGCCAGAATTCGCCGCTCTTTGGGGATCTGGGAATTGACGATACCAACGGGTATGGAGGCTCGTCTCACGATGGTCCTTCCGACCTCGTCTCGACAGAGTGGTGATGGATTTCGCAGTTGCCACGACCCTGACTCAGATGTTTGCTCACGCCGCAACTCCAGCTGAAGGCCAAGCTCTGGGATATGGAGGATGTGGGCAAGGACCTACGGATGTTTGGCAGGACGGTCTGAAGCGAGACTTTGATGAGCACGGAATTTTTCGGGGTCAACAACAGCGGATGGAGGCGGAGAGAGCGGTTCGAAGGGAGGCTGGACGACGAATAATGGAAGGAGATGCCAAGAGAGAGAGATGGCTCAATAAATTTGGCGAGGAGTGCTTCGTAGAGATCGTGAAGCCCCTCCGACCAAGAACATACCCCTGGTGCATTTGGCACCTTTGTACGCTACGTGTTAGACCATAGCAGGAGATTCAGCATTGCTTCTCGGCCTCCCATTCACCGTATGGTCCTCACCGGAGCACATCACGTAGACATGCAGGCAGAGAAATAAGTTGACGTGGAACCGGACACGGGAGAAATTCGATATCAAAGCACGTATGAGCGGAGCGTAGGTTGTCCTCCGCGAATGACCTTTCTCGTTGCTGATGCTTTCATAGCAGCTCATCGTATGCGAAGACTAAGTGGCCCTGTTGAGCACATGAGTGCTGAGCATGAAAGTTGATCTGCGATTACTTGTCAGTCTTTTGCATTTTGCAGCTATAAGGAGCTGGCTACCTCTTCTTTTGTTGCCTTTGTACGCTTCCGCACAGCTTGGCATACCCCAGTTCATGCCCGGCAATACCTCCTGAGTACCGGAACTTTTCGACCCAACCTCGGCTGCGTATGCGTCCGCCGTTCCTCTAGAGACCAGACGCTGCCGCGGCCGCTGATCGGCACCGATACGGCGCTGGTGGTTCTCATGGTCGTATCATGTCGTCTCTTTCAACGTGATCTCCACTTCAACTCTCATCCATCGCTTCGCCATCCATGACCCCAGCAGGTAATTTCCCCTCATTGTACAACTTCTCCAGTCTCTGCACCTCAGCCAGTGTCTTCGCCTTTTGCACCAAAGTCTGATACCGTTTCCTCTCATCGTCCGTGAGCTTGACCCTCTTCGCGCTCGACCCATTCGCAACCGCTGCGCTAGTTCTACTGAAAGCGCTACTTGCTTTGTTCGATTTCACGGCCATGATACTCTTCGCCAGATCCGTAGGTTCACTCGTGCTGCTTCCAAAGAGCTCCTTACCTTTCTTTCGCTCGGCGTCTTTGACCTTTTGGAAATCGAGGAATCGTATCGTAGGGCAACGCCAGAGGACGTAGTAGCGGTAATTCTACCCACATGGTGAGATCAGTATAGACATCCCTTTGTGTTTCCATAATCTTCGCGGTATGCCTCGCGCCTCACTCACATCCTTACTCGCAACCGGACAACCCACACAGCTCAAATACGTCAACTTCTGGAATCCTTCCAACGCGTCCAAATCACTCAATTCTGCCAACGCGTTCTGCGACAACACCAGCGTATGCAGATTTGGTAACGCCTTCGCCGTGCTCTCCGAGATGGTGTTTATCCGGTTCTGCGCCAATAGTAGCGTCTGAAGGCGTGGGGAAAGTGGGAAGCCGGAGAGGGTTTGGATGGCATTGTCGGTGAAATCGATGGCTTCTTGGTCTTTGGCCGAGCCGAGGTTCTCGATGGTTGGGATTTTGTGTCCTATAGTAGGAAAAGAGACCTTTGTATCAACTAGCTCTCGTGTAGTATCTGTTCTTTTCAGGGAAGATTTTTGCGATTTTGCATACCTCGAAGATCGAGTTCGCGCTCGTTGAGAGGATTGTTGTAAGAGAGTGATGAGGTGATCAGCTCGGCAGTGAGGCGCATTGTCTTTGATGTTATGCGCACTTGCTGCGGAGAGAGGAGAGTGGTATAGGATGCTGCAGCATGTGAGAAGGTCGAAGTACAGGCAAGGCTGGCAAGCTAAGATGACCATGTAAGGTAGAGGTAGATAATCGCCAAGATTCCTGAGTCATGCCGTCCCCAAGTACATGCAGGTCGCCGTCTCCGTAGTTCTACGCTCTTCTTTACTTCTTCAAGAATCAACACACGAACCACAACTTCACATCCAAGAGGAAACCGAACAGAAAAGATGGGATCCGTCGTCATTCCTCACCTCGTCACCGGCTGGCACGTGGACCAAGCTATCATGTCCGAAGAAGACCGTCTCGTGGTCATCCGTTTCGGCCGCGATTGGGATCCGGACTGCATGCGACAAGACGAAGTCCTCTACAAAATCGCCGACCGCGTCAAGAACTTCGCTGTCATCTATGTCTGCGATCTCGACCAAGTTCCCGACTTTAAGCAAATGTACGAACTGTACGACACAGTGACACTCATGTTCTTCTTCCGCAACAAGCATATGATGTGCGATTTCGGAACGGGAAACAATAACAAGTTGAACTGGGTGCTGGAAGATAAGCAAGAGTTGATTGATATTATCGAGACCATTTATAAAGGCGCGAAGAAAGGAAGGGGTCTGGTGGTCAGCCCGAAGGATTACTCGACAAGGTACCGATACTAGAACTCAAGCGACTTCGGGAATGTGTGAAGACCCAGTGATAATATGGAAGTCGTGCTACACGGGCGCGAATGGACCATATCTGGGCATATCTATTGGCTTGGCACTTGCGTGAAGTGTGTGCGTCGATGCTCTGCGATATTCACAGGGAGGGGCTATGGGGACTGGCCAGCCACGGTTGCTGTGAACGGGGTTGCTTGACCTGCATGCAGCCAGCAGACGAGAGTAGTAGAGATTTACCCTACTCCACGAATATGGACAGCATGTCATGCGGGAGGCGGGCTGCCTTAATATGCCTCCTAGGGGTCAATACATCCGCCATAACTACGATGGATCAATGAGCTACGATGGAGTTTGAGGGAGTCCAAGAGACTGAAATGGTTAGTCTACCAGATGCTTATTGCTTTATTTGATCCATTCCACTAATCGACATCTCCATTAAGCTTTCTCTACTGTAAGTACTCTCGTTCCATTATGCAGTGGATGTGTACTGGTGACATGCCTTCATGAACCGTATGCTCTCCCATCCCCCCGCAGATCATACGCAATTGCCGTCCAGTGCCTGGTTCTCCAAACAGGTTGTCTTGTAGCTCCACGTATATTGACATGCTATAACTTATCATGGGTGGTGGCCATGACCGGAAAAGGTGCCTTGAGTATTCATGAGATACTGGAACCTGGGAACTTGGATACCGGCTTGCCAAGTCGTTTCCAACGACGAGAGATATTTGCCTGCAAACCTGATTGATACCCGTCAAGTCCTCAGCCTGTCTGCATCTGAGTGACCTTTAGAGCAAATGTTCTGCCAAGAATACTTCATTATGTCGCTCAGCTCCCTACTCGATACGAATGTTTCTGGTCGGCTCTTGAAAGTCTTGTCTCGGGAGACATATGTCCCACGATGCAAGTATGGTTTAGTTTGGCGTTAATGCGGAGATAGCTTTTCGAGATAAATTCTAACTAGACAGAAGGCCAGTAGGTATGTAAAACATTCAATCATACATTTAATCTATCTAAATTCTCGATAATGGAATTGTCGGAAAAATCAAAGGCACATGACCTACGCTACCTACCCCACCGGATACCTAGGTACTAAGCCTTGGGGTAATCCTTGAAATGATAACTCTTCAACTTCACAAACTGATCGAATCCAAACTTGCTGAGTGTCTGACCCTTGCCACTATTCTTCCATCCGACCCAGGCCAGATCAGGTGCAGGGTAATCTGCTCTGTTCACAAAGACCGTTCCCGCTTCAATTTCATTAGCCAGTTCTTGGCCTCTCGCGACGTCTTTGGTCCAGACAGAAGCTGTCAGACCAAATTGGTTGTCTGACATGAGTTTTACGGCTTCTTCGTCAGATTTGACAGAGATGACAGGGATGACGGGACCAAAGGTTTCGTCCTGAATGACGAGCATGTCTTGCTTCACGTTTGTGAGAAGGGTAGGGACGACGTAATTGCCATCTGGGGGTGGATTCTTGAAGGATGCATTCTCTGGAGTTTCGTTCTTCGCTCCCGCCTGGATGGCACTGTTGATGTGGTTTTCGATTCTTGCTTTAGCGGCTTTGCTAATGACTGGTCCCACATGGGTAGATTTGTCGGTGGGGTCGCCGAGCTTGTAGTTGGATAGGACTTTCTTCACTTCTTCGACGAATTGGTCATGTACGCTTTCGTGGACGTAGACGCGCTCGAGACTGCAGCAGGATTGGCCCGAGTTGAAGACTGCTCCGTCTACGATCTCGTCGGCTGCCCAGGCCAAGTCTACATCGGAGCGGACGTAGGCAGGGTCTTTGCCACCCAATTCGAGCCCAACGCGAAGATCGACTCGTCCTGCTCCGGCCTTTTGTACAGCGAGACCACCATCGACGGAGCCTGTAAAACAGACGAGTTGGATCTCAGGGGCTTGAACGAGTTGTTCGATTTTCTTGAAGTCGCCGCAGTGGAAGTACTGGATGACATCTTTGTCGAGACCAGCCTTTACGAAGATGTCTTGAACTTGCTCTGCGATCGTTGGGGTCTGAGGCGAGGGCTTGAGGATGATGCTGTCACCGGCCAAGAGGGCTGGGACAAGAGAGTTGACGAGTGTCAAGTATGGATACTGGACGGAAGTGTCAGAATACATTGAAAGTGCTCCAGGAAAGATAGTAGCATACATTCCAAGGAAACAGAATGAGAACTGGACCAAGAGGCACTTTGCGCACGAATCGCTTGAAGCCTTGCTCAGGCTCACCAGGAGTATCTGAGAGGGCATCCTCGCTGATCTTGAGTAGATACTCGCCTCTCTTGACAGCTGTTTGGACTTCCTTGGCCGAGAACGCGATAGGTCTTCCCATTTGGTCTGTTATTTCTTGAGCTAGCTCATCTTGCTTGTCATTGATGAGTTGAAGCGCCTTCTTGACAATCTTCCGGCGATCTTGGAGACTGGTCTTGGAGTATTTCAAGAATGCAGTTTGGGCAGTTTTTGGCAATTGGGCCAATTGAGCGTCTGTCGGGCCATTGCGTTCCACCACGGGCTTGTTGGTGGACGGGGAGATGGTGGTGATCGTTTCGACTGCCATGTTTGATCGGTTTGTCGTTACTTGTGAGATGTTGTACACGACTGCCTATGACAATGGTGTCCAGAAAGGCAAAATATATGCGATAGAGTTTGCACTAGTTAATGATCCCTGCTCGCCCATGATGTCAATCAGGAACGAGCTTCCGTCAACTTCTCTATCCGGACGAACCGCAGGTCGACTACAATCGATATCAATTCGACGCGCCCACACCACGCGGCCCTCCGCTATCATTCTGTCTCTATTCGCCTTCCAATCATCTTTACCTACTCCGCCAGCCCAACTCACTTCACTTGACCCTCGAACCCCGAACCCTGCCTCAAGGGCTACCCTTGGCACTTGATCGCTTCAAAGCGATAAGCGCGAATGCCAATGCTGCCCATGCAGCGAGCTTTTGCCGGCTCAGCTCGCATTTGTCCTTCGCTCGCACGGCCAACGCTGCAGCAAACACCGCGGAGTAGAGCCAATGCCTCCATCCAGACGGCATTGAAGGCACAGAAGCGATACATCTCCCTCCGACGACCCCAACCACTTCCCAGAGCCGTGCGACGAGCCCTCCAGCACACCACGCGTCATGGACAAGTGGGACAGCTGCGATGGGCTTCGACTTCAAAGCTGAAGGAGGCAGCTATCGCGCCCCCGAAACAGAGAGGGCGGCTGGTACGCTGGACCTATAGAGTGCTCGCCTCGCTCGGCTTGTTCATTGTTATGAGTGGAGGTCTGGTCGTGGCCTTCTTTGCCTACGACGCGACTACATATGTTGGAGAGGGAGAGCCGGCGGACCTTTCCATCTCCGAGATGGCTCTGAACCCGCGCATCGGCGGTCCGAAGAACTTGCCCATCGCGGAGTACTTCATTGACGATGAGGAGAATGAGAAAATGAGGGAGCAAAAGCACAAGCCAAAGCTGGTGATTCTAGGTACCGGCTGGGGTAGCGTAGCTCTGTTGAAGCAGCTGAATCCGGGGGACTACCATGTCACCGTAGTTTCGCCATCTAATCACTTCCTGTTCACACCTATGCTACCTTCAGCCACTGTGGGTACGTTGGAGTTTAGGAGTCTGGTAGAGCCGGTGCGGAAGATTGTCAAACGCGTCATGGGTCACTTCATGAAGGCGTCTGCTGTTGATGTGGACTTCAGTAACAAGCTCCTCGAGTTGGAAGCAGATGGGCCGAATGGAAAGGAGCGCTTCTACTTGCCATACGACAAGCTGGTCATTGGAGTCGGATCCGTTACGAACCCCCACGGCGTAAAGGGACTAGAGCACTGTCACTTCTTGAAGGATATCAGTGATGCGCGCCGGATCAGAAATGCCGTTATTAGCAACCTCGAGACTGCCTCGCTTCCATCCACATCCGACGAAGAGCGCAGACGACTTCTTTCCTTTGTCGTGTCCGGAGGTGGTCCTACCGGTGTAGAGTTTGCTGCCGAGCTTTATGACATGCTGAATGAGGATCTGTGCAAATTCTATCCTCGTCTCTTGCGAAACGAGATCTCTGTCCATGTGATTCAATCCCGCGGCCATATCCTCAACACCTACGACGAAGCACTGAGCAAGTATGCAGAAGAAAGACTTGCGCACGACAGCGTTGATGTGCAGACAAATGCACGCGTTAAGGAGGTGCAAAAAGACAAGATCCTGTTCACGCAAAAAGACGCCGACGGCAACACTGTTACTAAGGAGCTGCCAATGGGCTTCTGTCTATGGTCCACCGGTGTTTCTCAGACTCAATTTGCTCAAGACATTGCCAAGAAGTTTGACGCCCAGAACAATCGCCATGCTCTCGAAACTGACACGCATCTCCGTCTTGTAGGAGCACCGCTTGGAGACGTCTACGCCATTGGCGACTGCAGCACCCTTCAAAACAATGTCTCCGAGCATATCGTCAACTTCCTCCGCACTCTCGCCTGGGAAAAAGGCAAGGACCCAGAGACTGTGACCCTCAACTACTCACAATGGTGTGAAGTCGCCAAACGCGTCAGAGCACGCTTCCCACAAGCCACAGACCATCTCAAGCGACTAGGTAAACTTTTTGAGCAATACGACCACGACAAATCCGGCACTCTCGACTTCGGCGAATTAAATGAACTCCTCAAGCAGATCGATAGCAAGATGACTTCACTGCCTGCTACTGCTCAGCGTGCCAATCAGCAGGGTATCTACCTGGGTAAGAAGTTGAACAAGATGGCGCAGAGTGCCGATGCCATGCAACTCAATGGTATTATCGACGGGGATCTTGATGATGCCGTCTATAAGGCTTTTGAGTATCGGCATATGGGCAGTCTGGCATATATCGGCAATGCTGCCATCTTTGACTTTGGTGGCAACATCAGCTTTGGGGGCGGACTCATGGCGGCATATCTCTGGAGGAGTGTGTACTTCGCGCAGTCGGTGAGCCTGAGGACAAGAATGTTGCTTGCCATGGATTGGAGTAAGAGGGCGCTGTTCGGGAGAGGTGAGTTTGTATCCATTCCTACTACTAATCTGCAGTATTGTGGAAAATTGAAGCTGATTTGAATGATACATTAGATATGATGAACTACTGAGACGCGGAACCAGAGATATGTACATTTTAACCTAGAATTTAGAGTAGAGGGCGCGTGCAGCCGACAAGGCCTTTAGAGACCTGGGGATTCATCCATTATTGCCGCGCAGGGAAAGGGATCCGAGGTTGCTAGTTTGCACCAAGACACAGGGGGAATCTCACGTGTGCCCCTCTTGAGTGAAGCCAGTTTTCTTTGGTCTTGGCAAGTCTCTGCGCACTCGCAAGATCAGCGCATAAGCACTTTGGCGAGGATAGACAATCCCATAGTCTCTCACAATATACCGGCATGAGTGCCATGAAGACCTGAAGTGATAAGACGATCGTATGGTGGCATTAGTGTGGTCAAAACCGTGCACTTGTCAACTTCTTGATTCAATCCTGCTTCTTATTCATCCTCGGCAACATCACCCACAAACCCCAAATCACCGCCATCAGAGCTAGAATAATCGGCTGCAACACTTGCACACCTTTAGCTTGTGCAATCGCTCCCACTGCATACGGGAAAATCGCTCCCCCGCTTCCTCCAAACGCTGCAGCAAAGCCTATACTGCTCACGTGGAGATGTTTGGGTAGCAGTTTCGTACATGCCACGACGGCTGCTGGGAAGCAGGGCCCAAGGAAGAAGCCTTGAAGTGCGACTGCTACGGTTGAGACGTAGAATTGGGGGACTAGCCAGAAGAGGAGTTGAAGTCCGATGGCGATTGGGAGGTAGAGCTGGGAAGAATGATTAGGTGGGTGAGGTATATTGGGTCAGCGTAGGTACGACGGGGGGATTTACACATGGTAGCACATGTGCAATACATAATGTAGGTACATACCATGATCGATAACTTTTCGCCAATGCGAGGAGTGACGAAGCCGAGTATCACTCTTCCCACAGTCATACCGAGCCAGAAACCAGTCGCACTCATCCCCGCCGCAAACTTTTCGGCATCGCGCACTTTGATCATGAATTCGACAATCCATCCCCCCAGAGCCACTTCGACGCCGACATAACCGAGCAAAAACATCGCGCAGAGCCACGTGATTCGTGCTGCAGGCATTTTCATCGTGGCTTCACGTAGTCGAGAGCCTGTCTCATCGGACGTCCGCGCATTGCGTTCGCGAAACTTGGCGCCTGTGTCTTCCCAGAAGGCGTAGAGGGAGATTGCTAGTTCTGCGACTGCAAAGCCTATCATGCAGTAGTACCAGTAGTACCATGGCAAATCGGCTCGCGTGATCATTGCTGTTGCGATGAGAGGAGCAATGGTGGCTCCTAGGCCGTAGAAGGCGTGCAGAAAGCCAAGAATCTCGTTGGCGTTGAGCATTGCACCAATCCATGCGTTCCAACCGGCGTCGAGTAGGCCGTTGCCGAAGCCTGCCAGAATGAAGGAGATGACCAGGACGGGGTAGGGAGGATGGACTGCGTTGATGATGTATGCTAGGAGATGGCACAATGGCCCCACGAACGCCACACCACGCTGACCGAATTTGAGGTGAATAGCATTGTTTAGAACTGCGGAAAGGGTGTAGCCGATAAAGGGCGAAAGGAAAATCAGGGAGACGATGGCATAGCGGAGACTGTAGAATGGCTGGAGGTAGGGAATAATGGCGCCATATGTTGCATCGTTCAGGCCCATGACGGCGAAAGACCAGAATGCGGCACTGACCTTCCAGATGGTCCCCGTCGAGGAGTTCCAGCTTTCTGACTCTTCGGGTGCTGCAGTAGTCGGTGCAGGAAGTGTTTCGTTGCGATCTTCGTCCCATGTCTCAGCCGCTGATCGCAAACTGCGTCCGGAGATTGATGGTTTCTTGCTGGAGCTACGATAGTCCTCGAGCTGGACCGGCGGTAGTTCCAGCTCTGCGGATTCTACCACGATCGTAGAGGACTGCCCATGTTGCCTCATGACGCCGTATGATTGCCCGTTTCGAGCAGTTCAGAAGGCAGATTGTTATAGTGGATACAGGTATGTAGTTCGGTCGCAAGGCGATGAGAACAATTCACTTGCGAGCTCGTCAGCAAATCATGGAGGATGTGCATATAGTTCTTCGGGTAACCCGAATCAGGCAATGCCGCAATAAGGTAACCAACAGATACGGGGACTGCCATTCGCATCCAGGCCAGCGCGCGGCAGAGACCCAATGCGTAGTGGATTTTCCCGAGGTCGAATATGGTTCTGGTGGGCGGCAGGCCTGAAAACAAATACATGTACCTTTTCACCTCACTTCGCGCTCAGCATGGGACTGGACTGGCATCATGTGATGTGGGAGTCTAGAAAGGCCCATGCAGAAGAACTCCTTGGCGTGCCGGCAGAGTACATGTATCGCTCACTCTGCATGAGCCGCAATGATATATACTGAGACCATCATGAGGAGTGAAGCTGAAGAATAGGTAGGATGGAAGCACAAATTTTTCGAAGACTTCTCAAATGGTAGAACTTGTGAGAATTCCTGGAAATACTTACTACAGGTACCTAGTCTCAAGCACAGACCCCTGCCGAGCACTGTGCATCCCGGACATACCTTTACACAACAACATCAACAACCACTTCACGTCACTCTCTCATCCTTCCATCAGACACATCGCCGCCGCATGTCGTGACCGGTACAGACATGAATGAAGTTGACGCGACTGGCCGTGGTGGTCGGCATGATGAAGGAGAGGCGCCATCGCTTCTGACCATCATTCTCGACACGAATCCGCATGCCTGGGCCTTACTGGAAGACTCTCTTTCCCTCCAAAAGGTTGTTGTAAACCTCCTCGTCTTCATCAATGCGCATATTGCGATCAACCATGCAAACCGCGTGGCAGTAGTAGCGAGCCATTCCGAGCGTGCAGAGTGGTTATATCCGACCCCAGCAAAAGTGCACTCCAGCAATATGAATGGCACCACAAACGGCGAAGATGTAGAAATGACAGATGGAGACAGAGGAACCAATGGTGGAGCCGTGCAGCCACCAGATGATGCGAACAAGTATCGGCCTTTTGCGCACATCGAGCACGCAATCACCACGAACCTGAGACGACTTATGGAGAGCACTGCTCCCAGCGCAGTGCAAGCTACTCCAGCGACGATGATGGCTGGCGCCTTAACTCGAGCTCTGACGTACATCTCCAAACAGACGGCATCTCTTCCGGCGGGCTCCTCCAGCGCACAACACTTCAACTACTCTGATCCCTCATCTGTAGCTGGTGGCAATGATGCCTCGGGCGTTGGTGGACAAGGAAATAACATCTCTGGCCTGACTTCTCGACTTCTCATTCTATCTGTCTCTGGAGACCTCGCGAATCAATACATACCAATTATGAACTCGATCTTCGCATGCCAACGATTGAGCATCCCAATCGATATCCTCAAACTTGCGGGCGACACGGTGTTTCTTCAACAAGCTGCAGATGCTACAGGCGGCATATACATGGCACTGGACTCCAATACCAGGGGAGGCTTCCTCCAATACCTCATGTTCGCCTACTTACCCGATGAGACTGCCCGCAAGCATTTGATCACGCCGGGCGAGGGCGAGGGCGTGGATTTCCGCGCCGCTTGTTTCTGTCACAGGCGGGTGGTGGATATCGGATTCGTGTGTTCAATATGTCTCAGTATCTTTTGCGAGCCATTGCACGACAGTCTATGTCTGACGTGCGGGAGTCACTTGCAATTGGCTAATTATGGGCAGAAGCCAGCTGTAGTTCCGAAGATGAAGAAGAAAAAGAAGAAGAGGCCGTTGGAGGATGGCGGGACTCCGGACAGTCGAGCGGGGACGCCACTGCCGTGAGTCGAGTGTAGCCATGGGCTTGAGTATGAGCATGAGCAGAATGCTCATGGCATGTGGTAGCCAACACCCGCTCAATTCGCACATCTGACATTCCGGCTGAACTTTGGCAACCGAGTCAAAATCTTACAGCATCAAATGAACATTAATGAAGAATCACATGCCAGCTTCGTTAAGCGGACTGGGCAGAAGCTCGTCGCACTGTGATCAAGACGAACGAGAGCCTAGGCATCTTACGTAACATCGCACCTACTCGGATTCTGGCGAGCCTCGAGTCCGCGCACGAGAAGCCTATGCTTGGAGCAGCCTAATCTTGATGAACACCCTAGTAGTAGATGGAGTTTATTCGTCGAGGGACAGGCTGGAGAGCATGACGGTCAGCATCGGAACCGAACCTGCTATGAATTACAGGCAGCTTTGTATTTCGATGACTCCAAGCATTGCAATGCAAGTTCCAATAAAGACACAGTCTTGCCGTATCGTGCTTCGTAGGAAGTATTGATTGAGTATGCGAGCGGATGCGCGAAGCGGCGTAAAGCAGATGTAGACATTTGAAAAAGTAGCTGAAAAGAGCCGGGAGAAGAGGTCTCATCCAATTTTGATATAGTTCTAAAGACAGAAGACTGCTCTCTAGCTCATCATATTCTACGTATTGCACACACTGAGATCAGTAACACATTTCCATTCCTCCCGTCTGCCCTTTGACGACCTTCAATTGAGCACGCGTTTTGGCTAGTTGAAATTTTGGGCAATCGGGCGCATCCGCTGTATCAAAAGTCAATCAAATGCAGCCGGTCGGGTATTTCTGTCCAGAGTGTAGAGAAATCCGACCGTAGAACGCGTTATATCGCGACTCCCTGTGGCCCGCCCAGCAGTCGGATAGTGCCTACCAAGGTATTCATCTGGCGGCTTACCGCATCTCGCCGCTGGCTGTTACACCACAACAGTATACATCTTCATCGCATCGGCCGGTGTATCCGAAGAGAATGTTATACCGATAAGGGGCTTGTGTTGGTGTTGTTGTTGCTGTCAAGCAAGGATCAAGGCCGAAGCTGTCGAGTGCTCGGCACTCAGCAACCTCACCTGGTGAAACACTCCCGTACAGTCGCGATCGCATTGGCAAACCTCAATAGACTGGGAAAAAGAGGCCAAGTACGAACCATGAAGACTCCTTCGACTGCAGCACTCGCAGTGCTGGCCAGCTTGTGCTTGAAGGAAACAGCAGCATTGAGCGACAAAGGGACATCCAAGGCGAAATACCAGGAGGCATGTCCAGCATATGAGCACTATTCCAAATATCCGCAGTAAGAATCAGCCGGAAGCTATGTCAAGAGAGGCGCTGATTGTACCATAGCTACCCATTCAGCGATGGGTCTATGGCTCTGCCATATCAACGGCCCTCTAAACACTGCCGAACGTTCGAGTCGGACCTCGTAGAGAAGGTCATCAAACACATGACCTCCAGCCTCGTAGACCACGACCTCGCACGACTCTTCGAGAACGCCTTTCCCAATACGTTAGACACTACAGTACGATGGCATGTAGACGGCACAGAGAAACACACGGAAACCAATGGGATGCAGCAGATGTTGGGTGCACAACCAGGTGCCTGGAAAGGTCCACAAAGCTTCATTGTGACAGGTGATATCAATGCTGAATGGCTGCGGGACAGCACAAATCAGTTAGCGCAATACCAGCGCTTAGCGAAGAAGGATAAGAAGATTGAAACTTTGATACTGGGAGCTATCAATACACAAGCAGAGTACGTGATCGAGTCACCGTACTGCAATGCTTTCCAGCCACCGCCTCCGAGCAAGCTGAAAGCAAGCGATAATGGACAAGGAGATAGTGTACATCCGGCATATGAACCCAGCCAGGTGTTCGAGTGCAAGTATGAGCTGGACTCATTGGCGCACTTTCTGAGACTGGGTAATCAGTTCTACGAAAGTACCGGCTCCACTGCCTTCTTGACGCAGCGCTGGTATCATGCTCTGGAGAGCCTGCTCAGAGTGCTTGATCAGCAAAGTCAGTCGACTTTCGACGCCAAGACTGGGAGGTTTATCAAGCAGACCTACCGCTTTCAGCGAAATACGAATACTGGAACGGAAACATTGAACCTCGCAGGCAATGGCAATCCTTTGAACTACGGCACCGGTCTGATCCGCTCTGCCTTCCGACCCAGTGACGACGCCACAAATCTTGGCTTCTTCATTCCAGCCAACGCCATGATGGCCGTAGAGCTGAAGAAGACCGCGGAGATGCTCGCTGCGGCAGGCAAACCCAAAGTCGGCGACGAGCTCAAGGCTCGAGGTGAGAGCATCGAGAAAGGTGTGTGGGAGCACGGAGTGGTGGAGCACAAGAAATGGGGCTCCGTTTTTGCTTTTGAAGTTGATGGCTACGGCTCAGCCATCATGATGGACGATGCCAATGTCCCCTCTCTCCTCGCTCTGCCATATCTTGGCTTCGTGCGCAAAGAAGAACGCACGTACCAGAATACACGCAAAATGATTCTATCCAAAGATGGCAATCCTTACTTCCTGCAGGGGAAAGCGTTCAAGGGAATTGGAGGACCGCATATTGGATTAAACAATGCCTGGCCCATGTCCTTGTTGGTGCAAGCCATGACGAGTGACGACGATGACGAGATTGCGGAACTGTTGGAAGCAGTAAAGAAGGCGAGTCCCTTAGGACTGATCCACGAAAGTGTAAATGTGGAGAGAATCACCGACTATACTCGCAGTTGGTTTGCGTGGGCGAATTCGGTTTTTGCCCAGACGATTCTTGATATTGCGGAGCGGAAACCCCATTTGTTGTTTAAGCCTGGGACGAAGCCGTATGTGGTCAGTTAGCCTATATTGCAATATCGAACGTCCTGCCTGCTTCTCCAGACCCCTTTTTTTCTTTGATGTGCTCAACTTCTCTCTCTCTCTCTCTCTCTCTCTCTTCTATCTGCTATGACATTGCCCCCGATGGCTGTGCAACGCGATGGTATCATCACAAGCAGCGCAGCTTCTCTACTACCTGCCTACCTATAACCACCACCTAGCTCAGAAGCTCTGTGCCTAGATGATGATGAGTCAGTTGTGATGGTGAAGATGATGGAACTTGCTGCTGTTCCCCCCCTTTTTTTCTCGGGGGCACGAAACTCCGGTTAATGCATATTTCCTCGTTTTTAGTTCACGTTCACTTTATACCTAATTGATTAATACTGCAAGTTCAGGTGCAGTGCAGTGCACTGTTGTCTTTTGACCTAGTTAACACAGGCCTCCATCTTCTTGTTCCCTCAGCTCCCTTCCATGAGGGATCTGCGCCCCCACGCGAATCAAGTTGGTGGCATCATGGCCGACCCCACTAGTAGGTACTTCCCGACAAGATAAGTCGTGAATAGAAGGCGCCAATTTGCCCGTTGTAAGAAACCAGCAGCGCCATCATCATCACCACTATTTGCCCGTCCAGCACATTTTCTTACCCACAATTCCGCCCCAGCGCGCTTTTTCTTTTTTTTTTATCGTCCCAACATCCTTCCCAACCGATCTCTTTCTATAATCATGGCAATGCCACGGCCGCCGTAATGCATCGCATTGATGATGACGGCTGTGACCAGACCGAAAGTGGGCGCGCGTTCCATCTTGCCGAGGTCGATGATGGCTACGCCGGGTATGACGATCTCCCTGTATAGAGAAACGTAGACGGTTAGGAAGAGGCTTTTTTTATTCTGCAGGAGGAAAAGGAAGACATCGGGAGAGGGAATTCGTTCCAAGCGATGGCTGGCTGGCTTGTAAGCTCAGGGGGCTCCCGGGCTTAGTAGCAAGGCATTGATGATGGAGGAAAAGAAAGGGGGGGAGGGTGGAATGAATGAATTCATGTCTTCAAACCAGTCATTCATTCCCTTCACCACATCACTCACCATCTCAAATACCGCTTAGCAGTTCTCATCACCAACATTTTCCTCCAATTCGACACGGGCGAGTGGTCAAATTTGGCCTGGGGCGGAACCGGCATATACAGAATTTTCTGCCTCGGCCTGCGAGGATCGTAATCGAAGAACAGATCCAGATCTTGACGCAGACGTCCAATGAGCGGATCGACGTAGTCTGGATCCTCGAGTAAATCTGCTCGCGTGGCGCCGTTGGTGTCGATGAACCAGAGCTGGCGTTGAAGACGGATTTGGTAGCGGACGAGACCGCGAAAAGTGGTGCAGACGCGTTGTGCGAGGAGTAAAGTCTTCATGTCGAGTTTTTGTAGGATCCATTCGGCGATGTGCTGGCCTGTTCGGTATGACTCGGGGACGCGGTTGAAGACCTGGTACCCGTGAGGGGAGGGGAGTCAGTATAGATTCGATGAGGAGTAAGCCCCGATCCCCCTTTGAACGCTTCCTCACTGGTTGTGTGACTTTTGTAGCTTCTTCCTTACCTCGATACTGGCTGTAGTATGGATTCGAATATTGGGGCGTAAGCGCATGAACTTCACAAACTTACTGCCTGGATAGTGCGGCGGCACAGGCTGTTGGATCACTGCAAGAAGCGGTCTCGCGTGCGTCTGCGGCGGTGGTGCGACGAAGGACGCTGGCCGCAGTGATTCGAAGGACGCTGGCGGCGGTGATGCGACGACGGTCGCTGGCGGCGGATTTTGCACGGCGGAATGGTTGAAAGCTGGCGAAGATCGGGCGACTGAGGACATCAGGTTCGAGCGTGATGTCCGACAAGATGCGTGGAACTGCCGCAATTGCTGGCTCATGCGCGAAAGAAGCTCATCATTTTCTTTGGACACATCAGAAGCTTTCGGCAGCTCGTCGTCTCTCCTGTCTTTGATCAGCGGGAACTCAGGGACACAGATGAGGAGAATCACCTACCGCGGCACCGTCGCGGCGGCGATTTCTTCGGTTGAGTGAACATGTCCCATGTTGTGAGCAGGAACTAGTGCTGTGAGGTGAGGTGTGAAGGTGTTACCAGCGTTGTGATAGTGTGCCGTCGAGAGGATGGGCAAAAGAGGGTGGAGAGAAGAGAGGAGGAATAAGAGTAAACATACGGTCGCCCGCAACATCAGCTCCACGAAACTGGCGCGTTCAACCTACAATGAGTCACCCAGCACAGGCTAAGTTGTAGCAGCAGACTTGTTCAGCATATTAACAATGATGCGAACCAAGATCAGATGCCCAAACAAGAATGTACTTACTGGAGATTCTGACAAGCCACCTCCCGCAATCGAGAACATTGGTCGCTGCCATCGCGCGCTGTCGACACTTGTGGGCTGCACAGACTACTGTGGTAAAGCAGTCGTGAGAAGATGGAAGCATCACACCCAGGTCTCGTCTTCTCTCCCTGTCAGCTTGTCGAAGGAGTATGGAAGCGGTGTAGGCAGGCAATCCCATATCTTGGAGGTCAAAAAAGATATCTCTTGATACCCGCTCTACCTCTGTGCATTGCAGCAGCTCAGAGATGGCTCAAAAGAACCTATAGCCTTGCCTGATTCCTTGGTGATTGCTTCACCCACATCGACGTCCTGATTGGCTTGGACCACGGCTTTGATGAGTTCACCACCGACCGAGGGATCGAGGGCTCCCATCTAAGAAATGTCAGCGGATGCCGTCGAAAGATGTGCATTTGCTTCTGACATACCGTTTCAGGACGCTCGACGCCGATGACTGCGAGACCAGTGGCAAGAAAGTCAGGACGGACTTCCCTGAATTTCACTGGGTCCTCTTCCAAGACGCAATGGCACTCATGCATGACCATGTGCAAGTCATCTCGCTCCTTCTATGCACCGCGAAATTCGACTTCAGCCGTCACACTGCCAAGCTGCTGCTGATAGATTCCAGAGGCAGCATGCTCAATGAACAGCATCTTGGTCCTTCTTCAAGCCACAGCTTCCGGATTCAAACCACGTAAGAGGGTGGTATCGGATTCGTACAAGGCCTTGACGACTCCAGTGTTCCTTTCTATCATCAACACGACATCCGTCATGGTACTAGCATGCACCTCGGGGCCTTGTATGAATCCGATGAGATCCAAAGGCTCCCCAGTACGCTCTTAATACTCTGACTGTGATGAATCAGTAGCTTATCCGCCAGACACCTAGTGATCGTGAAATACCTATTCGTAGTCCCTCTTACCGGATAGATATCCACATTCTGTTCTGTTCTGTTCCTACTGGAATAATACAAAACATACCTACCGACTTACCTGTACATAAAATCGCTAACTATATCGCTATAGTCTATACCGCCTTTAACAGGCTCAGATCAGACAAGCAAACTACGTAGTAGGATAATTATTCAGACCAAGACTCGAGGATTGATATTTTGAGGATATATTCTAGGCAAAGTTACCGAGGCGGCGAGGCGTCCATCACTCTATCACACATTCTTACCGCACTTGGCAGAGACAGGGGTAACACCCGCGGCACAGTTTGGGAATTGTTAGTAAGCTGCAACCAGACGGGACAGAAGCTTTTTCAACTACATCTCAAGCCTCAAGGTAGGAGGTATGTGCCATTGGCATTGTTCGACTCTGGGTAATAGGGTCGTTGCAGTTGGGTATCGTCCGTGTTACTAGTTGCAAGGGATATATGAGCAGTCTCGAGAGATGGATGAGACCTATGGTGTTCATAGTTGCTGGCTCTCCACTTTGACATGTCTGAACCTACCTGATTCGGGACTGCGCAGACAATTGCCTTTCTAATTGTGAAGAGGGGGAAAAACGTGGCCAAAAAAAGTCACAATCGTGATTGTCATTATCATTGCTATCTCATAAAAGCCAATTGCTCACTCGTGGAAACGAGTGCTGGGTATCTCCCTTTTAAAAACGTCAACTCCAACCCAAACAAACCACAAACCGCTCAAGTTTAACCCCAATCCAAAGCATAAAGCGCCAATGTAATGCTCTGTTTTACAGATCAAGCTCCTCGGAGAAACCACCATTTAGAAGCACCGATGCGATGAACTCTCTCGCCGGCTTCATGTCCTTTCCTGGAACAGCAGAATAATCCGCCCCCTTTGCGCTAGCCAGCGCGTTGATGCATGTAAAAACACCGCAATCGTCCAAGTTTTGCTGCGTCTCACTCTTGGAGCTCAGCTCCGTCCACTCCTCGGCCACATAACACATGCCCAGCTCCATATCCAGCCACTCACGTGCCAACTTGAAAAACGTTCGGCCACTTCCACCAGCGCTATCCAGAAACTCCATGGTCCTCTCCTTGGGAGATAGAACCAAAAGTACCCAATGGGCGCCAGTATTGACCGGAAAAAATATCTTCTCGCACTGCAGCAGCTTCTTGTCGCTGATCTGCTGTCGCCTGCCCCATCTGGCAATCGATTTGATGCCATTCTTTCGGACGTTGGAAAACCATTGGCAGCTGAAATTCGCAAAAGCCGGTACTCCTTGGCCTTTGACATAGCCATCCTGTTCGCGTCTGCGGTCGACGATGGCACTAATAAAGCCATCGACTCCCGCATCGTTCATCCAACCAGCTGGTTCTCTCTTTGCGTTGGGATCCGCAGCGTATTTGACCAAATGCTCGTTCTCTTGTGGTAGAATACACCCCAAGGTCTTGCGTGTCAGTTCACCGCCGCGGCTATCGTGACCCAAGATTTTGGTGGGATCTCGGGTGGCCATCCGCTCTGCAATCTTCTGTTGCCATTCTGATGAGGTCGGCGGGATCAGCGTCTTCCTCGCTGCCAGGCGTGCTGCTTCCTTCGCTGCAGCAATTTCCGCCTCTTTTTCGGCTTGCTTGCGCTCCTCCTCGGCCTCGCGCTCTGCCAAAAGCCTTGCCTGTTCTTCAGCCTTCTTGGCCTTCGCTTCTTTCGCCTCCAAAGCCTCCTGGTCTGCAATGCGACTCTTGCGCGTACGAACGCTCTCTCTCAAAGCCTTCTCCTCGGGGGACAGGATCGTGATATCCTTCGCCCTCTTGGTAAGTGCATCCACTCTGTCGTCGGCATCTCGGTTCCGTTCAGCTCTATCGGACTGATTGAGAAGCAGACCTGGACGGGCTTGTCTTCTCACTGTATAGATGTTCCTGCGGCTTGGTGGCGCCAGGGTCTGCTCATGCGCCCTGAAAGGCTGCTGGACTTTCTTTTCTTCTTGAGCCTGTGGTCTCGATGCGGTATGCTTCAACGTGCCGCCCGTAGCCACTGCCGTCTGCCTGTTAGACTGTGGAAGATGGCGAGATGGCATCTGTCCTTGGATGGGATGTCCCGATGCAGTGTCTTTCGACGTGCTGCTCATTGGCGCTGCCGTCTGTTTGTTCTGAGGAAACGGCATCGGCCTCTGGTCTCGGAACATGTGTCGCCAGGCTATGTATTCTGATGTGCTACTCTTTGGCGCTGTCGCCTGTTTCTGCGGCGGGGACGCCTGTGGCACTGGATGTTGCTCTTGCGGCGGTGGGCTGTTCTCCTTGCTCCCCGGGCGCGAGTCTGGTGGTGTGGCAATGGTGGTGGCATTTGTGCCCTGCTCGGTCTCCTGCAGGACCATATCTCTCAACTCTTGCTCGGAACCAGGGTAGTAACCTGGAACCGGAGCTGTCTCTATGTCCTGTCTGGCGATAGCGCGTCTTTTGTATGCGGATGTGTGAACGGCAATGATCTCCTGCTCGATGCTCTTTCGAGACTTGAAGAGGCTCCAAATAGAGGTGGTCAGCTTGGTGGAGATGGCTCTAATGATGCCGACGACGGTGCCTAGGACCGTGCGTGGCTGCGCTAGCTGCTCTGGACCCTCGGAAAAGTCGAATGGGCTTGTGCGCTTGCGGCCTGCTGTCTGCAGGCTGGGATACAGAGTGTCGGGGGACAGCACGCGTGCTGGTGGTGACTTTATCACTCGTGGGGATACTGGTGAAATTATAGGGCGACCTTGTGGGGAGAGATGCGGCGGTGATGTTTTCGCGGGAGCGATACGCCAGTTGGGCACGAACCTCGCGGGAGCCTCACGCCAGCTGGGCACGTACCTCGGCGAGAATTGTAGGGGCGTCGACGCGTGTTCTGGTGACAGCTCGCTGAAGGAGTCGTCTAGTGCGGAAAAGGTGTTCGTCGCGTGTAGTGGCTTTGCAGGCGGGGTCTCGCCGGCGGTGCTGAGGCCGTGCAGCTCGGGGTGGGAGTAATCGACGTCTTGGTCGAGCGGGTGCGGCTCCTTGGGCACGTACTGATCGTCCTCTGTCTGGTTGATGAGGTGGATGCGCTTCGACAGGGCGGTTTTGGGGGGCATCGCGTTGACTGCGACGCGCGAGGTGGTTGGTCGGATGTAGTCGGGTGGTGGTGTGAAGGCGACGCGTCGTGGTGGTGGTGCATCTTCCATCTCAATGTCGTCGGTCTTGGGGGCAGGGGCCGAATCTATATCCATAGGCGTCCTCGGCGACGGGAAGGAAGCCAGACGGGCGCGGCCGAGGGACTGGGAATGGAAAATGGTATCGCAAACATATCGCATTGGCGACGTCGTTTGCGGCGATTGGTATGCAAAACGCGCATAGACAGCACGCTCCGGTTTGGTGAGCGGACCGTGGGGCCCGAGACCGAGAAGCTCACATGACAGAGTCATGTGTTGTTCGCGGCAGTGATGTGGTACAGAGAGACAATGGAATTATTGGTCGTGCCTGCACTGCTTGCAATTATGCTTTGTGTATGCTGTCTGCGGAACGTGAAACAAACAAGGAGAGAGGTGGCAGGAAGGAATGCAAGGGTGGGATGAAAAGCTTCGTGACGGGAGCCGGAGCTAGCCCTAATGCGGACTCGACTCCGATATCGCACCTTTCCACCATCTGCGACTGCGACGCGACTCCCACCCCACGACATTGGCCATTGGAGATGTTGCATACAGGTAGGTACTAGGTACATGTAGGTACTAGGTAGATTTGTATGGATCTCTCTCCCAGTCCTTGGGATTCTCCGCCCGTTCAGTCTGCAATGTTGAGCGATGTTGGAGAAGGAACCACTTTACGCGCCATATTGACGCGTTCGGTCGTTGTTCCCCAGGCGACAGCGTCAGAAGCAAGCACAGACACTTTCAGTTCTCGTGTCTTCTAGCAACGTCACTCGAAATCATCATTGATTGGACTCGTTACTCAACCTCGAACTCCAGGAACATCGACACCAAGCGACGACACCCCTCCTCCAGCATCTTGACGAAACATACTCCACCGCCAGCATGCCTCCCAAGCGCATTCGTACCATCACTCCGCGCACAGCCTCGCAGCAACAAACGCTCTCCTTTCACGGCAAGGACAACAAAGTCACCAAATCACAATCCCCTCGCACCGCCAAATCTACCAAAAAGGACCCGGCGCTTCTCGAAAGTCTCGTCTCCCCCGAAGCGCAAGATGTGAAGGTGGAGGATCCATCTCCAGATCTGGAACAACAGACAACGGCAGAAGCCGTCATTTCCCAGCAAGCCGAAGATGAAGCTTCCACAATCTCAACCGTAGAGTCGGTTCTCGGGGGTCGCGCGCCTCAATCTACCGCTGGCGCAACTGGTGGTCCCGCGAATGATGGCTGGCTTGGCGACGAAGAAGCTCGCGCGCGAAAGGTCCCGGAAACGCAGATTAACAGATATTGGAGAGCTAAGGAGTCGGAGCGGAAGGCTCCTCGAGTGCATCAGGGAGATTTGACGACACACGAAAAGATTCTGAGAGAGTGGGACATGCAGAGTTCATATGGGCCTTGTATTGGCATAGCACGTCTGAAGAGGTGGAAGAGAGCCAATGCGCTGGGATTGGAGCCGCCAATTGAGGTGTTAGCGGTGCTCTTGAAGGAGATGAATGAAGGTGTGACGAAAAGTCAGAGGGCACATGTGGACGAGCTGATGAGCAGTCGATTCATCGAGACATGAGTAACGGGAGAACGGGGAAAGGGAGGGCATTCGGGCGTTGTTATGAGGTGACTCGGCCTACGGGCAACCATGCCAGCACGACACGAACAGGCGCGCGGGTAGCGATTGTTCCACTGAGCTAGCTAATGAGGCTGTTACTTTGGTTTTTTAATGACGATGTTTTCGCAATAAGAGCGTAACAGCAGTTCTTTGCGGTAAAAAAAACAATTCATTGCCTTATGATAAGCGTGCCTCAGCAAGCCATGGCTGAATGAGCATTACTGACACCGCAGGGTCACCTTATGATGACCTCGTCTGAATGAATACCTTGGTATTGTTACCAGCCTACTCATCCTCCAGCAAGCATATAGACTACCCCAGTATGTAGTACTGCGTTAGGTCCATAGAGGAAGCCTGCCCACATCCCGAGGTTGCGGCGTCAAGTCTAGACTAGTAAGACTACCGAGCTGGCCCTGCGAGTGCGGGCGTCAACGAAATATACGGCCCACCATTGCTGCCCCGCGAATACAGTGAAGTAGCCCCTTTACCTCTCCACGTTTCCAACGTTTCCACGCATTCCAAAGCTGTCACCATGGTTGTAGGCTCTGTTCTCGTCACCGGGTATGTCCACATCGTTCTCAGCGGGCCATTCCTCATCTCATACACTAACAACACGTTGCAAACAGTGGCACCGGCTACATTGGCTCTTTCACTGCTCTCGCCCTCCTCGAACATGACTACAAAGTGGTCATCGTCGACAATCTCTACAACTCCTCCGACGAAGTTCTCAACCGCATCGAGCTCATCTGTGGCAAGCGACCCGAGTACGAAAAGCTTGACATCACCGACGAGAAGGCGCTGGATGCAGTCTTTGACAAACACCCCGACATCGACAATGTCATCCACTTTGCTGCCCTCAAAGCTGTCGGAGAGTCTGCCGAGATCCCTCTCGACTATTACAATGTGAACGTATATGGTACACTCTGCCTGTTGAGGAGCATGCAAAAGCACAATGTCACCAACATTGTCTTCTCGTCTTCCGCGACAGTGTATGGAGATGCGACTCGGTTCCCCAACATGATTCCCATTCCAGAAGAATGTCCGCTAGGACCAACAAATCCTTATGGAAACACCAAGTTCACGGTGGAGACGATGATCACCGACTACATCAATGCGGAGCGCACTCGTGCGAAGAAAGAGGGAAAGAAGGCGGAAGTGCACAACGCAGCTCTGTTGAGATATTTCAACCCGGCTGGAAGTCATCCAAGTGGAATCATGGGCGAGGACCCGCAGGGCGTCCCATACAATCTATTGCCGTTGTTGGCGCAAGTTGCCGTTGGGAAAAGGGAGAAGTTGATGGTTTTTGGAGACGGTGAGGCTTTCACGTCTGCACCACGCAGGCGACAGTATGCTAACAGTAAGGACAGACTACGATTCCAAGGACGGAACCGCCATTCGCGACTATCTCCACGTTCTCGACCTCTCCGCCGGCCACGTTGTCGCCCTCAACCACCTCCGCGAACACAACCCAGGCGTCCGAGCGTGGAACCTGGGAACTGGACGTGGTAGCACCGTGTACGAAATGATTGCAGCTTTCAGCAAAGCAGTAGGACGCGATCTGCCTTACGAGGTTGCCCCTCGCCGTGCCGGTGATGTGCTCAATCTGACTGCCAATGCCCAGCGAGCGAACACCGAGCTGAAGTGGGAAACCAAATTCACTCTGGAAGATGCTTGTGCGGACTTGTGGAGATGGACAGAGAACAACCCGCAAGGGTATAGACAGCAGCCTCCCAAGGCATTCTTGGATGCTCTGAAGAAGTAGACGGAGCTCGTAGGATTGGCTACATGAGCCAATGGAAAGCCCTTGGATTGGCGAAGGCGGGATACTTCTGAATAGACATCGCTGTTGAGGCGATTGGATACCCAGCGGAAAGAAAATAATACAATGCGGATTCGCCTACAGAATTTCGTCTTCACCCTCATGACTTGACTCGCCTACCGTACACCGTATTTTGCCTTCACTTTCATACGTAACTTGAGCCCTCAAGCTTGGCACCATTTCGGTTTGCTTCTCCACTTCGGAAGCGTCTCTGAACTACACCTTCCATTCCCGCTGCACTCACAGTCACACTTCGACACCACCTCGTCTACATGAGCAACATGTCTGACTTACTCAACACGTCGATAGAGGTGCTCTCCTCATTCACGTTCGAGAGACTTGTCAACACAGACCAACAAGGCCGCCGTATCATCCTCCAAGGCACGATTCGAAATGAACCAGCTCTTCTCTTGGCAGAAAGAGCGGCTTTTCCCATAGACAACAATGTCTATCTCACATCTTTCTCCCAACTTCTGTCAAACGTGCAAAATTTGGGAGAGAATGATATCTACCGATGGTATATGGCGAATGCTTCCGCCTCCATGGACACACAGGCTCAAACACCCCCGCCAGATCTCAAGATCAATCTCATCTGGCCTGCCACCGAGAAGCATTTTAAAAAGTACTCGTTTCAGCAAATGCGAGTCGTCACCGAAACTCCGGAAATCTACGAGAAGTTTGTCAGACCTTACATGAGCTTGTGTAGGGAGGAAGGTCAGCTGAATTGGGTACTCAACATCTTGGAAGGGAGGAAAGAGCAAGAAAACGTACTCTACAGATCCAAGGAGCAGGATGTCAAAGATGACTTTTTGTTGTTGCCGGACTTGAACTGGGATCGTAAAACGATTGGCTCCCTTCATCTCCTCGCTCTTGTGGAAAGACGAGACATCTGGTCTGTCCGCGATCTCAAACAGAAAGATGCGGCATGGTTGAGGCTGCTACGGAAAACGATCACGGATGCGACTGTGAAACTTTACCCTGGAGTAGAGATTGATATGCTGAAGTTTTATATTCATTACCAGCCGACATATTACCACTTTCACATCCATGTTGTGCATGTGGATTTGGATGCTACGGGGACGCAGGCTGTGGGGAAAGCGTTGGGCTTGGACAATATCATCTCTCAATTAGAGTGGATGCGCGATGGAGAGCAGTCGGGAATGCATCAGGTAGAGTTGAGCTATACGGTGGGAGAGGAGAGTGAATTGTGGCAGAAAATCTATTTGCCACTCAAGAAAGGGACGGAGCCGGAGATTGAAGGTTAAGAGGCAGGTAGGTGGCTGTTGAGATGGAAGTTACGTGAGGCAGAGTTGGGGGCATACAAGATGGGAACTGGATGCGACCAGCACCAGCTGTACTACTTCGACCCGGAGAGAAGGGGTAGTCTGAAGACCATTGTGATGTCTGCATCCGAGTGATGGTCTCGAGATACAACTCATTTGGACAACACTGGACAGGAAATCCATCAGGAATTGAGACACAAATACCCATGACTCGAGCAAACATGTTTGCAGCTACAAAGTGTGATGGGTCGCCACTGGACATCGTCGCCGCATACACTCGGGTATCTCACTCGCCGGATGCATCATGGTATATTGTCTCCACAGCAGCGTATATACAAATCAAACGCGAAGATTCAGGTATAAGTCAACATCAGCCCCTAAGCCAGCGACATTCCCACACCTTGAAGCCAAGCCAACATCAGAGCTCCAGAGACTTCATCTTATGTCTATTCCAGATCCTCAGATTTTCGAGTCCCTGGACGATGACCTGCATGGTTCTGACCTACATCACGAAATGCATCCGTCGATTGTCACGGCCCTCGCTGAATTTGAGCAAGAAGTCGTCGACAAGGACTTGCGACCCGCATTGTCAGGAGAGATTCTCGATGGAATCCATACTGCTTCCCAGCAGACCCGTAATGGTAGAGCCTCGTCCTCGGACGAGCAAGCTCCCATCGAAAGTCTCGAGCCGTCGTTGGACAACTCGCACCCAACTCGCGAGTCCTTGAATGCAGACAGTCACGTTCCATCTAATGCACTTGAAATTGATGCAGAAGGGAGACCTTGGTGGAAGGGCGTCGTTGCCTACCAAGTCTGGCCCATGTCCTTCAAGGACTCGAACGGAGATGGTATTGGCGACTTGCAGGGTATTATCTCCAAGCTGGACTATTTGAAGGACTTTGGCATCGAGATGATCTGGCTGTCGCCCACTTACAAGTCTCCACTTGATGACTGGGGCTACGATATCAGTGACTACGAGGATATGCACGACCAATTCGGAAAACTGAGTGATATCGAGGAATTAATCAAGGAAGTTCACGCGCGGGGAATGAGGATCATCCTTGATCTTGTCGTTACACATACTTCTAATCAGCATGCTTGGTTCAAAGAGAGTGCAAAGTCAAAGGACAACCCCAAGGCTGACTGGTACATGTGGGCTGACAAACGCCCTGGGAACAGGATCAAGGGGGAGCTCGTCGAAGAGCCTTCGAATTGGCGCGCAGCTTTTGGCGGAAGCGTTTGGACACATGTGCCTGCCAGAGATCAGTACTACATCCATTTGTTCTTGGAATCACAGCCCGATCTCAACTGGCACAACGCAGAAATGCGAGAGGCCGTGTACCAGTCTGCTATTAAGTTTTGGATCGATCGAGGCGTTGACGGCTTCCGTCTCGATACTGCCAATCGATTCTGTAAGAATCCGGCATATCCGGATGTTGAAGTGAGCGTACCAGGTAAATGGCAGCCTGGAAGCCAGCACTATATCAATGGACCGGAAATGCACAAGTGGCTCAAGGAGATCCGCGTGAAGATGGACCGAGACAGTAACGGCAAGGATCTCATGATTGTGGGCGAGCTTCCTCTCACACCGTATGAAGAGCTGCTCAAGTATGTGCATCCTGACGAAAAGGAGCTCAGCATGGTCTTTGACTTCGACATGGTCAAGCTTGGCAATAATGACAATCCGGACGAGTATGCGAAACACGAAGTGAGCAATTACATGGACCATGACGAGAGCTATACTCTGCCCAAGTTCAAGGATAGTGTGTCCAAGGCTCAAAGCCTCATTACCGAGAGTGGTGCTTGGGGAACGGTGTTTATGGAAGTAAGCAATGCCTGCCGTACACATACTGTGTATTTATCATGATTGTATGATAACTAACAGCGTTGAATGACTTCTAGAACCACGACCAACCACGCAGCATCGCCCGCTACGCTACACCAGAACACAAATACTGGCGCAAAGCGGGCAAACTCCTCGCCCTCCTCCAAACCACCCTCTCGGGGACCCAGTTCATCTACCAGGGCCAAGAAATCGGCATGCTGAACATGCCCGAAAGCTGGGGCGTCTCCGAATTCCGCGACCCAGACGCCAAAATCTATGTCGAAGACTACTCCACCAACTACCGCGACATGGACCCCAACGCACGGGAAAACGCCATCCACGGCGTCTTCAAAGTCGGCCGCGACAATTCTCGCACTCCCATGCAATGGTCTGCAGCTGCCAATGGTGGTTTCACGGGTAGTAACCCGACATGGATGAAAGTGAATGACAATTTCTCCTGGTTGAACGTTTCGGCGCAACAGGCCGATGCGGATTCGATTTGGAACTTTTGGAAATCGAGCGTGAAGATGCGGAAGGAATTTGGCGAATTGTTTCAATTTGGGAGTTTTGCGTTGTATGATTATGAGAATCCGGATATGGTGACTTTTACGAAAATGGCTACGACGACGGGCAAGAAGAACTGCTATGGGCAGATGGCGTTGGTGATACTCAATTTTAGCAATCAGGAATTGGAGTTGAATACGCCGCAGAAGCATTTGTTGGGGCATACGTATCGCATGATTGCGTGCAATGTGGAGGTGCCGGGGGAGAAGTTGCAGGCGTGGGAGGGGAGGGTGTATATCATACGGGATGGGTTGGAGGGGTGAGGGGGGGAAGTGTGTGAAGAAAGTACAGCCGTATCAGAAAGGTGAGAGTAGGTAAATCCGATAAAATTGATAATTTTTGAACGAGTCTCATAAAAAAGCGAAGCAGTCGATGATAGACCGTAACAACCATGTACCTCCCTCTCTTCTTCACACCCAATCACCTACACCCCCCAATCAATCAAAAAAAAATCAACTCAAACTAACCACATACCCACTCGCCGTCAAACTCGCATTACTATTCGTATCCCAATTCCTCCCAATCCCCTTTGCATTTTTCAAAAAACAATTCCCCGCCCACGCAGGAATACTATACGTCAAATTGGCATAAAAACTCACAGCAACACATTCCTCGCCCAACATATTTCCAATTCGCAATTGTAAATTTCTTTTGGCGCATTCGTCCATGCACGTTTCGAAATTGTAGACGGTTAGACCGGCGAAATTTTTGACGATGATGGAGGAATTGTCGTAGGCGGTTTGGTTGGTTTTGTAGGATACGTTGCATTCTTGCGCGAAAGACGTGCCGAAGGGCGAGGCGTAGGTGGTTGAGGGGGAACAGGTGTAGGCTGTGATGCCGGTGTTGCCGGTGGTGATGGGGGAGGAGGAGGAGCTGGGGATTGGAGGGTTTGTGTTAGGGGGGGTGTTTTCTTTTTTATTTCCTTTTTTTTATTCCGGTCGATCTTGAGGGTTGGAAGGTGGAGAAGAGAGGAGGGCTTACCTGCTGCCGTCTGTGCTATTTGCCTGGTGGGAAGATGTGGACTTGTTATCGCCGACAGCGTAGCCTATACCGATGCCTGCTGCGAGAGCTGCGAGTATGGCGACGACGAGAGCTAGGGGCCATATCCATTTGCCTTTTCTTTTCGCTTGTGGAGGAGTTGGAGGATCCACTTGCTCTTGCTGTTGTTGTTGTCGCTCCGCTGACGCTGGTAATGATGGAGGCGTTGGATGCTGCATAGATTGGGCATATTGCGGTAGAAAATGGTGTTGCTGGATCGGCGTGAAGCCCGTGTGTGGTTTGTCTTGCTGTTGCTGATATGAGGGGTTGTGGTCGAAGCTGTTCGTCGTATATGCTGTAGCGAGTATAGGTCCATCATCTTGATGCCCTCGGAGGGAGACTTCGGGCGCTTGATCATGCATATCGCCTGCGCCTGGCTTAGGGGCGTCCATCGAAAGGGCTGTGGAAGCGCGCAAAGTGGGGTGGAGAAGAAAGCAGGCAAGACAATTTGGACAACGAGGCCGAGCTGCTTACTTCTTGTTCTTCTTCTATAAGGCGTAGGCGTGTGCTGACTGTCAGCAGCCATATGCTGTGCTGTAATTATGACCTTGTGTAGACCAGCTACATGCTGTACGACGTCGCCTCGTGCTGACCGCGTGTAAACGGCGAGCCAACGAGAAGCTTGCTAGTGTTACTGCAACATGCCTATTCCACCGAAAGCTCCCAAGATAGCGTGCGTGGTCCATGGCTGTGGTAGCATGTGCTGTTGGTGTTGGACGCTACCTCCCGCATAAGGCTGTTTCTGTGATCCATCTTCATCGCTCCTCTTTCGCAATCTTCTCTCGTTCTGCATCCTCCTGCAACACGACCTCCATGGCTCTCCTCACAATGCGAGTCATGGGCAACACAACAGGTCTCTGAATTCCATCCTTGCTCCAAATATGCTCAGCCGCGGTATCTTCGGGCGCCACACTCTTCGTCCACCTCAACTCCAAGATCCTGGTTTTAATCATAGAATCAACTTCGCTCGTGCCAATCTCCTTGCATAGCTGAAAGTAAGGCAGCGAGTATGGCGACTCGACCATCTTCTTCATGACATGGACCAGATGTTCGGGTGTGAAGGTCGAATCATCTTTGTCTGTGCTGGTGCCAGAGATGGCCACCGAAAGAGGAGAATAGGTGGCGAAGGTACTTCTCGTGAGGTGGAATTGAAGGAGGGTATAGGCTTGGACGAAAATGGCAGATTCGTAGATGGTCAGGTCACCATCGCAATTGACCCAGCTGCTAACATAGTCACTAATGTGCGCGAGTTTACCACCAAAGGCATCGTAGAGCTCTTCGAAACTGATTTTGTGTTGCAGATGCTCGGGGATGGTGTCCTGGATGATGTCGTCGAAGTAAGCTTTAGTTTCTTCTCTGGAGCAATCACCGATGGTAACGAGTTGACAATGGTGACCAACATTCATCGTACGCAGGAAATGGTGGAAGAAGGAGTCGCTGGTGGCGAGAATGACATGGCACAAGCGGTCTTGCTTAGTGAGCACGAGCAAGGTATCCAGAAAGACTTTCAAGCTCAGTTGGTCATCGACAAGTGCGGGTAGTTTGTGAGCTTCGTCCATCAGAAAGACGATGGGTCGCTTTTGGAAAGGTTCTGGCGGCTCCTCGTGAGTCTCGCCACTGTCTTTGCTACCATCTTTTGCTATCTTCTTCATCTTCTCCGCCATCTTCTCCGCGCCGTCTCCGTCTCCTTCGTTTCCGGCAGCGCGAGGATCGTATTCCCAGTACTTTAGCAAGCAGCTTTGCAGTGACTCCATCAAGCTAGCCAGGTCGGCGACAGTCACGGTGTAGCCAGCATTATTATCCGCCGGCTGCAACTTCTCAAGCAGGTCTCGCTTCAGATGTTTGAATACTAGTCCGTTTTTCTCCATCTCCTCGTCGTGCATCTACGAGGGTCAGCTGCTTGGTATCATAATCACGGCGGGATTGGGAAGAGAGGGAGGGAGCAAAAGAGACTCGCCTCGGCAAAAAATTGCTCAAACTGCTCGCAAAGAGCAATGTACAGAGTCCTCAGATCGGCGAAACCGCTGATACGAAGGTCAAATTTCACGACGTAGAAGTCGTCGGTCGCTAGCACTTCCCGAAGCAACGCCGTCTTTCCCACGCTGGTCGCCCCAAACATGACCGTCATCTTCGCCGTGTTGGACAAGATCTTGCGCAGGAGCGTCTGCTCAGCCTGTCGTCCATGGAATCCTGGCAGCTTGCTGAAAGTATGCTTGGGCGGTAGTTTAGTCCGTTCATTCTTCAGCTCACTCTCCTCGCGCGCCTTTTCGAGCATGTCCTTGGACTCCTTCAACTGCTGCAGAGTTGCAGCTGGATTAGTGAGCACCCCGATAATCTCTCCCATGCCGAAGAATGTACGGCGCTGTGGGATGAGTGCGCGGACATGGCCACGGACGACGACATGACTACTATGATAGTGGCCGAGGCAAGCCTGCCGCCGCACGACCAGCGGCAGCATCGTGGACGATGTGATTCGACGACTAATGCAATACTTGGTACATGTTGTTCCCGGACGAATTTGACGTTGTACTGACTACGGTACGGTGTGTGCTTTTTGTGAAGATGGTGAAAGGATGAGTACCTAAGGAAGAAAGGAACAAGGAAAGTGGAAGATGGAAGAGGCGCGTGTGATGACGCGTAGGACACGCTTCGAGAGGACGGGAAGGCCCGATCCGTCTTCCACGCGCGACGGGAAAGACACGCGAACCTCTTCCGCGCTAGAAGGGCGCTAGAGCTATTCAAACTATTGTCGCGGGAGAGCTTCCATGTTCACGACATCAACCACCACCACCACAACAATACCTATCCCCTCCCGCGCCCATTGTTGTTTATTCCCTCACAATAGCCACGCATACACACTCTCCTTCGACGACAATAGCGGCACAACAGCTGCACCGTAGACAATCGACAAGATGGCATTCGGCAGGTCGAATTCGCTGTCTTTAAATACAGGCGCAACCAACTCGCTCTTGTAAGTCCTATACACCACCCGTTCTCTCCTCTCCTTCCGCCTCAGCAAGCACAAAGAACCTCCCACCATGTCTCTTGCTTCTGCCCCAAGCCCGCCCAAGAAGTTCACCAGTCTGTGGCGCTTGTACGGTGGAGACGAGCTGCCTCGGTTTGCGCCCATGCCAGACCAAGTGGTGAGAGCTCTTGATGCTGCCATAACTGCGACCACCACCACCGCGACCACCGCCACCCTCACCCCGACCAGCTCCTCTGCCGCTCCTGCGCCCACCAAAAGATCGCACGCCGAGACACTGGAATTCGGCCCCGCGCAATTGCCGGAAAAAGTCGACTTTCAGCAAATGCTCAATGCTTCGAGAGCAAGCACTAACCACGTGCCTAGCGCCCAGCAGACCAACAACCAGGCTCCACCAGCAGGCGGCAGTCTTTTTGGCAACAACACGTCCTCGAATAACACGTCGTCTTTGTTTGGCGGCGGCAGCAACACGACCAACCAGAACAACAACAGCAACACACAGCAGAACCAAGCTCCAGCCGGCGGCAGTCTGTTTGGCAACACCACCACGAACACGAATACAAATAGTATTTTCGGCAGCACGAATAACACAGCAAACACCAACAACATGTTTTCACGACCGGCAACCACACAAGCTGCGTCCGGTGGCAGTCTCTTTGCTCCCGCAGCTTCTACCAACAATACCAACAACACCGGCAGCAATAGCATGTTTGGCAGCACGGCACGACAACAAGCACCCTCCCTCCTCGGCGCAACTCAATCCGCGAACCTATCACAGAGCACACCCTTTGGTAGACTCGGGATGGGTCAGAGCACATCTGCACCCGCGACCCAAGTAGCCGCCGCCCAAGTCACCATTGACAACCTCAAAGGCACGACGCGCTTCGAAGACTGTGTCGATAGTGTCCGTCAAGAGCTCGAGAACCTCGATAAGATGATACAACAGCAAGAGCAGTACGCTAAGCAGATCGAGGCGTTCCTCCCCAAGCACGAGGAGGATGTGAATAGTTTGCTACCAGACATCAACTTCGTCAAGGACAAGGCAGATGATGTCGAGCAGTCGCTGGCAACAGATGCACAGGGTGTGGATGCACAACGTAGGAACGCTGAAAAGGACTCCAAGGACGTGCAACGCTTACAGCGCGTCGTCACGAACCTGACCTTGCCACAACCATACCAATACCCCAATCTGAGCACAAGCGGTCTTGGCAGTATGTATGCCTCTCAACAGCGTACACAACAGCAGCAACAGAACGCGCAGGCGGGAGACGAGAACTACGACACAGATCTGATTGGCAATTACTTCTTGCCCATGGCCGCCGACCTGCAGAAGAGCATGGACTCGTATGCCAGCAACCTGAGCGAGATTGAGCAGCATATGCGTGTCATCGAGGCTTCAACAGTGCAGCAAGCGCAGCAGTTGGCCCAGCGGAGATCAGGCATGGGTGGAGCCCAGCCTAGCAATGACGAGGATACTGTTCGTCAACTTGCTGGCACGTTACGAGGGTTTGAGGAGAGCATACTCGGGGTTGCCGGTGTCGTGGGTGACTGCAGGGATGGTGTGACGCAGCTTGCTCTTGGACGGCTAGGGACGCACATCAATGGCAGCTTGAGGTGATGAAGCCATCGGACTTCCCTAGTATTGACTTGAATGCGCAAGAGCGCGCTTACCAGCATGGCCTGCTGGACTGTAATGTGTACGATTGCGAAAGCTTGAATGGGTCATTTGCACACGATCGGATCGTTACGAAGAGGTCGAGCACAGGGTTGCGTGAACATTAGCGAGGAGTTTGGTGAACAGATTTGGCATGGCTGAATGGATGTGGGATCAACAACGCTTTTAAGTGCAAGACCGCTAGCGTCGAAAGTGAACCATTAAGAATACCTCCTCTGACTGACTGATATTCCCTTCACCATCCTTGAAATGGTATCGCAGAATTGTCCTCAGCCATCCCATTTGAATTGACTGCCATAATGATCATCCAACAACCTCGACTGCCCCAAAAAGACTTCCCTTGCCGTAGCCCCTTCTTTCTCCACCGTCTCCCGAAACAAACCCCTTCTCCGCAACTCCGGTATCACAAACTCAATAATATCCTCAAAGCTCCCCGGATTCACCACATGCGACAAATTAAACCCATCCACCCCCGTCATCTCCACCCACTTCTCCATCTCATCCACCACCGTCTTCGCACTCCCCACCATTTTCTTCTGCATACCCCCCACCATCAAATAATCCCCTATTCGTTTTTTCGTCCACGGCAATTTCCCATCCGACCCGGGAACTGTCTCAGACCATCCATTCACCAAAGATCGAATAATGGGTGTTTCCGACATGCTGAAATCTTCGTCGTCGGAATATGAGGATAAATCAACTCCTGTCCAACCTCCAAATAAAGCTAGAGCTCCTTCGCGATCGCCGTACGAGATGTAATTTTCCAGTTTCTGTTGCGCTAATTCATCGGTTGCGTCGACGATGATGATTACTCCGACCATGATTTTGATGGTTTCGGGTTTTCGCCCTGCGAGAACTGCTGCCGAGCGGATTTTTTCGACGTTGTTGCGTACTTTTTCGGGGGTTTGGCCGGTTACGAAAATTGCTTCGGCGTGTTTACTTCCAAAGGCGATTCCGGTCGGGGAACTGCCGGCTTGGAAGAGGAAGGGTGTGCGTTGTGGAGAGGGTTCGCAGATGTGTGGGCCTGCGACGGAGAAATGGGGGCCTTGGTGGTTGATGGGGCGGACTAATTCGGGGTGGGCGAAGGGGCCGGTTTGGAGGTCGCGGGGGACGGAGCTTGTGGCCCAGCTGCTTTCCCAGAGCTGGGGGAGGGGGTTAGATTTTAATGGTGGAAGGTTCAGAAGAAGGTGAAGGGAGGAGGAGGAGGAGGAGGAGGAGGAGGAGGAGGAGGAGGATAGAATAGATCGATGTGACCGTAACTTACTTTATACAAAACATCCATAAACTCCTCCGCAATCGCATATCTCTCTTCATGCTCAATCTGGCCCCCCTCCAACCCAAAATTTCTCGCCGCACTATCCAACCCCGAGGTCACAATATTCCACGCCACCCTCCCACCCGCCAAATGATCCACCGTACTGAACCTCCTCGCATGCCCAAACGGCGGCTCAAATGACGTACTCGCCGTCACACCAAAGACCAAATTCTTCGTCACGCTCGCCATGGCTGGCACGAGGAGTAAAGGGTCGTTGACGGGGAATTGTGCGCCAGATGGCAAGCAGGGAGAGGCGTTGCCGGGACCCTTGTAGACGTCGTAGTGTCCGAGGACGTCGGCGAGGAATATGGCGTGGAATCCCGCGCGGTCGAGAAGTTGGGCGAGAGAGGTCCAGAAGCTGAGGCTGTTGTAGTTGGAGGATTGGGAACGGGGGTGGCGCCATAGGCCTGGGGAGAGGTGACTTGGGGTGTTCATGAGGAAGGCGTTGAGGAAGAGTTGTTTTTTCTGGGGGTTTGGAGTGGGTTGGGGATTGGTGGTGGCGTTGTTGGCGTTGTTGCTTTCACGAGTGCCGTTTGTGAGCACTGGGATCGATTTACTTGTTGTGTAGCCATTCGTGGAGTGTTCGTTGTGGTGAGGAGAGGTATTATCTTTTGAAGGTGTCTCGTCCTTGGCTTGTTTGATGGCCTCTAGGGCAGCTCTTGGATGTCCGTTTGGGTAACCTCGTGCCATTTCTGCATAAACACAAGAGTAGTGTAGTTGACGTGAAGTGAACGAACTAGCAGAGAAGAAGTTATTCTTTATCAGAAGTTAGGGCTCTCGCCGCGGATGATATGGATGTAACAAATTAGGCTTCACCAATCGCGGCATGCAGACACTAGGATATGCAACAACGTCAGTGCCGATGTAGGAATGCATGTCCCAGCAATACGAACGAAAACAAGCATTGGAACTCAGTCTTGCTTGAGACTGCAAAGGTTATATATTGCATATCGTCCAAAATTCCCTCGCTAACCCGAACTTGTAACTCGCTTCGCTTCACTTCGCATCACTTCGCATTGAATTTGAACTTCTTTCCTCTCTTCTAGTTCCTTACTATTGGAGTTATAGTAACGTTTGCGGTCGGAGGAGTAAGTTACAGCAGACCTACTATCGTTCGAGTACTGCTATAGTACGGAGATAGCGGTCCAGTCTGTCGGCGCTAGGGTAGGTAATATTTAAGAACTGCTCGAAGATAAACGATATTCGTACGATAGTAGTGCAGTCATCTTTCGCAGCGATTAGAGGAGGCTTACGCACCAGTTGCTAGGGATGCAAACAGTGAATCTCGAATCCAGAACACCCTTGTGGACTCGATCGGATCAAGCGGCTCCTTTCGTAACAGCTCTATGGCTTCGCGACTCTGGTAACGCTTGCGTGGAGGACGGGCTATTCGTGGGGCGGAACTTGACAACCAGAGATGTTGGTATTGGGTTCTCATTCCACAACACCTCTCGATCTTGTACGCAAGACTGCCGCACCAAGCTGAGAGTGCCACTTGTGTCGAGCCGAGTCGTTAGAAAACAGGGCCTTGGCAACAAAATCTGAGAAGTCGTGGCGGCGTGTACATGTTGGTACGGATGTGTGTGCAAGGTGGATTCCCTGTCCATATTTGGTGCCAGTGAGCGCACTGCGAAGCTTGGTGCACTGAACCCGATTGCTGAAGACATCTGCAGTGCGCTGTTCAATCAGACCCAGGCACGAGGACGACCGCAAATAACGCAATGTACCATGCGGATAATGCCAGACAGTGTCTCACCTTCATAAAGCTCGTTTGCATAGCACGAACGAGGCAGAGCCTGGAACCGAGCTGAGAAGTTCGAGGTGTCTTCGAGCAATACCAGTGATGCTAGGTATGTTTCGGGCACAGACCAAAGTGGTCATACGACAGGCGTTGCCATTACAGCGGAAGGGGTGGTGCAGAATCATTGGAGGGCGGCCATCGTGGAAACATAGCAGCAATAGATATAGCTGCGCAACTTCAGAGAACCGCTTCTTCGACCACGATATCATACCAGACCACTTCAACCACGATTTATGGTATTTCCGCTTCCCTTAGGATTCGCCTCCACATACTCATCCCACTCTCTGGCTTTCATGGTGGCCTTATCCGCCTCTTCATAATCGTCCTCATCAACCTGTGCTGTCTGCCTGCTCGCCTCTCCACCACCCTCGATCATGCCACCTCTCTTCTTCTCCTCCGCAAGATACTCATCGATGCTCATCGTCGGCAAACTATGATCGGGCCTGAAGACACCCTGCTTCAGTTCTTGTCGAGGGAGCAGGGTGAAAGGTCGAAGTGGTTTCCCTTTGGCGTCGAGGAGAGGGCCTTTCATTCCTGCAGACAAATGTTTTGGGCCATCGAGACGTTCAGAGTAACCGTCTCCTATACGGTTTCGATCGCGGTTGTCAGAGGAGGTTTGACTACGTTGATCAGGTGGCGGGTTTGGGGGCGCGAGAGAGAGGATGTGTAGTTCCTGCGCTATCGATTCCAGGGAAGCGAAAGTCTGATGTGTGCAGTATGCAATGTTTGTGCAATGCAAGTCTCGCGCTTTATCGTCGTCCTCTTCCAAGATCCTCGGGTTCTGGCGAATGTGTGCCAGCTTCTCTTTCAAAGCCTTCTCCTCCTTGAAGCGTTTGATCTTGGTGTCGCGCCGAGCTGCAGCATCTGTGGCCGAAGCCGTAGAGAAGGTGTCGGGAGTCTCCTGATACTGCTCGAGCAGCTTGAAATCGTCCTTGGTGAGAAGCGCGTAATTGTCGAGACGTTTGAGGTATCGCTCGTACTGGTCCTGGGCGCGACGGAGGTTCGCTTTGCGGTGGTCGCGATCGTTGAGGCGAAGAATGAGCTCCGCGATGCGATAGTTGAGGAGGAGATACTGGAGATCGCCGGTCGCGATATCTTCTAGTGACTCGTTGGGACTGAAGAGTGAGATTTGACTGGCGATGTTGAGGCATTCTTCGTAGAGCTGGATTGCTGCTGTCACGCTGTCCTGGAAGCTTGCTGCATTGCTGTCGAAGCTGGACTCGATCGTGCTGCGCTTCTTCTCTGCGTCGTTGTAGACGGAACGGAGGCTGCGGTTCTCGTCGGCCATGTTGGGATACAGGTATGTATGAGTGAAGGTGTAGGGAATGTGTCAGTGACACACGCCGACTTTCACATGAAGAGCTTCAAGAAACAGGCAGAGCTTGCGTGCGCCACATACCTATAGTAAAGCCACACCTCAGTGGCGCAAACAGCTGCAAAATATCTTATCGCACGCGCCGCATATATGTACCTTACCTGACAAACGCGTCCCACACGTCGCTTCGCTTCCTCTTTCACGTTCTAGGCGACAGCACACACTCTCGCTTGCATCGCGCCTGACATTCTCGGCTGTCTACATGTATGTAAGGTACCTACTAACCTCAGGTAACATGCTGTTCCCTTCTTCCATTCACTCACAAGCAGACAACAACATCGCCTTTCGCTTCCGCTTGCCTTGACCCATTCCTAATCGTTACAACAACAGCCCCTTCCCATGCTGCTACTGACAACAGAAGACTCCATATCACAATGGGCGCGCCTGATGAACAGACGCCGACAGCAGAGCGCAATGTCCCGGATGCGGCTGACGAGCTCGTCGGATCGGGTGACGAAGAGGACATCGTCAACGTCCCAACCGGCGTCTCCAATGCCGCGAGCTGGAGGGAGAAGCGTCGTGCTCAAAACGCCATTTTCGACTCGTGGATCGTCAGTCCTGATTGCCAGAAAGCATTGAAGCCGAAGGCCAAGACATCGTTAGATGCCCTGGACGACAATCAGTCTATTCACTCGCTCTTGGCATCGCAGCAGAGAGGTGCCCCGATTGTGAAGAACCCGCGTGAGTATCAGATTGAGCTGTTTGAACGTGCAAAGAAGCGGAATACAATAGCTGTTCTGGATACAGGGTCCGGCAAGACTCTGATCGCAGTGCTGCTTCTTCGATGGGTCATCGACAACGAGATCGAGAATCGAGCCAAAGGAATGCCAGTCAAAATCTCGTTCTTCCTTGTAGCATCCGTCACTTTGGTGTACCAGCAGTTCTCAGTCCTGGAGTCCAATCTGGATCACAAAATTGCCAGACTATGCGGTGCTGACAATACCGATCGATGGGATGGCGCCAGATGGCAGAAGGAATTCTATGAGAACAAGGTCGTTGTCTGCACAGCTGAGATACTGAACCAGGCTCTCGCACATAGCTACATCAGGATGAGCCAGATCAATCTGTTGATCTTCGATGAGGCTCATCATACTAAAAAGAACCACTCGTATGCTCGAATCGTGAAGGACTTCTACCTGATGGAGGACCCAGCTACGAGGCCGCGCATCTTCGGTATGACGGCGAGCCCGATTGATGCCAAGATGGATGTTATCCAAGCTGCCTGGGAATTGGAATCTCTTTTGGACTCCAAAATTGCTACCACCAGCGACATGAGCTTGACCGAGGCAATCAAAAAGCCCGCCGAGCATGTCATGGGGTATGAGTCCCTGCCACGGACAGACTACGAAACTGATTTGCTGCGGGACGTCAAATCTCGTTATGAGCATATCCCTGTGTTCTCGAACGTCTTCGAGCGAGCGGCAGAAATTGCATGTCACCTGGGTCGTTGGTGTGCTGACAGCTATATACTGCGCGCTTTCTCACACGAAAAAGCAGGTAAGTATGAAATGGACATCGAGAAAAAGTTCCATGCTCGGAGAGTGTCGCGCGAGATGGTGGAGCTGGACGACGCGGTGAAGGAGATTCGTGAAGCGGTTGAGTACGTTCAGACGCGGCGGAACGTGCTGGACAAGCTCGTACATGCAGACATCAGTTCGAAAGTTCTCGAGCTGCATCGCTACTTGCGTCTGCAGTTCGAGCGTCTCTCCGATCATCGATGTATCGTCTTCGTCGATCGGCGATACACAGCACGCATGCTGCACATCTTGTTTTCACGACTAAGCACACCACACATGAGAGGACACTTCCTGGTCGGTTCCAACAACGGCGGATTGGACGAAGACTCATTCACCTTCAGGCAGCAAGTCATGACTTTAATGAGGTTCAGGAAGGGAGAAATCAATTGTCTGTTCGCCACATCAGTAGCCGAAGAAGGTCTGGACGTACCAGACTGCAACTTGATCATCCGGTTTGACATGTACACAACGATGATCCAGTACGTCCAGTCGAGAGGCCGTGCGCGGAACCGGAACTCCAAATTCATTCATATGATCGAGATTGGGAACTCTACTCATTCTCAGACTCTTAATGAGGTCCGATATGCGGAGGCGACCATGAGACGATACTGTGAACTCCTACCGGAGGACCGCAAGCTGCAGGGCAACCAGGACAGCCTCGAAGTACTTTTGGAGCGGGAAAAGAATATGGAGACTCGCGTCGATCCCATCTCTGGAGCTAAGCTGACATATGCTAATGCTCTGAGCATCCTGGCCCACTTCGTCACTGCAGTCCCGACAGAGAGTGATGAGCCGCAACACCCGACATATGTTGTGTCAACTCGAGGTCAGAAGTATATTGCAGAAGTCATTCTGCCCGGAAGCTCTCCGCTGCGCTCCAAAATTGGCAAGATTCACCAAAAGAAGTCTTTGGCCAAGCGATCTGCAGCTTTCGATGCTTGCGTTTATCTTCGCACGCAGGGGCACCTGAACGAGAATTTGGTACCAGTCTACCAGAAGAAACTCCCTGCCATGAGAAATGCGCTTCTGGCTGTGGACATGAAGGCTACTTCAGGATACGGCATGCAGATCAAGCCTAAGATCTGGGCCGAGCAAAGAGGCTTGCGTCCTGGAGAGCTGTGGATCACGATTGTGGACTTTCCAGAAGGCCTCGACCGACCGCATCAAGCCCTGGCCTTGCTGACTAGAACACCTATGCCACAGTTGCCCGCCTTTGCTGTTTATCGCAACAGTGGTGACACCACTCTGGTCAAGTCCGCCAGCCTGCGACTGCCGCTGATTGTCACGGATGAGCGTCTAGCCAGGCTCAGTCGCTTCACATTCCGCGTGTTTGAAGATGTCTTTAGCAAAGTTTACGAGGAAGACAGTCTGAAGCTATCTTACTGGCTGGCGCCTGTTAAAGTACAATTAAAAGTCGCGGCAGACAGCCTGGAGACAGAACAGGACATCAATCCAGCCACGGCAATCGACTGGGCATTATTGGAAGAGGTCTTTGCTCATGACGAATACAAGTGGATCCCAGGTATGCCTCACGGTAACTTCGTCAACAAGTTCATCGTCGATAAATGGGATGGTAGTCGCAAGTTCTTCTCTGTGGGCGTGGATCCTTCGCTCAAGCAGACTGATCCCATACCAGAAGACGCCAACAAAGGCAAGCATGGCAGTTCAATCTTGGCGTATAGCGTCAGCCTGTGGAAGAAGTCTCGCTCAAAGTTCACGTACGCGGAGAATCAGCCAGTCATCGAGACGCAGTTAGCAATTTTGCGCCGTAATATGCTGGCACCGCCAGAGAAGAAAGAAGTCGAGGGAATCACCAAAGCCTACGTGTGCCCGGAGCTCCTCAAGTTCTCTGCGCTCACACCAGAGATTGCCACTTCCTGCATCGTGTGGCCATCCATTATCCACCGATTTGAGTCGTACCTTATCTGTATCGAGGGTTGCGACACGATTGGACTGGATTGTGGACCCAGATTCGCGCTTGCCGCTTTCACGAAGGACTCTGACAACCAAGGCGAACATGAAACGGAGCGAGTGAACTTCCAACGCGGCATGGGCGAGAATTACGAGCGACTGGAATTCATTGGCGATACTTTTCTAAAGACAGCAACCACCATCTCAACATTCATCCAGAATCCCAACGAGAACGAATTCGCGTTCCACGTCCGCCGCATGCAAATGCTGTGTAACAAGAACCTATTTGGTGTTGCTCTGAAGCTTAAGTTGTACGAGTACATACGCAGTATAGCATTCAACCGCCGCTACTGGTATCCCGAAGGACTGAAGCTACTCTCAGGAACTGGTGTCATCAAAGGGCAGGAGAAAGAGAACTTCCACGAACCGAGAAATCATGATTTGGGCGAGAAAACAATCGCCGATGTTTGCGAGGCCCTGATCGGTGCAGCGTATCTGACGTGGGATCAGCCTGGAGCATGGCAGGCCGAGCACTGGACGAATGCAGTCAAGGCGGTCACGACTCTCGTTGACTCTGACGACCATCGAATGCTCACATGGGACGACTACAGGACCGCTTACAGTAAGCCACACTATCAAACCGCCGAGGCGACAGCAGTACAGCGCGATCTGGCGCAGAAGGTTGAGCGCGAGCATGCTTATCGCTTCAAGTACCCACGTCTACTGTACTCGGCTTTCATGCATCCGTCGGTGCCATACATCAACGAGAAGGTGCCAAACTACCAACGCCTCGAGTTCCTCGGTGATGCCCTACTCGATCAAGCCTCTATCACCTGGCTCTTCAACAAATATCCCGACAAGGATCCTCAGTGGCTGACGGAGCACAAAATGGCCATGGTTAGCAACAAGTTCCTGGGCGCAGTCTGCGTCAACATTGGCTTCCACAAACATCTCAGGCATTATCATGCTGTCTTGCAGTCTCAGATCACGGCATATGCAGCGGATCTGATGGAAGCGAAGCGTATCGCCGGAGACTCCAGAGACTACTGGACCACGGTTTCCGACCCACCCAAATGTCTACCTGACATTGTGGAGGCGTATATTGGGGCATTGTTCATTGATTCGGATTTCAACTACGGCGAAGTACAACGATTCTTCCATGAGCATGTGCAGTGGTACTTTGAGGATATGACGGTTTACGATACATTCGCAAACAATCATCCTTGCACTCATCTTCACAATATGCTTCAGACCACTTTTGGCTGCATGGACTACCGACTGATGGCGAAGGAGCTTCCTAGCGTGGACGGAATGGAGAGAAAGGATGTGGTCGCTGTGGTCATGATCCACGACCAAGTCATGGCGAGTAGTGCGGGAAAGAGTGGCCGTTACGCACGGCTGCGAGTCGCCAATAAGGCACTAGAGAAGCTTGACGGTCTTGCGCCTTTCGACTTCCGTGCCCGATATAGATGCGATTGTAAGATTGACGAGGACGGGCAAGTGAGGCTGGGCCAGCATCTGGAGAGAGACGGCGAGGAGGCTGGAGGGCTGGACGGTGCTTGTGATGTCTAGCCACGCCCGGGGCAGCAGGCGCGTATGGATGGCGATTCGTACTTTTTGAGTATAGCAACCACGACCCTTGGAACGATGATGATGATGACGATTGATGATGATGATGTCGCGAAGAGGACATAATGTAGAAATGAACCGAGTGAGACGAATCATGAGAGTCTATTGGCGGCGTCCGACCTCTTCCCATCCCAATATGGTATGCCGAAGTGGTGTACTCAATCTATTGTTGTGCATATGCCCGACCTTGCCTCTTAGGCACCTTCACATTGCCTGTGTGTATGTAATGTATGCGCCAGGTGTCGGTAATCAGGCAGATGCTCGGATCCATGGCTAAAATCATTTTCTTCTTCATCAAACAAGCAGTTCGCGAAGCCTTGGCGGAATTTCTTGGCGTGGTCTTGTTCGGAAAGCGAAAAGCATGGTATGCGCTCTCGGTGTGCGGTATGCGTCAGTACATGTACCGCACGCGTCAAGTTGTTTTTGGAGGGCTAGAATGGTTTGACGTATGTTTCCGGAGGAAAAGGGGGGGTTCTCCTTTTGAGATCTGATAATACCTAGAATACATGTAATTGGAAAGGAGGAAGGAGAAGGAGATGATGATGATGATGATGACGATGGTGAATGACAAGGAGGAATCGGATCCATGTCCCTCCTACCTCCTACTTCCTAGCTACATTTACTTCAACCCAGTGATGTCCAAACTCTAAAATAAGTAATTAGTAATTACTTTTACTTTTACTTTTACTAATATAGGTCATAAGTAAAATACGTTACTAATACTAATTACTAACAGAAGGTCGTAAGTAAAAGTAAAAGTAAAAGTAAAAAGTAATACTAATTAGTAAATACATTTACTAATTAGTAACGTAAGTAGTATAGTATAGTATAGTATAGTATAGTATAGTATAGTATAGTATAGTATAGTATAGTATAGTATAGTATAGTATAGTATAGTATAGTATAGTATAGTATAGTATAGTATAGTATAGTATAGTATAGTATAGTATAGTATAGTATAGTATAGTATAGTATAGTATAGTATAGTATAGTATAGTATAGTATAGTATAGTATAGTATACTATAGTATACTATAGTTACTATACT